ACGACCGTGGCTTGCAGGAGGAAATCCTACCCAAACAATCCATGATCCTCACTTCAGTCTTGTGTATCCCCCTTTAGCTCTTGCGTGATACGCGAGGATTGCATACGAAACAAATTCTGGGTGAATTCGAGTGCATCCCCGACAAAAGGTCGGAGTCTACGAGTAGATGGCCTGGTTGCGAAAGCCAGAAGTTCCCCCGGTAACATTGATAGGTAGTTACGAGCCACGACTGGTTGGAGCTATGCTCTTTTAGTCAAAAATCATATGTGCCAGAATGTTGGACCAGATTCAGACAGACCTACGTCAATCTATTCACCTGAGCTGCCCGTGTTGCGACCAGCTCCTGCGCTGCCTGGATCCCTTTCCGTTCATGGCCCATTAACAAGGATTTTCACCGTTCCGTTGCTGGTACACGCCTACACGGGACAGGCTCCATTGCTTTGGTAAACGATGATCACTTTTATCATTATGTTTATTATTCAGCCCGAGACCGTCCTTTTATCCAAATTGGTAAGCCCAACCCAGCGGTGAGCGGGCGGCGCCCCAAACACTGCCAATTGCCTAATTTAGCCGTGGAACACGCCAAGCCTTCTCTTGTCCTTCTAGCGTGCTTCTAGAAGAATCGTGGAAGGTTCCATGGAACAGCAAGTGGTGCGCGTCTGGAGCCTCCCCACATGAGCAAGACGAGGGAAATTAAGATCTTTGGGGGAGGGATGGAAAAAAAAAAAAGCCCAAAAATACTGAGAGCCAAACGTCAGCAGCACCACCTGCGTGACCTGCCTACCTAACTCAGTAACCCTCAGCTAGTGAGCTACGTACTTACCAATGTGATCATTCCACCATGTGACCCTTGAAGCCTTCAAAGCCCCCACGGACCTCACTCTTCCCCAGCGCGGCACATATACGCAAGGAAGATCTCAAAATTAAGCACAAAGCGACGTGACACCGACCCGTCTGTGGTGTTCTTCACCGTCTCTTGCGTGCTCGCCCGAGTTACTTCTTCGATTTTCCGGTTCATTGACCGATACCTGAAGAAAGCGAGATAGGTTCGACGGGTCCGGTCCCGCCCAAATTTCTTAGCCTGTGGGTTCAGTGCTCTACTCCCCCTCCTCTGATGGAAATCTTCCGCCTTTGGGCAGCATTGCAAACCGTAAATTCCGGATGAGCGCTTCTGCGCCAAGTTGTCATTGCTATGATCCTATCGGCAGATTTGCTCACGATGTCCGCCCCGGTGGATCATCATCCACAGTCGGAACGGAGTTCGGGACGCGAGTCATGCGTGGAATTCACTATGTGCTTCTTGATAGGTAATTCTCACCTACACGGTGTCCTCCTGCCCTATGTCTGATTGGGATTTGCTGCATCCTGACGGTCATACATGCCTAACGCCATGAACAATATACGTGCAGTTCATTTCTAATCTAGTGGGTGCAGAGCCTCGTGGAGGTGAGTCTCAACCCAAGAGCTACGTAAATAGTATAGCACATCTACAGTACTAGGTTGATCTCGATCGAGCCACAGTGACGGTAGACTTTCGCTTCAAGCCCAACTTACCTTCACTACTTTGTCCCGTTGTTTCCAATCCATCTCTCCATTCCCAATCTCTCCAGCTCCTCGGACACTTTCCCACCCGGATTCCATCGGGCGCAACTACCATCCAGTCTTCCACCATTCACCAATCCACTATCCAGTGTCCACTACCATCGCCAAGCCAAGACCATCCATCTGGGTAACCCATCTCTCTTTCTCCCTCGCGCCGCTCCAGAAGCTCACGACCGTAGCCGATCCTGGTGTGTAGATCAATCGGTACGGTATCACTATCCCGCCTGTGCCCCGGAGCTCCACCGTGTCCTCCGATCCGAACTCACTCACCACGCCCACGGGAGTAGTAGACGACGAGAGTCGAGTCAAGAAATTAGCTCCGAGTCCCCCGAGTTTCCCGAGGTTCCACTGTGGTTGTGGCTGAGACGGCAGACCGACTTGGGTTCTTTATTTACGGATTTTGTATCGGATTTACAGGGCTTTGGGAGATGGGTCGTGATTTTTTGAGATTTAATTTGATGGTGGTTGTTTTTGGATTTGGTTATGTTTTTTTTTTTTTTTTTTTTTTTTTTAAAAAAAAAAAGCTTCTTTTTGGTGAATCGGGACAAGATAAGGGAAATACCTTGAGATGCGAAGACTTTTTTTGTTATCACCTAAGCCTGGGCTTAGAGTATTTGCTCTAAAGTATTGGACGAGCATAAGGCACCTAGTTGTGGTATTTTTTCCCTTACTCCCGGCTTCTCTAGTCCTCGAGTGAACAACATACAACCGTAATAAGATGTGACAAGTTACAACGGACAAACACTCATCTTAGCAAGTATACATCAGAAAGGCGACTGTTACTCGATCGTAGTCTGAACCCTCGAGTAAGCTCCACTCGGGGATACCATTCCTTCCGCATTAGAAGCTGTCGAGACTCGAAAGCACATATTCCGAGTGATTGGGTAAGGATTTACTGTAGGAAGAGACGTATGACTTTCAAAGTCACCCATGAATAAAGATCCTGCGGTGTATATCCACCGGCACCCGTGCCTGAATTGCCCGATCCATAGCTTCTCCAACTCCAGTCACAGCCACACCAATCCGCAGTTCCAACTTCTCCAAGCATGGAAAAAAGCAGGTCCTTTGATGCGCATGGGCCGTAGAACCGCGGGCCTACACCACTTTTTGCTCGGTTTGGTTCGAGTTGGTCAGGTACTAACAGACCTGCGTCTACTTTCCTGTTCTACCTACCTGAGAGCTATCCCGCGTGGACGCTGTCGACTTAATCAACATCCATGGTACGACAAATTACCAGCACCATCGGACGGGCAAGATCACGAGATGGTGGAACGCCTCGAATGCGCGTGTGCATGGCGATAGGAGAGATCTCTACAGGGTACAGACGGGACCCGGCTCGTCCGGCTCGAGTTGATTCGGCACATGGATGCTATTAGTACAGCGGGTGTTGGAAAAAGCACTGCATTCTGACTCCGGCAGAGGACACGTCCAGACCAGGACTGAACATGAGATCGGGAAAATGTGGTAAGCGATTCTTGTGGTGCTGCCTGGCAGATTGAAGGAGCCAAAGAGAATCATGATGTCATTCGGTAACGCTGGAATCCGCTGAGATGCTTGCTAATCGTGTATACTGTATACACTATACACTATACTGCAAAGAAAGCAGCGCTGCACTTTCTTCGCAAATACGAATCGTGCCAATTGAATTGACATGGCTCTACACCTTCACAGCTCACAATGCTCACCCGTTAGACAAGATCGGATCCTTTCTATGGCGTAATACCTCGTGGCAAAGCAACTCCGGAGGCAAAACAAAGTTCTACCTTACTACAGTAGAATACCAGTCAGATAAGAGAGATCAAGAGGGGTAAGGAAAAAGCAATTCAAACCCAGACAAATAAGAACAGGGAAAATAATCACGAAGCGCCGCAGATCATACTTCACGCTCGGCATTTGAACTTTTCCAATTTCCGCAAGCGCAATAGGCGCTTCGTTCGAGATTTGGAAATTCTGCCTTTGAAAAGGGCCATTTATTGATGTAGTCTTATCATTCGAGTTCAGCTTTATTGGACGTCGAGCACTTTTAGTCCTCTGGATAGATGCACATGATTTGTCTATTGGTTGAATCCCCCAGTGACATCGCAGCAGCCGTGTCGACGATAATGTGCACGATTTCTTGCTTCTAGATACTTTGTATGTAATCTCTCTTCAAGAAAACAAGCCATGTGATCTGCTCTACTCAACGTTGACTACTCATTCTAGACCAGGACTTCGGTAAGCAGCCCTAAGTCCTTAAGCAGAAGATGATGAAGATAGAACAAGAAATCTCTTCCAAGTTCTCTTCCACAAAGTCTCCCCCAAAAAACACATGAGCTTCCCCTTATCAAGTTCATAGATCATCAAGCTGTTCATACCCAGCTTTTCCACCGGCCCTGTAATATTCGCTCCCGAATGCTCTCAAGCCTCGAATCCTTTATTATATGTGGCGAGTCATCATCACAATCCATGTTTCTGTCTTGAGACGCCGTGGAATCATGGATATGGTATATGAAGCTCGCTTGAACGAGGTCCCAGTGGATCAATCATCCTGCATCTTCTTTTGCTCTAGTTACGTCCTGTAATGTAGTAGAAGATGTGAAATCTCTTTGTTACGTAACCTGATAATTAATTTGTGGTCTTTCACTAAAGTAGATACGGGAAGAAGAGAGACTGAGTTATAGTATTTATTCGGTAAGACTCTTGAATCTTGTTGCTTTCGATCACAAAAATGATGGTTAGCTTATGAGGTGTAAGGGATGCCATGCCCATTCTCATTGTTGATAACAGCTCTAGCCCAGGATTTACACGCACCTGATAACTGAACGTATTCAATGTAGTGCATGTAAGTAGGATTGCCCTCGCGATTCGTGACCCTCCCTGTGCTCATGTCATGATGAGGAATCTGGAGTTGGCGTCTGATGGGCAGCTCATTTCAAATACACCGTCTTGACTAATTGACACGTTAGGTGGTGGAATGGCTTGTGTGAATAAAAAGGAGACGAACTCTATCAAGTCAAATATGCAGATACGAAAATATGCAGATACGCCATACCAGAGGAATTGAAACATAAAACAAGAACAAGTCAATCAATCGACAGGCTCCGGCAATCACAATGTTCATGTGAATTATTAATGAGGAGGCAATCTTTCGTAGACCATACGATCATCTCATGCTCTTCGCTGATTGAATGTTAAATCGCGAGACCTCCCACAAAAAGCCCCCACCCCCCCCTATATGTACAATGGGAGAAGGGGGTGGGGAGGGTTGAGAAGGAGAAACAGAGACATAAAAACATGACCACCGACAAAGAAATAGAATGGAGAGTCATAAGCCCTCGTCCGGTTGAAAACACCCTGGCCAAAAATGCTGGATTATATCATTGAGATGCCAGTTATCGGCCAAAAGTCATATCATTCATTCATGGTTTTTGCCAAGTGAGCTCAAAAATCTGATCACCCTGGATCTTGTCACGCAGAATATACCACTGCGTGACGCTGCCGTCCGACTCCATCTGCGAGTCTTGCAGCAAGTAACTCATTTTATGCTCATCCTTGCGACGAATCGGGCCCAGTTCATGCAGATATGACTCGATCGTTGCGCCGTTGAGCGGATTCCAGGTCATTTCCACACTGACGTCGTCTGGCGCTGGCGGAAATCCATATTTGACGATCGAATACCCATTCGTCAGAAACCAGCCATCGCTAAATTGCCATTGACGCAGTAGACAAGATGGACCGCAAACTTCGGAGATGGTGCTCAACTTTGGCATGTCCATGTGGAACCAAGATTTCCAATGGTGAACACTCAGAGGCTGTTCACGTCCAGATTCGAAGAAACCGGACGCATCGTCCAACAGGTCGAGTTGACGCAGGCGGTGATCCACCGTTAATTTGGTCGTGGTGTGATCATAGATACAGTGGGCAATACGACGGTCTCCCGTCCAGGTCATCTGCTCACATACCTCGTACACGGTGCCGAGGATCGATAACAATGGCCGCGAGAGAAAGACACCGGCGCCTCCAAACGCCATGATTCCGAATTCGCTGATCTGAGGAATTCCTTCGCTCAACCCGCCAACGTACATGGGCTTCGTGTGATCATACTCCCCCAAAGCCTGGACCAGGGCTGGCATTGAAAGGAAGAATGTGTCGTCGTCAATAATGCACGCCCATTGCGTAGCTTCGCGCAAGTTCTTTTCCAAGAGACTGACGAGCGCAAAGTATCGATGAAGGTAGTCGTCTTTTGACTCCGAGACGATCAAATTAATTCCAATACTATCCGCCTTGGCCTTGACATTGGCAATCCCTTCCCTTGTATCGGATTCCGACTCCATCGGTTCGACAATGGCAAAGATTCTCGTGCGCGTATATCCCGCCCAATGTGCGAATTGATCCAGGGATTCATTCAGTCGGGAAATGGAGGTCGCCACGCCGAAATCTATATGGGACGCGTCGGCCATCTTGGGAGGACGAGGCGTCACAATGGTAATCGGCGCGGGAATCGTACAGCCGTCCAGTGCTTGCTCGTGTGGGCTTTCACCTCCACTCGCTGCGCCGCGCGTCTGACCCTCCAGCAAGGGCTGATCCATCTGTTGTCGCATCGGCACCTGCTCGTCGGAAAAGGTCACCGCGATCCGCCGCCGCGTATATTGAGCCAGCTTCTCAACACCAAACCGGTCTAGCATTTTCAGATCTACATCACATTTCACATTGGGGGAGATTGTGAAATTAGACTGGACGGGACCTGCATCATCCGCAGGCGCCGCAGCAGCAGCGGGCGCTTCTCTGGCGCGTGAGGGCCACAGCAGAATCAATACGCCAAGGACGGCCAGAAAGGCAATTGCAAAGCGTGCAATTTTCCTCCAGGCCCACGAGGCGGAAGCAAGCCCATCTCCACCCTTCCACAACATGATGTAGTGGGTGGCTGCGCCTTGGTGTGCCTCCAATCTCGTATCTGACGCGTGGGCTGTGCTTCCGCGGAGGTCCTTGGCTGTGCCTCTCTGCTTGTGCCGGTGGGTTGTGACCGTGAGGATCGCGGCGGGCAGAAATGCCGGGAAGTGGGCAGAAACGGGTTTCGTCGAGGTGGGTTTGGGACGTTTACGTATACGCTCGAGTATAGCGGGAGCTCATATGGACAGACGTATGGACTCAAATGGGGGTGACTCGCGTGAACTGTAACTCAGCATTGCAGGAGCGAGGAGGAATTCCGGTTGCTGGCCACTGGTGCCTTTGAAGAGAATACGAACGAAGGGAGGAATCGGTTTTCCCCTTCGGAGCGGAAGGAGATCCGCATGTGGAAAGGCGGAGATGGGCAATACGACGCGCGGGCGCCGAGAGTCTTATCAAGTCTCAGGCGCTTGGCAGAGAGGGCGCTGCCGGTGGGTCACGGGCTTTTCCTGATACGGAGAATAAGGAAGTAGACCGGCTTTGAAACTATGAACTGCCAAATAAAACTACATGAATCGTCATGATCGATATGAGATGGCTTGATGAAGGAAGACGATCAGGGCCGCTTTCATTGCAGAAGTCACAAACAATATTTGACATAGACAATTTACTGCTGACGCCGTGTTTCGATACGTCCATGGCGGTTGATGTACCCGGCTTTCATAGGATGATGGACCAGCCCAATCAAGTACTACGTCACTTGCAGACGGTCTGACATGCCTCTTCCGTGGTTGAGGATCGGCTGAACTCTAGGTTCAAAAAGATAATATAGCATGTCCCTGGACCACACATATTGCGGTGATCTGTTATCGGCACTAAATGCTAAGTAGTCGGAGGGCAGGATTTTTCGAAAAAGCACAAAACACAAAAACAGACGTCCCCGGGAAGGCTCGAACTTCCAACCTCCTGATTAACAGTCAGACGCGCTAACCAATTGCGCCACGGAGACAGCTGATGCAAGGAAGAGTCTGCCTACGTTACATATTCAGTTGAACTTTTTGCTACTATAAGACCAATTGTCTGCGTGAGTCGGGGCTCCGAAGCACGGTACGGGCAGTTAGCACGATTCCTCTGCTCGACTATTTAGATGCTCAGATCTTGTTTATTATACCTCTTTGTCTCTCGCATGCGAAGCTAGTATCTAGTCACTAAGGTATAGAGGCAATATCGTCCACTGTAGCCATGGTTGGAAATAAATATCACTGGCCAGTCGCCCAAGCATTCCGTCCCAGGCAAACAAATATATTTCCCGCGTGACCTACCCAGCGCCCACTACGAACCTGGAAGCAGCCCTACTGTACCTCCCGCTGGCTGACTGGAGTGAATGTAGATTCAGCCGACTCCATCGCCCACGGAATTTCACAAGGTGTACGAAAAGGGAACCTTGACGCCAACATTCACCAGCATGGGATTATGTTGGGCCCAGCTACGAGAATGAAATTCAATCCAATGTGTTCCAGTGATCACCGGAGACAAGATCACCGAGGGAAGTACAATACATTACGGTATGTCCTGAGCGACTTCATCGGGTAGAGGAGGAAAGGAAGAAGACTAGGCTCAGCATTCATCTGGATGCAGCCGTGGGATGGGGCCACTTCCAATCGAGTTCAGCCTCGTGCTTTAACGCGTTCATCAGCTTCGAAGCTTGACATTTGACATTTCCATGACTAGACCATCAAAGACCAAGTCGGGGAGAAAGCCTACGACTCAAACTACAGTGAAAGCAAGGACTAGAATTCCAATAAGCAGGTCTTTCAGTGTGATATGCACAATATCGACCACAAGAGCCGTAGTACATATAGAGGGAGATCAAAATCCCCCAGAACAATAACGGAAAGCCCAAAAACAAGGAGAACGAAGCGAACCAGCAAAGCCAGACTCTGAACGAGTCGGGGGTATCAAGAGGGGGCCATATGAAGACTAGACAGGAAGCATGCAGGAAAAAAGTCATAGTCAAAGACAGTGCGAAGCAGGGAGGAAAGTGACAAGGCTGTATAGAGATCAATGGGGGAAAGTTGGGAATCCGACAGTAGCACTTCGCCGAGAGAGAGAAGGGGGTACCTCCTCGTTGAAATCCCTCAATCATAGCCTGAGCAAGGCGAAGATGTGAAAAGAAGCAAAGGTAGAAAAGACACGCTCAAAGGGAGGAAAAGAATCACTTTACACGAACGGGGAACAAGTAGAAACGAGAGACGGAGACAGACCGATAATAACGAGATTACCGCCTGCCAAGCTCACTTCAGATTGCCCTTTCGAATGGAACCAAATCCTCGGCTGAACAACTCTTGAATCTCGACTGATCGGCGCGGCGCACACGATTCGGTCGGAGACATGGGCTCAGACTGGGAGATTACCTCAGTCTGTGGACCAGACACAGGACCAGTACCAAGTGCGGTCTTGCTGTCCTTGTGACTAATTGATGAAGATGCTGCTGCTGGCGGTGACGGTGGTGACATGGCACCGGCATTGCCACTAGAGTAACCTTCCACCTCCACTTCATAAGCAACGGGCTTGGTATAGGTCATCACGCGAGGACGAGACAGCAATTCCTGAACATGTTGCTCACGGGCATTCATCTCAGCGAGCTCATCCGCAGCTTCGCGTGCGAGTTCGAGAGATGACTTCTTGGTACCACGATCCCAGCCTTGTTGGAGCTCCGAGGCGGAAGCTTCCTCGAACCGCTTGCGGATCTCAAGATCCTGCTCGTATTCCTGGAAGACGTCGACATCTGTGGGGAAAAATAGAGCACGAAGAGTGGAGACAGTTATTTCGAAGAGGAGGACGGCCGCGACAGATAAAAGTAGCACAACCCAGAAGAGTAGGTTGTGTCCGACGTGATTGAGGAAATTGCCAGGGACGGCGTAGACACCTTTGCCGGAAGACATCTTGTATTGCTTGGAGAGGATCATGTTCCAAAGGAACCAGCCACCGACCGAAATGATGACGACAAGCAAGGAGAGCCAGGTCTTGTTGTGAACCTCCAGGACTTGCAGCTTGAGGTTGATGACCACGACACAGGCGGTGAAGGTGAGCAGTCCAAGAGAGAAGGTATCGATGTCGGATGGGTTGATTTGAACCATGCCGAAGAGACCGTACATGGTAAAGAAGATGATCATGGCTTCGCAGACAGCCATGAAGGTCCAACCAAGGTAAAGTCGAATGTTAAAGGCACCATTCCGCTGGCCCTTGCTGTAGAGTTCGGGTACAGCGAGCAAGGTCGATGCAGAAAGGTCCTTGGTGAAAATACCCAGGAAAATTACACACAGTGAAGTGAAGAGGGTATTGAACATGCTCAGACTCCACGGCTCATAGAGCGAGGTACCGGTGTATCCATTCCAGCGCTGGTACAAAGCCTGCGTCAGGTAGAAGAGCATTTCCTTCCAGAAAGTGCCCAGAGTATACTTGCAGACACGGACGTAGTTCCACCGACCATGGACCAAGAGTAACTTCACGAGGAAGCGGAACTGCGCGATGGAGTAATCCGAAATGCGCGCCGCTTGTAGTCCCTCTTTACCAGTAATGCCAATACCAACATGAGCCTCCTGGATCATGGCGATGTCGTTGGCACCATCACCGATAGCCAGCGTGATCGAGTCATTGACATGTGTACGGATCGACTTGACCAAAAATGCCTTTTGCTTGGGACTGGCACGACAACAGATGACCGAGTCAACCCGAATCGCAAGTTGGAAGAATTGGTCTCGAACGACTTGGTCAGTCTCAATCTCGGAGAGTGTTTGACCGTCAACCACCACGACGGAATGAGCCACTTTGTTGTGAATCAGATCGGAGGTGAGATCAACGATCTTCTCCTGCACATCGCCGTTCTCCTGATCGAGGATAGTCAATGTAGAGTAGTCCTTGACCAGACGACAGGCGTGCCCGACATTGATGGCCGTCTCGCGTTTATCACCAGTCAGCATCCACAATTTGATATTTGCGCGCCGCAGCTTGTCGATAGCCTCGGGCACACCCTTTTGCAACTTGTCCTCGATCGCAGTGGCGCCTGTCAGTTCAAGTTGAGTCTCAATTTGTTCACCAACCTCCTCAATCTTCTGCTGACGATCCACGATACTAGTAGAGGCATTGTGATACGCAGTTTTCCAGTTTTGATACGTGCTCTCGTCCAGGAAACGATGGCCATACAGCAAGGTGCGGAGCCCATCAGTCGCAAAATCATTCAAATGCTGGAAACAGCGTTCAAACACCGCAGCCTCGTCCACGACAAGCGCCTCCTCCACCAGGTCACAATCGTCGTCCTCATCCTCCTGGCTGGAATTACCAGAGTCCGACAGAGCCGTGGAGTGACGGCCCATTTGAGCTGAAGGCCGAGGGCTGTAGTACATGCTCTCACTTTCGCGATTGGGCGTTCTCCCCTCATTCTCACGGTCGCGGAGCCAAAGATCGATACTTTCGCGCACAGATGAAGCGTGATGGCCAGAGACTGACGATTGACGGTGAGCGAAACTAGAACGACTCATACTGGGCCGACTCAGGCTGTTTCGAACGCCGCTGTCCTTGCGGCTCTGGTATTCACTGTTCCGACGAATCACCGAGCTCGCTTCAGCAGCCTTGCGTTTGCTGGCTCGACGCTCGATTTGCGTAGCCTTCTCATGAGCCAGTTCAGCTCTCTTTAGCAGACGCATCAGGACAGTATCGGCGCCTTTGCAGAACAGGCAGACACGCTTGTCTGGCATGCGGACGACGACTGACATGCGCTTTCGGCTGCTCGAGAACTCGATGACATCCATAACTTCGTACACTTCGTCCACCGCAGGCTCATTCACACCGTTCGGGTAAGTGCGGATAGTGAGAGTGTTTGATTGCCGGTCAGTGACCAGGTAACCCAGATCCTGTGCAGCCATCACAAGAGCCAATTCGTCGGGCGAGGCGGCCTGGAAAGAAATCTCACCAGTCTCAACATCTTCCTCCGGAATGCAGGTATGGCACAAGGCCATGGCCAGTAGCAAGAGTTTCGCCTTTCGGGCGAAAACAGTAAATGGCTTGCGCTGAATATACTCCAGCATCTCCACGGTTCGATACGGGACCGATTGTCCATTTCGACGCTCCTGCTCGGCAGCTGCAGATACGTTGGACAGACGGGCAAGACTGGTAAGGAGATCTGAGGCAGTGGACTTTCTCCTGGCAGCCTTCTTCCCCTTGAGATTGCGCTTCTTGTGGATGAGTTTTTCCCCCTCGTGGGCCGCTTCCTCCTGCAGGTCTTGATCGTGCAGCCACGCAGTACCCGCCACGCTCATCTTGCGGAAGCGCATTGAGTTGTTGGTCAGAGTGCCGGTCTTGTCCGAGAAAATGTAGCTGATCTGACCGAGTTCCTCATTGATAGTTGACGTGCGCGCTTCCATCGGCGTATCGGTCTCAGGGTCGTACATGTCAATATCATTCAGCAGAAGCATCTGCACGACCTTGACGATTTCCATGCTCACGTACAGAGAGATGGGAATCATGGTATTGAACATGATCAGGAAGGAGGTGAAGATCGGACCGTAGGAGACGGCCGCATCACTGATATACCAGGAATAGCGTTCCACATCCTGTGCCCAGTACTTGTAGGCAACAGTACAGGCCACCGCGAGAGTGACAACCAAGAGCACGATGATCACGACCACGCGATTGACCTTGGCTTGAAGGGCTGGCTTCTTGATGCGTGGGTTTTTGTTGGCATTCATGCGAATCTTGCACTCCTCGCCGGTGTAGATCACCATGCCGAGTGCGCTGTCGGTGTTGCGAAGAATGCTGCCGCGATACACAATCTCGTTGTTGGTTAACGGCAGCTTCTCTTGGCCATTGACGGTGACGTGGCCGTCGAATTTATAAAGATCGATGTTGGGATCCTCCACGACGAAATGCAAGGAATTGCAAACCATATCGTCGACTGTGGCACAGACCTTGGAAACAGCCTGACAGGGTTGCTTGTTCTTCAGGTTCGTCTCACCGTCCAGTGCCATCGTTTCGATATAGGCAACCCCATTGGGGCCATCGGCATGGAGAAGGGCGAAATCGGCGGGAACAGGCTGGTCACGTTCAAGCTTAATCACATCTCCAACGCGAATATCCTGCCACTTCACATCCACCCAGCCGTGAGCACCAGTTGCAATAGAGGCACCATCGAAGACCGGCGTCTGGCCGGGACGAAGCACACGTGCAAACCGATTATTCTCCTCCTTGTCCAGACGATATCGCCGCCAATCATCGAACCCTTCCTTGCCCATAGAAATTCCCACAAAGATTAACAGAGGGACAAACGTCGTGAACGTTCCCGTCGTACTCAGCCCGGGGATCATCTGCAAAATGGCCACGATGAGGAAGTAGAAATTGGCCAATTTGGTGAATTGCGCGAACAGTTGCCGGGGAAAGAAACTCCAGAAGCTGTACCGACTTGATCGGATCCAATTGGCGCAATACGGCTTGCCCGTGCGCTCATCAACGAGAGTGTCCACAAGAGACGGGTTGAGATCAATGTGTCGACCATCTTTCGTGGGCGGAATGTCCTTGATTCGGAGAATGAATCTTTGAATCACTGTCAGCAGCGTCTCTGCACGACTGACGAGCGCACTTGCGGCAGTCTTCTTCTGGGCCCATTTGCTTCGCGTGTCCGTCAGATACACTTCTTGTACTGGGCCTTCCGAACGCGAAGGAGGGTATTTCGACGATTCCTCCTTGACCCATTCGATTGTGGCCGTTGGCGCGGATCTCAGTTCATTCTCCGGGTGCTTGGCAGTGAACTCGTCCACCGCCCTGGTTGCGATTGACGTCCCTGCCTCTTGATTCCTCCATGACCCGGCCTTTGGCTCGCTCAATTCTACATCGGCGATTTCATCCTGTGCCTGAAAGGTCTTGTTGAAGATCGAGCGTCGAAGCGAATACCCGCGGTTCCGCGGTCGCGATGGGGTGGCGGCCGAGTCCGGGCTCAGAGGTGTGAAAGGTGAAGTTGGAGATCGTGGTGAAAGGCCCGTCGTCGGGGGCGTCAGCGCAGTGTCGACTGTCAGACCTCGCGAGTCCGGCCGTCGGTCGGTGGGGGACGAGGACGGTTGGGGGAGAGTGACGGTCGGCTCGTCGGTCGAGAAGCGCACGTGGTACTGCTGTGACGAGCGATCGCCAGCGACCGCATTCTCGGGCGAATTCTGAGCCGCAGCGAGCGACGACCGACGCATGGGATCTGATTGACTTGAATGATGGGTATGATCCGCCGAGTACGAGCTGCCATCTGAAGGCGTGTTGTTTGAGCTCGACATGACCAAAGAACCTGTGCCTGCTGTGCGACCGTTGGGACCGATGACGATCCTTGCTTCTTCTTGTAAGTCTGCGTCGGCCGGAGATCAGCGATCGATGACGAAATTGTATCGCAAGACGTCGAGATGGTAGACAGCGAGGATCACGCTCATGCTTTCAGTTAGGCCATGGGAGTTGTCGACAGGGCCATGAACAATCGTCGTTTGTCTGGGAAACTTGCGGCTCCTTAAAAATGAAGCCGTTCGGTCGCAAATCTGGATCTCCTCAATGAACAGATTCAATGAACGCGAGCTGTCCAACACAGTATCTTATTAGTTTCGCATCCAAATCTCGGTAAAAGCGTTGAGTTTGACTGTTTACAACACATCAGGGTTCATGGAAAGAGAGGAAAAAGAGCAACATCACAGTCGAAAGTGAAACACCAACTGTATACATACAACACAAGCGCCCGGGGGGCCTTTCTCAACTGGAGACAGCGTGTAGGAGGCTGTGGCCAGACCGGATGCGGCAAGATGCCCGAAACCGACGAGACGAGCGTGAGGCGGCTTGTTCTTGGGAACTGCAGACACTTGCAGAGACTCGAGCCGCAGACAAGGCAGACACTTTTTTTTTCCTTTTCCGCAAGCCAGAGAAAGACAAGAGTTTGATGGATGTGGAAGCGCAGATGCCTACGGTTTTCCTTGAGAGAAAAAGAACAGTGGTTCAGGAACTCTCGCGACCACCGTTTTGGGTAATCCTCCATGTACTACATGGCTTGATTAGGGGCGAAAGAGTACGTACAACAACCCAGGCATCCTCTTAGTCCTGGAGTGCGGTACATGGGACCCAAGCCCCTCCAAAAGTCAATTGTCTGGAGAGTCAGGCCAACTCTGGTTGAGGTTCTTCCCGAAAACGAAGAGAGGCGAATTTGGGGTCCATCGAACCCGAGACTTTTAGGATTTTGACTCTGTGAAAGAGGTTTAACTTTAGGGATGTGGAGCGTGCAACGCGGTCGATGGAGAAAGCATTTCCACTCGCAGTCTATCGTTGGAGCACCGCCCACCAGCCTGGTCGCCTAGTAGTAGTTCATGAACTTCACTACTCTTTCCTACTTGGTTGCTATTCTAGTTGCAAGATGACTTATTCTCGCTGCAGCGTACGAGCAGCTCTCCAAGGGTCAACGCAAGAAGCCTATTGGAAAAGACCCTGTTCGCACATGGGTGGACAGGTCAGGAGACTCAGTACTTACTAAGGTAGTAGAGGTACTTAAGTATCCAACACTCCAGTCACAGTGACTCTTGTACTTGTACCATCTAGACCAACATCTTCCCAAGTTAGTATGACAGGTATGAAGTATGAACTATGAACAGTAACAACTGGATCAGGCCAAAAAACCCCCCAAGCCCTCTAAACGAAAGAGAAAGTTCCTCGAAGCCTTCCTCCTACCATGACACCTTCCAGAACCAACCTGCGACCGTCACGATCCATGGACAAGACTTGAAGACACTGCTACTCCTAGGAGGCTGAGGTAACTCAGTGACTTACCAGAAGTACCACCCAGCACGTCCTCATCCACAACTCCGGATCAACTTCGCCCCCCAAGACAGACACCAGTACACTAACTACTAAGTTCCAACTCTTCACTTGGCAAGGACTTGCATGGACTCTGACCTCCACGCGTAGAAACCAAACCCACCTTTAATGCCGGCTCTCAAATCCCAATCGCTCTTCCAAGTCCACGGGAGGAGAATTGACCCACTCGGTCTCGATTGCCTCCCCAGGTAGTCTGGAGCGCTTGAACCTCTGTAAAGTGGTGAACTCGTGGAGAGTGGACTGGACCGGGGTTGTCTTCTTTTCAAGTCCAAGCCAATCATGCTTCCAACTTGTGAATCTGTTGAGTCGTCACTTGATCATGTAGACCATGGAAGCTCTGTAAACGTACAGTGGTGTCGGAGAGTCGGGGAGAGAGATTGAATATACTACTGCTACTGCTACGACGACGACGACGACAACTAAATGTTTGACAGAATCATACAAAACGCCGCCACTGCGTCTCAGACGCAGGCTTTGCACTTTGCCAAGTTTGCAGTACAGCGGTTAATAGTACCCGTAGTATTTGGAGTTTAAATATGCTGGAGCCTAAAGTGCCCACTAGCCCAACTTACTATCGAGTACCTAATAACCTAGTACCACACAACCTACGCTTCCATTATCCCTATTCCCTACCTCAGCCGAAGGACAGCCAGGACTCTGGTCACTCGGCCATCCAGTGCCACTGCCTTCAGTCCTGGACAACCATTCCTCCCCACCCAAAAACAGTCACGACTCACTAGTAACACCGATACGCAGATTATTATTTCCACGACATAAAGGTCACCGATCGCTCTGCTCCTCGTCTTCGTGATTACGTGCTGGGGCGACGTCCCGTCTGTTATCCCTGGAGCTATCGCTGCTCCGATCAGGCCGTATCCTCCAACTTGTCGCCAGACGAACCTGGGATTCACATTCCGGGTACGGGTACGGGTACGGGAACGGGAACGCTACCACTTGAATTACTGCCTGTCCCGGAGTATGGACTCGTGGACTCGTGGACTCGTGACCGCTGCGAGATCTTTCGAAAATAGAAGCCTCATCGCAGTCGATCGGGCTTGCATCGATGAAGCCAAGCCAAGATGCAGCATCTATGAAGAGTTGAGGATTGACGAGACTATTAGAGAGAACCCTCATCTATGATCCTTTCTCCATACAAATGCACAAGTGACATATGCGACCAGCCCTTGACCAGTCTTGAATGACACAACGAGGTTTGCGCTTCAGAAACGCGAGGACAATATAAACAATACAATTTGAAAAAAAAAATGTATCGACGTGATTTGGGGAAAAAAACGGACTCCTCGTTCAAGTCATAATAATAGAATCGAAGGAATCCGAGTGTGGTATCATATTATCACCAACCCTCAGGTAAAGGACTTTGCTCGTGTCTGAAATGACCCGCCCAAGTGGACTGAAAGACGGCATTAAAGCCCACATTTCCAATCCACATCGCTCTGGAAGCTTCTCGTCGAGGCTGCGTCATGTTTTCCCAACTGTAGACTAGTAGCGACGGGGTGGGGGCTGGCCGTAGCCACCAGACGGGGGATATCCGCCTGGGCCACCGGGTGGTGGCGGGCCACCATAACCTCCGCCATAAGACTGAGGTTGGCCATGTCCACGATCACCCCCGGGGTAAGGAGGCTGCTGCTGTTGCGGAGGATAACCGGGTTGCTGGCCGTACTGTTGCGGCGGATAGCCCTGTGGAGGACCGCCGTAGGGACCGCCGTAGGGACCACCCTGCGGGGGAGGAGGGCCCTGGCCATAACCACCACCGCCGCCATACTGGCCGGGAGGGGGAACAGGAGCAGAACCACCAGGTCCACTCTGTCGGCTGCCCTGTTCATCTTTGGTGTCGTATGAGCTGTCAATCGCACCGAGCATAAGTTTGGCGCACTATACAGAGGAGTATGAATTAGCAAAGCTTTTCCCCGCACGTCCTACTTGACAGAGGTTTCACAAGGGCTTATGACGTACCCAAAGCTCACGAGTCAGGTGTACTGGGGGGTTAGCCCGAGACATTTCGTCCTGTTCAACTTCAAAGTCTGCAATGATGATTGTGTTAGTCTCAGTCCAGGAGCTCGAGAGGGTCGAGGAAACGAGAAAGTCAAAGGGGTTCACTGACTCGAAGTACAATCGATCAATTGACCAATCTCAGGATCCTCGTCCAGATCGGAGAGGAAATCCCGAGCACGAGTGTCATTACCGACCTGCGAGAACTGGAAAGAGACGGCCCCCGTGCCGTATTGCGCCCGTTGCATCTCATTGACGGCGTAGCTGATGGTGTCTCGCACGGTGCTATGGGCCTCACCCGCGGGCTGGCCGTCCGTGATGGTGATGATCAAGACCGGCTTCTGCAGACGGCCCGATCGAGCCGGGCCGATCACGAGGGGATCGACGACCTTCTGGCGCAGACTGGTGCCAAGAGGTGTCAAGCCGGAAAAGCGGACGCGAGAGACGAGTCGCTCGACATCGTCCGGGTTCTTGATTCCATGACCCTCCTCGGACGAGTTCATGAAGCGCACCTCGATGCCATCCCGATCAAAATTGGAGGCAACGGTGGCCACGATGCCCAAGATCTGACGAAGCTGTTCCTTACGAAGACCTTTCTCCTCGAATTCGATGGAGCCACTGTCATCTACGTAGAGGACGGTGTCGAAGAGGGCCAGCTTCATCAAATCAGTGGCCACCTCCATGGGCACATTGAGTTCATGCACAATGCGCTGCAAGCGAGAGGGTGCTTCGTGTGCGAGAAATTGTACAAGACCCTCGAGAGCAGGGGAGCCTGGAGGATAGAATCTCTGCAGTTGCTTCTCACGAATGGTATCGTCTAGCACACGACGGTACGCATCGACTTGCTGGGGGGTGGCTGGACCACCCTGGCCGCCCGGTGCACCCCCGGGAGGCCCATATTGACCTCCAGGACCGCCCGGAGGACCATAGGATTGTCCGCCGGGAGGTCCGGGGGAGGGCGCAGGTTGACCATAGGGAGCACCCTGGCGAGGAGGGTACTGTGGCTGATTCTGTGTATAGAAGTTAGCTATTGGATCGAACCCAAAGCAGGTCCAAGTTGTAAATTGTCAAAGAAGCAAAAATATCATGAGCGCAAATTGAACAAGGCTGAGGCGTCGCAAGGAAAGGGGGGCTTTGTGTACATAGGAAGATGGAGGTTGTTGTCCAGGATACGGAGAGTGCGATCCAGAATAAGGTGGCTGTTGACCTGGATAGGGCGACTGAGGTTGCTGTCCAGATTGTCCGGGGTATGGAGAGTGTGTTCCTGCATACGGTGGCTGTTGGCCCGGATAAGGCGACTGTGACTGGCCTGGGTAGGGAGATTGTTGGCCCGGATAAGGCGACTGGGCTGAACCATAGGGCTGACCTTGAGGAGGTGGCGGCGGAGGGCGATTGTAGCCTTGCTGCGATGGTGGTTGCTGCTGCTGGTATGCGGGGTAGCCGGCGGGCGGCTGTTGAGGCGGCTGCTGCGAGTACGGCGCAGGAGAGGGCGCATTATTGTTGTATGGCTGGTATGATGGAGCAGGTGAGCCACCATATGGAGGTTGTTGGCCTGGACGTTGATAATGACCCGACATGGTGAATGGAAGAAGATGAAGATGATGAAGAATGACGACAGTGTTGAAAAGTGTCCGGTGGAAGAAATCCGTCGATGATCGATGGCGGGGAAAGTGGAGAGAGAGTGAGAGAGAGAGAGAGGGTGTGTGTGTGTGTAAAAAGGGAGATGCGCAAAGCAGACAGAAAGATCACTGATGGAGGGGTACTGCGGGTACACAAGCACCAGTGGAGAGGGGCAAAATGTTCAATAACAACAAGGAGCAGAGAGAGAGAGAGAGACTGAAGATAGCGAGATTCAAGATCGCTGGTACGCTTTTTTTCTTTTTGAAACTTCTTGACACCAGCAAAGTCACGCACTTACCGATCCTTGAGGCGCAGGTGATCCCGGGTATGCCTGGTATGCAGAGGGTGGTTGTTGCTGCTGCTGCACGTGTTGAGACGCTCGTCATCAGCAAGAATGTTTTGGAGATGACGTCGCGCGGGGTAGACAGGGCATCGAGGGACAACAATTAGATGAGAGAAATTTCAGAGAGAACATGACTTACATGGCCACCCGGTCGGAGTGCATCTGGAGGCGGAGGCCCTCCAGTATATCCCGAAGGAGGTGCACCACTGTAGGCACCTGGAGCACTGCCTGTATTTGACGACATGGCGGGATTTTGTTGGCTCTGTTGATTCTGCTGTGCAGCGGCAAGCTTTGCGGCAAACTAGTGTTGGGGAGGTAATATGCGGGGTCAGTGGTCCTTAGTTTGAGAATGCCTCCAAGAAGAGCGAAGGTAGGTGTCCAAATAGGTGGGCGAAAGAGAATGTCAAATACTTATTACTTACACCCATGTTGAGAAGGAGATGGTCCTTGAAGACGCTCGAGGGAGAGTGGACAAGATGCTGTCTAACGAGACAAAAGGAGCCCCGCTGATGCCTGGGGATGGGGACAGCATCACCAGGCTCGAACCGAACCAGATGGGGTTTAGGGCGGAGGCTGAGAGCAAAGTGGGTTCGAACTTCGAACCCAATCTAGCTTGGCAATCCATTTAACCCCGGTTACTTTTGGAAGTTGGGGGTGCAAGGTACAGACATCGCACGGGAATCTCACCTAAGTCTTCAAGTCTGCCACTGTAAGACGGACTGACCAGTCCGGATGATATGAGTCAAGACAGAATCGTTCACTCGCTGCACTTTGATTCTGTCACGGGGGAATTGCCCGTCGAGGTACCGTGCAAGCTGATAAGCAAGTGCATGTCTATAGTACCGTCGTCCATCCTCTATAGTAGTACTGCAGCTGCTACTACTACTACTACTACTACTACTACTACTACTACTACTACTACTACTACTACTACTACTACTACTACTACTAACCTGCTGAATATACACTTGCTACAATAACTGCAGTGATTGCTCGCGTACCTTGTCTGACGTATATCTCTTGAAATAAGATGATTTCCCGTGTCATTTTCAGGCTGGTATTCTCCCGACGAGCCGACCGCAGGCATAGATTGCTGTGTCCCGACTCGCCTAGTGGGTGGCTATAGTCTATGATGTTTGTCCAGATATGGGCGGAGTTGTTTCCTGAGCCCCAGCAGGAGTGGCGAGCGAGTAGCTCCTGTTTACGTCGAGCTCCCAGTCATACTGCCTTTGACTGCATTGCTGCATAGCTCGGAAGACCGGATGGCGGATGGCGGATGGCGCATGCAGAGATCCACGCCCCCTTTGGACCCCACTTGATCTTCGAGAAGCTGGGGAAGCCCTTCAGTAGTACACTCCGGATTGGACATCGATCACGGATTCATTTTCTGGTGTACATGTGCCATGTGCCATATATGCATCGGAGGTTTACTACAATAAGTAATGGAATAAGACACATCCTACCATTGATACTATTTCTTCCATAAAGGGTATGTCCGACTCTGAGGTGGAATGTAGCTCAGGCTGCTTCATCTATAATAGACCTCTTGCGTTTAGCCTCTCAGCGTCTATTCAGTCTCTCAATTTGCTTCAAAAGCATACCCTGACCCTGGCCGTTCCTCAAGCTGTCCACAATACATATACACGTACTGGCGAGAGGGCATCGCCAACGAGCCAGCTACCACCTTCTGGAGGAGTTCCAACAGCGTACAATTGTACCCAAACACTCTCATTATTCGCTGTACTTGGAAGCAAAGAACCACTTACACGAATTAGCCTGATTAGGCCACAATCCCGTGGCTTCGGTAATGCAGAAGCTAAACACCCGTACTCGCAAGCCGTGGGATCGAAGCGCCACGGCCTCTTCTGACAAGCCAAATCATTCGAACCAACAGCAGCGGTCCTGTGAATTGGCAACTAGCGTGTTAGAAAATCTTGATTGCTCACGATCGTGTATCCCAATGGTGACCGCAGTGCCGCTAGAGCCGGTGATGTCATATCAACTATCAACGAGCTATGATCGATTGATGCAAGGATGCCCGCGATAAGCGCCAATTGAAACGATAAGAGGGCGAAGCATATCTGTATGAGGCGGTGGTATATAAGGCTAAACTCCAATTCCGAAAGTTGGTGGAGGAGACGAATGCCGGAAGTATCATTTGGAATCCCCATTTGCCTCGTTTTCGACCTTGATTCCAAATTGGGTTCGCAAGCGTTGTCTGGTCCTTCATGACTATTTGTGACTGTCCGCTCTTCGTTTCCTGACCGCTACATCTATCGAGACCGGGCTGAAGGCTTGATTCTGTCCCTCTCTCTCTTTCTGAACAACGCATTCTTTGCTCACTTTCCTCTCTTCTCATCTCGGATATCGCTCAGTAACGGAGCCCCCCACCCATGGCGACCACGGTGCTGAAAGTCGGAATTCTCGGCCTCACCCCGGCCACAGAGCCCATCTATGTGGGCATTCTTTCGTCCCTTAGTCAACACTACGCACTCACCATCGTCCATGCCGACACCAAAGAGCTTGCTCTATCTATCCAACAGGGGTCTTCTTCTCCGCGCGTCACCGCCATTCCAGAAGAAGTCATTCAAAACTCCGAGGTCAACCTCATCATCAATCTCTTCCCCTTCCGTCAACATGAGCCCTACACCATTGCCGCTCTCCAAGCCGGCAAACATGTCATGGTCAAAACTCCTCTTAGCCTGAGCCCGAGCACTTTGAGTCAGATACGAGCGGCCCTCGGTGACGACCACAAGTCATCAGACACCTCGTCTCATTCAGCGCTCAGCTCAGACTGCTCGCGTCCTCAGTTCTTCATTAGTTGTGCACGTCGCTATGCGCCCTGCTTCACTGAAGTCTTCAAGAGGGAGCTTGCGAGCCTGGAAATAATACACTATGTTCGATGCCGGAACATAACCGGGTTTGCGTCCACTCCAGACGTAAGCAATATCAACCCACGCTCCCTCGGAGCTACTACCACTACCAAACCCGAAGCAAGCGATGAGGGTACCATCAATCATGCGACCGACACCATCGACATCAATATCCCATCCAGACCAAAACCCTCATCTTCATCCTCATCCTCAATCCCACTTTCCCATCGCCACCTTCCCAAACATATGCACGCTGTGCTCGCCGACATCTTTGGGCCCAAGGTCGAAGCTACCGCAGACCGTGAAGCCCTCTGCCACTTCATCGGCACGTCCGGGAGCCATGATTTCTCTCTGATCCAGGAATCGTTCGGGTTTCCCGACGCAGTCTCTCACGTCTCTATTATCAAGCCCTTCTACAACGCCATGTTCCATTACAAAGACGGGTCAGTGTCATCTTCCCGTGGAGCGAGCCAGCCGTTTACTCTGTTCTATGAAGCGGGGGTAGACGGCGTGCCGAGATCAGATGCCCATTTGACGGTCTATGGGCTGAACAAGACTATCTCGTTCAGTTATCAACTGAGTCATCCAAGCGAGATGAACAGGTCTTCTATCGTGGCCAGGGTCGTGGTGGAGACCGTCGATCATGGCACAGACGCAGACGGCGACACCGACGTGAACATGGGGAACGGGATATCAGACGCCAACGGCAACAGGCCAGTCCCTGAACAACTCCGTCTGAAGCGCACCGAATACGTCAATACCGCCAACGAAGTCTACGAACAGGAGTTCCTAGCCATGCACGCGCAACTCACGGGCGCTGCGACTTCTGATCTGAAAGACCTCAAGGTCCGGCCCAAAACCAGTCTCAATGATGCGACAGATGATCTCAAGATAATGCATATGATATTTGACCACTACGATCGCCAGTGTGGTACGATTCGAACGCCTTTGGGCTGATGGGTGGGAGAAGTTTGATGGTCGACGATTGATGATGTTTATGATTTTGCTTTTTGGTCTCGTGGGCTCTGTTGATTCCCTCGCATTTACTTTACTGAATACGAATCCCTCTCTATCTGTTCGGATCATTGTAAGCTGAAAGACAGTGTACCGGGCTTTCTCTCGTGACTGCGATTCTTGAAAGGGTTGACCTTTCTATCTATATCAAGGTGGACATGGATCCCTTTGTCACTGAATCACGTCACATTGGAAACGGGCTCCCCTGACTCAGAGAGGAAACAAACCCAGATCCTCAACCAGATCTCTCAAGGGAGGGAAAAAAAACAAGGCCCTGCTTCCTTTTGACTGTCGTGCAATTTCGATGAAGACTTGGTGTATGACTACAGAAGGCGACCAATTCAAATATAGAGCACTGACGTGCGTCTTGAGCTTCGAACAGCCAGCCCCAAAGCGCAAACCAATAGAAGATCCAATATGGGAAAGAGCCTTTTCGTGACATTCGTCTATGTATTCAAAATGGTACAGTCCGCTCTCATGTCTCACCATCAGCAATGACTTTGTTAATTAGATGTCACTTCAGTCCCGCGACACACAGCATCAGAAACAACCCCGTCGGTTCCTCTTCACCGCTTCCCCTTCTTCTTGTTCTTCTTAGCGTTTGAACTTCCACCTCCGCTGGCCTTCTGGGCCACGTTGGCAGTAGCCTCCTCGGTCTTTTCGCTAACTGGGCCGCCTTGCGTCCGATCAGAAGCACGCTGCTTATTCTTCTTGCCCTTCGGCCGGTACGATGATCGGTCTCGCAGGGGCAGCCAGCGCTCCGGATCGGCCTTCTTCTCCGGATCGTAGTCCTTCGGAAGACGGGACTTGCGCACACGCTTGGCTCGACTGCGACTTTCCTTATCAGCAGCAGTGCGCTTGCGAGCACCGGCGAAGGCTGCAGCAGCAGCAGCAGCCGCGGATGCCGAGGGCATGATACCCGCAGATTCCAAGGCGGACACGTCCACATCCGCAATCAACTCATTGACCTCGGGGAGCTGCTCAAGCTGCGACTCCACTTGTGAGTAGTTGAGAGTGGCATGAGATGCAATGTAGCCGGCAATGGCAAGTCTATCGTGTGGATCCTGCTGATACAAGCCCTTGAATAGCTCGCCCGCCGTAGTGAGATCAGCTTTATCGTCGGAATGAAGAAGCGAGGTGGCTGCCGCTCGAAGAAGGGAAGCGGGTGTATTCGACTTGTTGCGCCAGTATTTGGCAGCTTGCGCAAGAGCGGTTCGGATCTGGAGCTTACGACCCTCGAGCTGGTAAAGAGAGACCAGTGCGCTTAGCAAACCAGGGTTGAAGCGAGCCTCGTGATCGGCCTCGGAAACAGACTCCTCCAGAGCCTGCAAAGATCGCTCCATTGTTGTGATCGCAGAGGTGGTGTTGCCCTCGCTAACGTAGAGCTGTACGACTGTGAGCAAGAGTCCAAGATCCTTGGGCCGACGCTCGAGTAGAGGAAGAATCTTCCTCAGGGCCTTGTAGCCTGTCTGGCCCTCTGCTTGTGCAGCAGCGTTGTAAACGGATAAAAGGTTGACATTGGCTGCTGTCGAGGGACAGGGGCTCTTGGAGAGAGCCTTGTTTGTTGATCGAATGATGCCGTCGAATTTTTGGACAAGAAGATCGGTGGCGTGAGAGTTACCCACTAGGATGTTGCTTTGGAAGTCGAAAAGTCGGTCATTGTTGATGGATTCGGGTATTTCATGGAGAGCTTTGTAGAGGATGTAGGGATTGACATTGGTCTGGCGAGCGAGAACAATGTTGTTCCGCGCAATCTTCTTCGTGGATAATTCGGGGATACTAGGTGTGCGAATGATGGTTCAGTATTGTTGTCCATGAAATGTCCATGCTTCTGTAATCGTCATGTGAACGACAGGGGACTCACTCCTCTACCGAAATTTCCTCGAGCAGGGCCTCTGCTTGTTCCGTCTTGCCCAACCGCAGCAGAACATAGAGATACTGAACAGCAATGGGAAGCAGCTCCGCTGCCCGGTCTTCCGGTGAAAGTTCTTCTGATGTCTCACAGATATCTGGTAAGACTCGAAATTAGTCGTGAACTAAGAAGGGTCACGCCCACCACCGATGGTACTGACTCTTTGCGCGCTTCAGAAGAACCTCCCCTTGAGCAAACTCTCCCTTGGCAATGCTCAGACAGGCGGCATTGTACGCCGTTTCAAAAGACTCGAGGTCCTCCCTCGATGGGCGCTCGTGGCGAACGTATTCTGGCTCCCCTTTCCATTGGAGCTGCGCATCCGTCGCCCACGAATTGATCCCGAGGTCGTTCGCCTCGTGGTAGGAAGCTTGGTCTTGGTACAATTGTTCGTACAGATCTGCAGCCCGTTGGAATTTTTCGGCACGATAGCTCTTCACAGAGATCATTCTAGTGTCAGCGCATTCTGCCATTGAAATGATGAAGGGCCATGCAACCATACCACTTGAGCTTCCAGATGTTGAGCGCCCCTCCCCGCGCCAGAGCTGGTGACGATGTCTAGGGCCTTTTCGAGCTTCCCACATTTGTACAATGTATACGCATATTCGACACTGGCTGTTGTCTTCAGCGCATCACCTGCACCCTCGAAAACCCGTAAAGCGTCGTCGAATCGGTCGAGCTTGAGCAAAGCGATCGCCTTGATGTGTTGAGCTGTTTGGTCGTTCTTGGACTTTTTGAGGGCTTCATTGCAGGACTTGAGAACCTCTTCATGGTCTTCAATCGTGGCCCGCTCGAGCAGCGAGCTCAGTGACTGGGCAACCATAATGTGTGTTGTGAATTCGGTCTGATGATTCCCTATCGGGGGTTCAATGGCTGCGGCGATTTCGTGGAGAAACGTCTCCCCCGGTGGGATGGCGTACCGCCTTTCAGCCTGAGGCCAACAGCCATGCGTGCTTCTGTCACAACCTGCACGTGCCAGCGACGTGGGGTTAGGGGAGCTTTTGTGCCTTACTGCCTTCTGTTCCATCAGTGCCTCTTTCCTGCAGTAACAAGTTTTGGCGTAACAATGATCCGCTATATTCGGTCTCTTTTCATCGCTGCTTCTTTTGACGCAGCCTCGTACAAGAACAGTTGGTCTCTCTAGCCTGCGACCGACGGCCTATACCATTGACTGTCGATCTGAATCTCAGACTCCATGTATTTGCATGAACGCCAATTTTGTATACTAGTATTTCACTACACAGCAAATCGAAAGAAGATGTCCGAGAGAATTTGCTATATTTCAAGAAGATGTACTATCAAAGTTAGCGTGTTATCGAGACTTCACGAGGCCGAGTCTCTCTTGGAAATCCTAGTATTATCTGTCTGTCTACTACTATCTCTAGCCTTGAAAGTAGCCCGATTGTTTGGTTCAACAAGGGCCATGAAATAGGAGTCCACAAATAGAGTATACCTCACTCTTTACCTATCTCTTTCATGGAAAGTGTCAGTACACATAAAGTCACCGGAACACCAGCCAAGGACCTGAGTGGTTGAATGACCGCCGTGGGTGCACTAAGACGATACTCGACCTCCCCACCCTTGACGTGTTCTGGGAACCATTAGGTTAAAGCGAGAGAGACTCGCCTCATCTGCTTCTAGCTACCTTTTCTTTGCAGTGTTAATTGCAAGCATCGACAGAAAGGTTTGTGCCAGTGATGAGGCTCAACTAGGCTTCTACGATCTACCTACGTCAAAAGCCAGCTTTCCATCGCGCAATCATCTTTCCATGACTCCATGATAGAAAGCGATATTCCACTGCGTTTCATGAAGGGGGTCCTCTTTTTCCTGGTAGAATCCCGAGATTGTAAACTCGTGTTCTATTTTCTAGTGGATTTCAGCAATAAAGCACTAGGTAGTAGGTACTAGTAGGTACTAGTAGTTACTAGGTAGCAGGTAGGCACTGCTTACCATGACTCAAATGCTGTGTAAGTCGGGCGGGAGTCTATTTACACTGGGCGCCATGGTCAACACATCTGAGGAAATTAGACTCGGAATACGGTCTGCCCAGCTTACAGGAGATACAAGTCTCTTTGCGTAATCCGGGGCTGTGATTGAGAATCCAAAATAGTTCAAGACTCATTCGTAACCTTAAAAGTGAATATGGGAAAACCCAGGGCGAGGATTTCTAAAGGTTATACTTCATTCTCTATGCCAAGAAAGAATCTACCAAATTGGACTGACTACGTATAACTAGGTGATTTACGAAATGACGCAGTAGTAGTATTGCCCATGGATCTCAAACCCTCTTGCTCTCGATTAGGCCCTTACTCTTCCTAACCCAACCGAGAACCTCAAAGCATGATTCAATACGGGCTGAGACTCGGCCAATGAGGCTGTTCTGTAATGTGAGACCTTTGAGGATTTCTGTAAGGGAAACACTGCATGAGAGCACGGGCTTCATGAGTTGGACTGATGACGTTTGTCGGAGACTGCCCGTAGGGATGGGCACCTATGAAGCATAAATAGCATTGAGGTAGTCCACGAAGAGAGAGCAATCTTAATGAACAACATTTGACGAACTCACGACCAACCTAACGGCAATTGCTTGACGACTCCCGTAAGCTATCTTACGAAGCGTTTCTATTCCCGAATTGTATACCCCCACTGCATCATATTGCAACATGATGAATACTATTTTCACCGTCATGATTCTCGTTGGTATTGCCCGAGCGCAGAACGCGGAAATCGGGCTGCCGACTGTCGATCAACAACTCTCCAAAGGCACCGATGTGATTGTTCAAATTCAACGGCCAAACACATTGACAGGGTCCACGGAAATGGCTCTTGCTATCGGAATCTCATCCTGCTCTGCTCAAGAATGCCTCTCTCCCGTCGAATCTATGGGAGAGATCCTCTACCTTGGCTCGTTCGATCCTGAGTATCATGAGGACTCACTCCCTCCGTATCAAAACTTTACTGTGACGGTGCCGTCTGACTTTGCTGTGGGCGATGCCCATATTAACGTTGCGCATGCCACACTTGTCGGTGTAAGTGAAGCAGTGCTTTCCAAGTCTTGACTCAGCAGTGCCTAAAACGTGGAACCTCTTCTTTTAGGCCTCCGAAGCCCCTCTGCTTCAGACGTTGAATCGCACGGTGGTGGTGGCCTAATAGTTGGCCTCTGCTCGCTCGAGCAGGGATATTGATATGTGTAGCCGGAGGAATTCTTTTTCGACTGTTTCGGTATTTCTTGTATTCATATTGTTGGGTGTGGCGACTATCGTCTTATGACGAGCCGAGCACTGGGGAAAGAAACCTCCTGTCCGACACTCCTTGCTTCGTTTCGTGTCTCCGTAGAGATGTATTGGTAACAGCTCTTTCCAGACATTTTAATTTGGGCTTGCCCGCCCAATGTGATCAACGCAAGATTGTTCAAGATCTCACAATCAAGACCTGATTTCTTCTCCATGAGTCTGCTCTCCCAGTCCATCTGAGACATATTTCAAGCACAGGCTTCGTCGTGGAACCGCCTCGTTGTGTGTAGGTTCAAAGGTTGCATAATCACACGATCGGCGGAAAATCCCCACTATGGAATGAAAACAACGGCTCGAATGTTATGTTGATCGTAGCCGGCTGTTCTTTGACCAATCAATAAAGTCAATGTCGACTGCGATTATCAAAAAGGCGAGATCCGATTTGATGAAAAGAAGAGACCTGGTCGTTCTACGACTGTGGGTCCGACAAAGATTTCCCCTTTGGGTTTAGCTTTCAGCGTTTGACTTGTGTCTGATAAGCATGTGGCTCTAATAGCTTCACGAGAGTAGAATGTCTACATTCCCAGAACTTGCACATAGACCAAGCTGTGACGGATATGCAAGTTCTCGGAAGGTATATCGAAAGGTATAGGCCCATGATGAACCCAGTAGGGGCGTGGTGCGGGGAAAACACCATGTTCGGGGTATAAAATCCCACTGTCCATGTCTCGCTTGATCGGTGTCTTTCAACTCACTTTCGCAACTTTCGATCCATCCATCCTACATCTTGACTCGTGGAGTATAACAATACTCATCCAATATCTCGATTTTTCAAATCTATATCATGGGCGACTACAAGCCACTGGAGCACGCGACCATGGCGTCCGAAGTCCCAGATGTCCCCAAGATGCCTCGTGGAACAAAAAACGATCTCTCGCAGAGACAGAGCTCCGTCCTATATCACCATCTTCGCCAGCCACCACTCAATATCGTCGATGGTCGAGGGAGTTTCTTGATCACCGACTCAGGCCAAGAGATACTGGATGCCACCTGTGGCGCCGCTGTGGCATGTCTTGGACACAGTGACTCGAGAGTTCACGAAGCCATCATGGAACAGTTGCAGAAATTCCCGTATTGTTACTCGATGTTCTTTACAAACAACGCTGCTGAGGAGCTGTCTCAAATTCTGGTGGATTCCACTGGAGGTCTCATGTCCCGTGCATATATTGTGAGCTCAGGTGTGTAGCCTCCGGACAGAATGGCGATTGAGCTAGATTGGAAGGTCGCACAAGGCTCACCCCGAACTTTTCCATGAACAGGTACCGAAGCAGTCGAGGCATCGCTCAAGATGGCCGTACAATACTACATGGAAATGTCTCCTCCGCAGCCGCAACGAGTCAATCTTATTGCCAGAAAACGATCATATCACGGCAATACCCTCGGCTCTCTTTCCGTGGGTCATCATGTCGGGCGACGAGCGCTGTTTGAGAAAATCCTGGCCAAGAACGTCCATCATGTATCGCAGTGCTACCCTTACCGCGAAATGAGAGATGAAGAGTCAGAGGGGGAATATGTTGCTCGTCTGGCTCAAGAACTGGAAGACAAGTTTCAAGAGCTTGGTCCAGACACTGTGTGTGCCTTTGTCGCAGAGACAATGACTGGTGCGGTAAGCATGAGTCCTCAATCCCCTGTGAATACACTATAGCTTACGCTGAAGCTTCCAAAGACTCTGGGATGCGTCCCCGCTCTTCCAGGGTACCTGGCAGCCATGAAAGAAGTATGCCAGAAGCATGGAGCCTTGCTGATCCTGGATGAAGTCATGTGTGGCATGGGCCGCACAGGCACACTGCACGCTTGGGAGCAGGAAGACGTGGTTCCTGACTTGCAAACTGTGGCCAAAGGGCTTGGTGGAGGCTACGCCCCGGTTGCAGCCCTTCTGGTGAGCCGTCACGTCGTGGACACGTTGAGCCAGGGCACCGGCGCGTTCTCTCACAGTCAGACTTATCAAGGGCATCCGGTGTCGTGTGCGGCCGCGTGCCGGGTTCAGCGGATTGTTCAAGAGGATAATTTGCTTACCAATGTCCGTGAGATGGGCGTATATCTCGGTCAGCGACTCCATCAGGCATTTGACGCGTATCCCCATGTCGGAAACGTTCGTGGACGGGGGCTTTTCTGGGCAGTGAGTGTTTCAACTTCCTACAGTACTTAATAGAACAAAGCGACTGACGTTGTATTCCAGATTGAATTCGTTCAAGATAAGCAAACGAGAGAGCCATATCCCCCGTCTCAGGCGGTTGCTTGGAAGATCCACAAAACAGCATTACAACCGGAGTATTCGGTTTCGCTACTTCCGGGCAATGGGGGAATTGACGGAATCAATGGTGATCACATCTGCTTTGCACCTCCATATAACTGTAGCAGACACGAAATTGATGAGGTTGTGGACCGTGCTTTCCGTGCAGTTCAGAAGGTGCTTGGGACAAGTGTCAATTGAGCGAAAGATTCAAATTGCATATGAGGAAGTCGACGATCTTGTATCTTGTGTTTTCTATGGTTATGATCATCTCAGATGTGTCATTACTTTCCAGTGATTCGTCAAATTTCAGATGTATTACATATTTCACGGTGCCGAATCCTGAGTTCTCTGCTAGTACGCAGATCAGTATTTGCCCGTTCTTGAGCTTAGGGCCTTCAGTGACTGGTATGCATTGTTGCATCAACTACATGTTGGGCAGAAATAGGACGACCCCAACCGATCTTCATTAACGAAAACAACCAGAGAAGCCAAGCTGATTCATGGGGACCTGGGCCGACGTAATATTATCGTCTTTTCTACCAGTCCAGTGTGAGCTGTCATCGGGGACTGCCCTGGCAGCAATAGGGCTGGTATCCGGATCATTGGGAGTATTTCCAAAGCTGTCATTACATGCTGGCATAACTCAATGACAAATAGATGAGATCGGCAAGTGGATTTTTTGTAGCCCCAGACGAATGTGTAATTTGTGTAGTTTGTGTTCTCTGGTTATAATATGGTCACGGGAGCTGTTTGACTTTGAGCCTCATAGACCGGCTCCTTCGTAAGAGGCCTGCAGCACTGGATCTCAAAGAAACCACATATCCTGCCTTCTTAGCTTACGCAAAAGTGATGAAGTCATATATTTTATAAAGCTATCTTACTATTATTTGGTCTGGCCACCCATGCTTCTAAAATGAGAACTTCGAGCCACAGTAGGCATAAGAGCTCTCTACTCGAATCAACTTGACCATGTGAGCTGCATAGAGCATGGAATTTTTGGGCTGATCTCTCTGATCTGAGTTCATACCAAAAGTCCTGTAGTAGAGATTCGTATAGATTGATTTCTCACAGTTTGTGTTCGATAGGGCCAAGGGCGGAGGTATGGAGGCGGCGCATGCCGCTTACTGAAGAAGGCCGGCATCTGCCGTGTACCCAATGGTTTGAATCATGTGATCGGATTGTTATGGTGCGGGGGCTGGACGGAGTCCTCGTCATCGATAGCTAAAAGTATCACCTTTCCAATCGAATAGGACTGAAGATTGAAGGAAATATTACATGAGCTTTAAGATTACGTAGGAATGCCGAAGGAGGCAGCATTCTCGAGATCACGACATGGTACCCCTCCTTCGTAAACATGGTCTGATATCAACATGCACTGATATATACCACTCCAGGCTGCCTTGAGTGTCGAGCGAAACACCTCAAGTGTGATGAGCACCAACCAAAATGCACTTTCTGTTCAGAAAGAAACCTGTTGTGCCGTTATCCATCTGAATTGAAATGGGTCCACTCTTCGAGGCCGATTCTTGTTCGACATCGATCTCGGCGTCCCAGGGTAGACGAGAATCGCATGGGACTGTATCGTCGGATCCCCTCTTCGGCGTGTGCTGAACCGTTCCTGGGAAACGAGGAGAGGCGCGCATGGGAGTATTGTGCGTTGTATCATCCCGCACTTTTCGGAAGGTGTAAGCCGCCTCTATAGGGCGAAAATTTAACGACTGACAGTGAGCTTCTTTTGTAGATGTGAGACTCGTCTCGTCGAATATCCCGGCTATCGACGGACCGAACAACCCTTATCGTCAATTATCATTCACGGCCTTGACAACCCCGATCCTGCTTGAAACAGTCCTATGCATCGCTACTGAGCACATGCTTAATTTCAACATGGGTGATGTATCAACCGCGGCACGACACCAGCAGCAACTCCTGAGAAGTATTAGTCTGAGACTGGAAGCCATCGAGGAGAATCAAAACCAGGATCTCATCAGAGCCAGCAGAGCGACTGGATATCTTGATCACGAGGCTCTACTCACCGCCATCATTCTCCAAGGTGCCATCGTGGTCCAAACTGCAGATGGCGTTCTAGAGCCTCATATTCGCTGCGCTGCGTTCCTGATGGAGAAGCTTGATTACTTCCATCGTCTACCACAGTCAGAGCTCTTACGAACCGCAATTCAGCGATTTGCGATGGTTGATGTCATGCTTGCGGTGTCTCGGCAGCGGAGGCCATTCTCTCCTCGAGACTTTGTACTCCATCTTCCTGATACGGAGACGTGGGACTTGACTGAGCCATCCTTTCACAAGATGACGGGCTGTCCCCAGCCCTTGATGTGTTTGTTTGTGAGAATCATTCACCTGGCTTGTGATGTGAGTGAATGCGTAGAGCAACGAGAGTCCACAGTCCTTATTCTCAACCAAGCCTACGCCCTGGAAAACGACCTTCGCGCATGGGGCTCAAAGTATGGCGTAGGTCTTCAACCTACGCCTAGACAGCGCGATCCATTGGACATACTATCAGAATGCTTCTACTGGACGGCACATCTGCTACTTGCTCGACGCGTGTTTCACGACTCGACATACTCGCCACGGGTACAACACACGGCGCGTACTTGTTTCGAGCTGATGGATCAGTTGGCCACGGGGATTGGGCCGGATTCGTCCCTTCCCCAACCCTTCTACCTGGCAGCCCGAGAGGCGATCACGGCGGAAGACCGAGCTTGGATTCGACAGAAGCATGACTCGATGACTGATTACTATCGCGAGCAGCAACGTCATCTGGCGATGGAGCTGACCCAGCGAATATGGGCAATTGTTGATGGCAATTTTGGTAGCGGATACAACTTGGAGTCAGAAGCGATGATTCAAAGCCTAGATCGGCAGTCTGACTTGTTCATCTTTTGAAAGAGTCGGCTGCTCTCGCACGTGGTATAGATTGAAGTGTGCATGACGAGAACGGGCGAAGTTGTTCTTGATGGAACCTTCCCAAAATTACACAGGCTACCTTATATGTTCCATCTCGTTTTTTTCGCGCAATGTAGTAGATTCTGGTATCACCAGGAAAAGAGACCAAGCCATGCTTGAGAAGGATTCGGAATTGAGGAGAACGTCTGAGCACGTGTTCAGGTACAATTTCCCCGCGCATCACGGGTCTCCAATTCATCACCCAGCTTGATCAGCAGTGGCTTGGGCCACTCACCAGAGGTGGAATTCTCTCTCTCTCTCTCTCTCTCTCTCTCTCTCTCTCTCTCTCTCTCTCTCTCTCTCTCTCTCTCTCTCTCTCTATCTCTCTCTCTCTCTCTCTCTCTCTCTCTCTCTCTCTCTTTATCTATGTCGCTCTATCCACCTGCATACTTTCCGTCGGAATAATTTTTTGTGATGTTCCCAAACGCCATACAAACGTTTCACTGCTGAGCATACAGACTCCAAGTAACTGCAACTCTCAACCCCGTCGCAAGATCAGCGCAAAGCAAAGCTCAGACCTAAAGTGGAAGCCATCATCCAAAGCAGAAGGATGAAGACTTGACCGGTTGTCGACCCGACCTGCAATCACAAGACCACGTCCCTAACCTCCACTAAGTCTAACTGCCGTTAGACCCGGCATAAACCGCCTGTGGATTCTACTCCAGGTCCGACCAGACTGGCCAGGAAGAAAGTAAAACATCGAATTCTGGATTCAGAACCCGACGGAAAGGCCTATTTTCTAACTGTGGAGTAACTTGATCAAGACGTCTGACCAGGCCTTGAACAGCTACAAGCTCCAGCCCCGATGGAACAAAGCAGTTGCTATCGCAGGATCGCGCACCAAGCCAAGAAACTGTTTTATGGCGATACGCTTGATTTTCAACGCTTCGACCGGAAAATAACGACAGACATGGATAACCCCGTACAGAGCGCAAACTTTATCCAGGGCCTACAACGTACGCCGCAGGTCCTGCATGCTGGTCCGACAAACCTGAAGCCCGGGTTTCTTGCTGCCAGCTCGCCCACCCCCGACCAGTGGCAAGGAACAGCGACAATGAAAACGCGGCCGTTGGTCCAGATCCAGTCTATCCGTGTCCAATCTGGCCTCGATCAGAACCAATGAGGACCGTGATAGATGCGCGACGATCAGCAAGACTCACGGCTCACCACCCAGACTGCGTTACGATGGAGGGTAGGCCGAGACAAGATACTTGGAGGCTGCATCGTGTCTATTTGTGTCCCTTTGGTGGCTGTTGCATTGAGATCGGCGGCTCGACTTTATCCTGTGTTTTTCTTAGGGGGACAATTCAAAATGGGAACGAGTGTGTGGGGGGTCTGGGATGTTGACAGCCATTTTCGGTCTGTGGACGACAATCGACTGAGTCAAAGTCATGAAATGATGTTCTTGATCACAGGCCAGAAGGGAGTCATGATAAGTCACCACTAATGAAATTCCCAGCATAGCACGGCGGCTGGTAGAACAGGCTCGAAGCCAACGTCTCCACGCGATGGGTCCAGCGCAGGCGAGCAGCAGTCTCAGCCTCCGACCGCACGGGCAGGGAAGAGCAAGGCGCAAATCATGCTTGGTACTGGTTGTAGTCCCGACGCGGGTACCTGAGTTGGATGCGTGACGACTGACAACTGACAACTGACACGTACAACTTTGAACCGAGTCCGACAAAGGTCTTGCCAACCTTGAGGTTGAGGTTGGGCCCGTTCCTGGCCCGCGGACAAGCTGCGTTCCAGAACAGGGGCACAGAGCAAAGTGATTGGTGCCTGGTGCGGTCGAATCTACAGTCCACAGTCCACACAGTCCACCTTCTGGATGTGGGCAAAGTGGGCAATGGAGCGAGAACCGTAGGAGAAAAAAAAAACAACAGCAATCTCGGCGGTGACGCCTGCTCAAGGCCAGGCTTGGAGGATCTACAAATCAGGGGTGTGTAACTGTGCAACTGTGCTGCAACCAGTCCGGAGCTCTGGCGTATGTTGTTTATTGTTGATCCGGGGAGAGTATTAGAGTAGTGGTTGCGGTACAGGAGGAGTTGATGTTTGCCAAGACACGAGAGAGGGTCGTACAGCAGGAATGTCTCGAATGGACGTTTGACAGGCAAGGGATCTGCTTAAATAGACGGACGTACACGATAAACGATGTGATCGGTCCAGACGGCTGATCAACCGGATCGGCATGGATTGGAGCGGTGGGAGAAGAAAAGCGTATAGAAAGCGATTGAACGGTCCGAGTTAAATAAGAGCCGTAATGTTGATGATTACCTAGCTACCTAGTAGTAATTAACTGAACTGTATCTTAACTTCTAGTCCTGTGAAGAGTACCTATTCTAAGCTGGAGTGCATCACTATCTACTAGACAACTGATTACATTGACCAGCGCCAACGCCACGCCCGCCACACCGTCGCATCTCGGCATCCAACAAAAACCAAGCTCCCACTTGAATCTCGGCAAGGGGCGAACGGGGCCAGCCTGGTTGAACTATGGATGCGTCCGTCCGCTATGAACCATCGATGTTTCAGAGTCTGGTTTCCCGCACCTTGTCAAACCTCTCACTGCATTCGTCACCGACCTGCTTCTTTTCCACCTCCCCCGCCTCACGCCAAACACCGCATACCGCTCAACAATACTGGTCGAGGCAAGGTCTCGTTGTAATACACATGATCGAATCACTTGATCCCGAGCTCCCGCGTACATGACTACACTGAAGTACACTCACACTGTGACTCTAGTGGCTCTGCAGTCTAAATACGGCTGGTGTGTGGACAGGGACACTGGACAGTACTGCTACTGCCGGAGATGAATGCCTTGGTAGAAGGACTCGGCAACGGTTCAAAAGTCAGTCAGCTTGCAGGATCCATGTTGATCTTTCTTTGGCTACCGTAAGCGCCGCCGCGAGGGGGTTGGGGGTCTACAATGACCAATGCTCTGTGGTCATGTCTTACAACAAGCCAGTCCATCTGCCGTGATGTCTGTCACAGAACCAAGATGAGCGGATGACAGGTGCAACTTCCATTACTTGCGAAACACCCGGCAAATCAAACCCCTTCTGAAGCATGGTAGGGAACGCAAAATCAAGGTCGTCAACCACCTCCCACCTCCGAGCGACCGCTGCAGCGCCGTACCCGCACGTCCGTGCCAAGACCATGCATGCAGAGCTGGGTGAGGTCTTCCGTCTTCATCCCCTTCCATTATCCGAACAAGTTTGAAGCCGGGCTGCGAATCTTGGCGGACGTGCAGTCCCGTGGCTTCGTTCTGCGGACTGGACGGTCGCGGCGCACGGAGTTGTAACGAAGACTTGCCCTGTACAGTTGACCTTTTTGATATGATCGGCCCGTATGGATACTCGAACCGTCATGGGAGAAAAAAGGAACTCAATCATAGCATTTAGTCGGAATATGTGCGACAGACAATCAGCGGGCGCAAAAGCTAAGCTGCCATCCCATAGAGAGGAACGGACCACCAGAGTGACCAGACTGAATGGAAGGCGGCCTCGGCTGTTTTCCACATGCGTACTCCACCGGCACCTGCAGGCTTCACCTCATTGACCCCGAGCTGAATAGGTGAGATCGTGTAAACAGAAGGAGAACGTTCCATGGAATGCAGCGCGGACGCAAAACCCGATCAGCAGCCATCAGGACGTGAGCGATGAAATCATTGTTTAGGGGAAAGCGGGGAATGCCGGCCTAGTTTGAATCTGAGACTTGCGGCTTGCGAGTGAACCAGCAACAATGGGACCAGGGTCTGTGAAAAGTGGATTACGAGAAGGAGAGGGGGATCTCCCGCCGTTTGAGAAATAGTTGCCTCGATTTCGAGTTCATCGCAGAGACGAAACGATGCAGCCCTGGATAGATTGCCTCCACAGTCTAGTTTCAACTCTCGTCTTGGCTTTTTCGAGATCGTTCCCGTGGAGCGGATCTGTGAGACTCATGTCAGGGTAGAGTGTCCGCGCATATTATATGCCCTTTTGGGTTCATGTTGAACGAGCTTTCATTGATGGAGTCTCGATCATGTCAGGGTAGAGTTATCCGGTAGACTCGGCATTGGGTTTAATAGTGCCTATTAGGCTAAAGCAAAGACTAGGTAGTAGGTAGTAGGTAGTAGGTAGTAGGTAGTAGGTAGTAGGTAGTGGTACTAACTTAAGAAGTACACTAACTACGTACCGCGTAGTCAAGACTCCTCTTCAGAGCCAAGAGTGCAGCAGCACAGTAGGAGACTAGGTGTAGAGTAGTCTCCAATCCTGTCCCGTCCGAGCATCTGACTCTGCTCTCGCAAAAGTGAGACCCAGCATGAAAAAGTGGACACTGTAGCCTACCCAAGGAGAGGAGTCGTTTGAAAACGAGCAATATTGCCCCACGCGGTCTCGCAGTGTTCGACATGGCGAAGCTTTGAAAGTCAGATCATAGCTTCATCGCACCGGTAGCAGTTGAGTTTCCAGAACGGATCAAGACTCCGCAGAAAGGGGCAGTTGAGTATTTAGTTGACGGACTGTCGTCGACCCGTCGGGGTCGGCCGACGCGATCTTATTGCCCAACTCAGCGAGAGAGATGGTGACCAGCTCTCACGTGCGGCTGCGATCTTGTTTTTCGTCTGTCATGGTGGATAAAGTCGGATTGTTTCCTTATTTAGATATCCATCGGGCGACGGCCTTTGTGCTGTAAGCTGCCGGTGGGCTTTCCCAGTTGCAGTATGCACATTGCACCCCGATGCTACGGAGAGGACCATTTGGGCACTGGGGAGTCGGACACAGGACTGACTACCGAAAGTGGTCTGGTACAATCACTAGTCGCGTTTTAGTGTGGCTGCTAAGTGCCTCCAGTACTATTAGTAGCATACGATAGTGGTACCCTAAATGTCGTTGTATGAGGATTGACTTGCCAGTGTACAGTAGTGTACAGTAGTGTACACTGTACACTGTACATTGGCAATGGCTGGTTGTATCCTCGATACTGCATCAGTGCATCAGGTCAGTGCATACTGTTAGTCAGAACGGAAAAAAACCCAATCCTTGACAGAAACGACCACAGGAACTCTGGGACAGGGTTGATCTGGTCAGGTACCCGCGTCCGGTGCCTGGCCCTGACCGACCGAGAACCCAAAGGAACCCGGGCTCCACAGTCTACCCGGACACAGGTACGGTACGCGCAGGTACCCAGGAATACAACTCACTGTCCGCATCGCATGCATAAAACAGTAGGCAGGTGAGGCAGTTCCAGGCCCCCTCGGAGAGTCGGGTTCGGCCCTCCAAGTACATGCTGGGTCACTCAGTGGGCAAGAGTAGTACCTCTTCAATTGTCCCACTTCACAGTGAGCACGGAGCACTGACCACGGAGAGTTGAAGGTGTCGAGTCCGCCCCCCCAAAAACCCGGACTGAATGTGCTCAGTCAGCGACTCCTGATTCCACCTGGCACCCCGTCCCGGAAGAGCACCTGCTCCTCTCCACACCTCCAGTGACGACTCCCTCGTTCCTCTCCTCTTTCGCTCTTCTCTTTCTTCCCTCCCACTGTGTGTCTGCCCTTTTCTCTATCCCACCTTCCTTTCTTTTCCAACTACACTTGCCAGGTTGCTCGTTTCACTCTTTCACGACGGCCGTACCGCTCCTTCATCCATTCCACTCTTTTATTCAATTCCAGACGAACGGTTGCTCCCCGGGGGAATCTCATCACCCTTCCACAAAAGCCCCGACCGTTCGCCCGTTGATCGACTCAACACGGTGCATTGCGACTCTCCGTCCTCCATTGACTCTCGAGACCAAGTCTTTGCACAAAGACTTTCATCCGGTTGATCCGAAGGACGCGTTCGCTTGAAGCCCTTATATCTTATCCCCGAGCTGCATAGGCCAGCCATTTTCATTCACTCTCACCCACCTTCCTTGACCGGCTTCCTACCCGACCACCCCAGGGTGCCTCTGCGACGCACCCTTACCACCCAACCACCCAACCACCCCACCCCCTCGAATCTCGCTGTCGATATTGTGTCGATCATCGATTCGTTTGCGTCTTCGGTTTTGTTCGAGACGCGCCACTCATTCTTATTTGACCTCTCCATTCCACTTGACCGATCCTCTCGCGCTTGACGCTGCTTCGAGAGAGAAAAGGGACTCGAAAGACTATATCGTCATTTCGCACAGACACCTCCCATCCACTATCGTTCCATCTGTCGGCTGGATCGCTATATTTTGACATCCTTGAATTGAAGACTTCAAGACGCAAAACCATACGAAAAAGCATTTCAACCACATTTTATTTTTCTCCCTGATTAGTCTCAAGCCGTCGCGTTTGAGGCTCCATCTTAGCCATTGTTATCTTCCTCGCATCACCATTGAAAAGACATGTCTTCGTTATCGGAATCTTCCGAGCCTTCGCGCTCCTCCGCCGCGGCCGTTGCGCGCTCCTCGTCTCCCGCGTCGACGCCGTCGCCCTCGTCGTCCAGTGTCACTACTGCTACCGGAGGAAGTGCGGTTCGTCGCCCGCCTCGCAAGAGCACCTTGACGCAGCAACAAAAGAACAATAAGCGCCAGCGCGCCACGCAAGATCAACTCGTCACCTTAGAGGTCGAATTCAACAAAAACCCTACCCCGACCGCTGCCACCCGAGAGCGAATCGCCAACGATATCAACATGACCGAGCGCTCTGTACAGATTTGGTTCCAGAATCGGTAAGCTATGCGAAAATCTGGATATCTGAAGCCTTCAGCTAATCATTCTTTCTAACAACAGCCGCGCGAAAATTAAGATGCTAGCCAAGAAGAGCATTGAGACTGGCGAAGGCTGCGACAACATTCCCGAGTCGATGCGCCATTACCTGGCCATGCAATTCGACCCCAGCAAACCCGGAGCTCGTGACCCCTTTGGCCGTGCCGCGGGTTATGGTGGCCCAGGCATTTATGCCAGCGACGCCAATTCATCAGGCAAAGTCGGTATGTATACGGATCCCTCCCAAGGACCAATGCGGCAACGTATTATGTCCTCTTTTTTTCTCTCTCTCTCTTTCTCTCTCTCTCTCTCTTTCATGTCCTGAGCTGACAATTCTCTCTGTAGTCATCTCTCACTTCACATGTCGTTCCCTGTCCATCGGCAGCTGGAGGCGCATTGGCCAAAACGCTATGGATCTCGTCATCTTTTATTCGCCCGACAAGGCCTGCATGACATATTATATCAACAATGACTCCGCAGGCTACAAGATCGAGTACCCATTCTCGGCCATCAAAAACATCACTCTCGAGACGGGCGACTCTGTGCCAGGGCCCAATGGTGTCCCCCCTCGGCCCGGTGGCTTGGTGGTGGAGCTGAACAGGCCACCACTGTTCTTCATGGACTCCTCCAATTCCGGCGGCTTTTACCAATGTGGTGACTTCACCGAGGAGCAACAAGCAAGTCAAATCATGGTCCACCATCTGGGTGGACATCCTAAGATCTTGAGTGTGCAATTAGCCAAATTGGTCTCCCTCGAGTCATTCCAGAATCGTCTGGCTTACAACCAATCCTTTGCTGTCCCCGCGGTCCCCGCGTCCATGTCCCCGCCTTTCATCCAACGGCCCGCTTCGCAGCCCAACCAATTTGCCGCTGCTGCGTACTTGAACCTGTATCAGGATTCCAATCATCTCGGATTCAACATGCCTGCGGCCGCTCGTGGCCACAAGCGCCAGCGCAGCCGGTCGGTACCTGCTGCAGTCGACCTCTCTCTGTTGCATGCTCCCATGCCCTCTTATCACATGCCTCAGACCCCTGCCCCCTTCGATCCTGCTGAGAATCGCCTTTATGCGCCAGTGCCGCAGTCGGCATCGACAATGCCCACGGAACTTCGCATCAAGACCGATACTTTTGGAGTGGACTTCCGTGCACACCCCTTGTCTGCTACTACTGCTGGATCCCCCACCGATTTCGCCAGCCCGTCTATGTTTAGCACGGCTGCTCACGGGGGCGAATCGACTCCGGTTCTTCCCATGTCTGCGCAATTCAACGTACCGCATTTCGTCACTGGGCCGTCTGATTCCCCAACCCTAGGCTCCCATACGACTTCTCCATACTCCAGTGTAAGCGGCGCTGATCCCATGATTGCCAACCATTCGCCGCCCATGTCCAACATGTCTCACGCATCCTCTGACATGTTTGGATTCGCACACGATCAGCAACCCGGTTTCGTCGAGGACGGAGTGTCGATGCATGATTTCTACGGGAAGTCTCAAATGAACTTTTCGTTGTCTCATGACGTCTCCAGCTTTGAGCTGCCCATTCACGGTTTGCCTGGTCATGCCTCCCCAACCGTTGGCGACTTTTCGGGGAATATGCTCAATCTCGACGAAATCAACTCTCATGGTCTCCCCACGGGCTCATGAGGGGATGACCTTTTGATAAGTGACTATTCAGTCTTGACGTTTTTACGGCCTTTGCTGGTGTGTTATGGGCGCTCGTTTGTTTCTGTTTCGCTTTTCAGGGTGTCGAGAGGTTGTCTCAAGGGATCCGTTTTGATCGTGCAGACTGAGATCCTGCTGGGCAGTTTCGCTTCTCGCTGGCGAAAGTCAAAATCCGGTCAGTCTGATCACTTTCAAGGGCCGGCCTTGCTGGCCCCTCGGCCCCTCTTGGTTTGGCTGTGCTTGTTCTTTTCTCTCCATTTTTCGTGCGTTTGTATCAATACCCTTTCCATTCTGAGGCCGGTCCTGAAGCGATTTTTCCTTCCATTTACCTTCGTCTTCTTCACTCATCCCCTACCTCGAAGAGGTTTTTTGAGGCTCTTTTTTCGTGTGCGCCGGGGACTCTTCAGTGTCCCGGTGGAAACCGGGGATGATTTCTTCACACTTTCTCCCATCTTGGCTTACTCAATGTGCCTTGGCTTTTTTTCCCTCAATCTCATACGTCGATTTTTGCTTCATTCGATTGTATGAGCCTTCTTCTTGGGCTTCTATGTGCCTCCCTCCCCTTTCTCTTTTCTCTCACGTGGTTATGCCCAACAGACCGACATTTTGGATAGCGGATGCTGCCCTCCTTCCCCATCTTTATTCTTTCCTTTCCTGTTGTTTTCTTTCCAATATCTTGCATTCGAGGTGGACCTTGTCCCTGAGGTACACGTCCTTGGTAGGCGACACGGCTTGTTGTCAATCATGTTCATGTACTCGGTTTCATGTCTTCTAAAGCCACGTTTGGTGACTGCTATATACCTCGTTCCCCTTGACCCTCCCTGTTGTCCTCATCTTCGTACAGTGAGTTTGCGCGTGACGCTGCGCAGTGTTGAAATAGACTCTTTGCAAGTGGTTACACTACGTTGCTCGCTGTCATACAGAGGTGTACACGCTGCAGATTGATATTGGCCTCTTGAATCAAGTTTGCATTTTTTTTTTTTGATGATCCAATTTCACTTGTCTGACTTGATGCAACCCAGATCACATAGATGTATCATATATTCCACGTAGTCGTATATTATCGTACATATCGATCGACTCAAACGAGTTGTCGCTCTCTATCATAGTGAGACTATGCTCGTCCGCCACACCCTATTATTTTGCACATCTCCACCGCCATGTCTTCCACGACACCAACAAGCCCGAGTCCAACGATCAAATCTCTCTACACTCGTGATTCGGACCATCTCTCACGAACTCTCCCATCCCCTCGGCACCGGCGCAACACAGCCCCTCTCCCTCAAAACCCTCTCGATCCAAACCTCCATCTTCTCCAACACATTCCTTCCTGGCTTCCCCTCCTCCCCAGCCTCAAACACCCCCTCCTTACACCAAACGCTCCACGACCCCATCATCCCCGCCATCAACACATCCGTCCCCAATCGATCCCCCACCACCGCAATCTCCCCCGCCGACGACACCACCCCCCTCTCGCGAAACCAACCCACCACCTCGTCCGCGCAAAACGGCTTCTTCGCCGCGCTCGCCGGCAGTCTGAACACGGGGATGCGCAGGTGCGCGAGCTGCGTCTCCAGAGAGCTGACTTCGGCGTCGAAGGACGGGTGGCTGCCGGCGCGGTTGGAGACGATCAGGATGGCGTGCGGGTTGCTGGTCATGTTGAAGGGGGAGGTGGGCGAGGTGCGGAGGGCGGAGAGCTTGGTCAGGATTGAGGGCGGGAAAGTGGTTGTTTTGGGGGGGCAGAGGGTGTTGTCTTTGTCGAGGACGAGGGCGCGGATTGTGGGTGGTTGTTCTTTCTCAGTGCTTGTGCTTGTGCTTGTGCTTGTGCTTGTGCGCTTGATGAGGTGCGGGCCGAGGTTTTCGGGGAGATGGGTGAAGGTGGGGATGGTGAGATGGGGGAGAAATTGAGTGGGTTGGCGGAGGAGAGTGTAGACGGCGTGGTTGAAGCCACGGAGGTTGGAGTTGGGTGAGCCGGCCATCTCTTTTGGGAGGGCAGGTTGAAGAGGGTGGTAGGGGTTGGATGTGCTTTCGCTGTGGAGGAGGGCGTTGATGCGCAAGTTAGGTGGAGATGGTAGGTTTGATGTCGCGAATGGCAAAGGTGTTTCGGGTTGTGTTATTGCATAGTCGATATGTTCACTGGATTCGTATGATATTTATTTGCAGGTCGAGTGGAAGTCAGCCCAAAAGGGAAGACCGTCAACGCTTCAGAACAATTCTAGGGGCAGATATAATCGATGCGGAGGTGAAGGTGGTGAAATCGCCAGTCCCGCCCAAAGCGGAGAGAAGCTGATCCGCAAAACTCGCTGGAGGAGGAAACTCGACCCGTCGGCGCGGCCACTCCGCCCATTTCGCAACTACTCTTTCTTCTACCATCAACGCTCTCGTCCATCAATCCACGGATATTCACAGCTCGCAGACCGCTACACCTGGTCTTCCAAGGGATCATTGACCCTTTTCCAGATACCCATTGGGCTTCGTTCACTTCGACTCTTCCACGAACCTCCTTCGCACCCTCCTATCCCGCACATCCCACCAGTCAAGATGGGCAAGCTTACCAGCACGATCGGTATCCCGATCAAGCTCCTCAACGAAGCGCAGGTGTGTCTTTCCTTACGCTTGGCTCTGAAATCAATTTGAAGGCAATCCTTTGCATTTACAAGGCACTCCGCGCCGGCAAGCCGAGCTTGCCCTTTTTTTGATTTCCCGTGGTAAACACTCTGAGGTGCGCATGCAGACCGCTAAACTCTTTCTCATCACAGGGCCATGTTGTTACGCTCGAGATCACATCCGGTGTCGTTTACCGAGGAAAGCTACTTGAAGGTGCGTCACGAAGTTTACGAGTGAATTGGCATCATGACCATGAGACATTTTCGAGATTAAGAATGAGCGTGGCTCTTCTACGAATTTCAAAGTCACCGGTTGTTTTGCGATTGTGATGGACGGGCGCTTTGCTAATAATTTCATTTCTTTTTTGGGGGTGGTAACAGCCGAGGACAACATGAACGTTCAGCTCAAGGATATTACCGTTACAGCTCGCGATGGCCGTGTCTCGCACTTGGATCAGGTTTACATCCGTGGTAGCCACGTGCGATTCTTCATTGTGCCAGACATGTTGAGGTGCGTATAACAACCTTGGGAACAGACCAATTCCGAAGAGTCTTTTCAGCTCCGCTTCACAAAGGATGGTCCACCATTTACTGATCAACGATGCACGGTACAGGAATGCTCCCATGTTCCGCTCACGAGGCCAGCGTGGCCGCGGTGTCGGTCTTGCCCGTGGTAAGGCCACAGTCCAGCGCGCACGTGGCCAGCGGAGAGGTTGAGCCGGGGGTTTTATCCTGTGATTATGAAGGCGAGTGGAAATACAATATCAAGGCCTGGAAGTATCTTCTACGTGGTTGGCGTTTCTGTCATATCTGCAACTCTATATGCCTTTCTTCTCTTTCTCCCCCTCTTCTCTTCCTGCCTCGTGCTTCTCAACTCTAGGAAGTCATGGTCACTGCTGCTCGGAGAATATGAAGCGATTACCATAGACATGGGCTTTCTGGCTGGGGTCTGATCCTAAAGTCGACCCGCAGAACATGGTTCAGCAGACAGGGCCTGGGTTCAAATACTGAAATACCCGCAGCATTCTTTCTGGAGGACTGGCCGAACTGAGACCTCAATCCTCAATCACATAAGGCGAGAACCCAACGAGGATGGCTATCTACAGAAATGGCGTAGATAGTTATCAAATTACAAGTCAATCGGGAGAAGTAGGTTGCAACTGAGGTCAATGACCGCCGGGGGCCTGGTAGAATTAGCCGGTGATTTAGAAATCATCGATCAAAGTCAACGTCAACACGACAATGCTCAGCCAGTCTTGTACAACTGGGAGTCCCTGAAGCTTGATCTGGTGGATTCGGATTGTTATCTCAATCGACCCCGATAAAGTCGATATCGATAACAGGCACGCCCCCGTCCGACCTTTTTGCCCGACGGTGTCGAGGGTGCGGCCTTTTTCTCTAACCACATTCACTTCGTTGCGCCAATGGTGCCTTGATTGACTGACAATTGGTTACAATTAATCACTACTTTCAGATAACCCAGAGGAATCGCAGGTTACACTCACTTGTCCTTCCTCCAGCGACCATCCCCACCATGGCCCCTTCAGCATCAACCGGCTTCCCCGCAGCGCAGCTCAACAAGCCGCAGAGCAAAGACATTACCAATCCACGACGCCTCCTCATTCTCACGCCGACATCACAATCAGTCTCCATTATCCCCCCTCTTCTTCACTCGCTTACCGGTGTCCCTGTAACGGAACCCCCACAGCATACTCCTCCCAAGTCAGAAACAACATCACAACCATCGGCCCATACCTCAGAAGACACATCCGGCTTTGCAGACCCTCATGAGGATACGGGCGCGACCGCCGGTATAGCTTCTTCTTTCGCGGGCTACACCACACATGCGCCGCTTCACCTGGAAACCAAGTATTATACGGCCGACATTCCGCTCTGGGTCGACGAAATCCCGTCGACGAGGGATGGTGCGGCGACGGCGCCGTTAGTCCCCGAGAACGAAAGTTCGTCCTCGGTCCCTAGCCAATGGCGAATGGAATTTCTCAGCGAGGAAGCTCAAATTGTGCGCGATGCGCTCGGCGCCCTGGTCGTTTGTGTGAAGCGTCCGGAAATCACGCGGACGATAACACCACCTGGGTCGAACGATCACCCTGTGAACGAACCTGATCTCTCGCGACGGCAAGATGTGCGCGCTGTGCTGGAGCTCATGCGTGATGTCGGTGCGGTAAAGGGGTGTATTGATGATGAGCGCGGCGGTGATGGCGATATGGTCGGTGTGTTTGTCTTGGTTGGAGCTCGAGGATCTGCGGGGACGTCTTCTCCGGCTCGGAGTGGGCTTGATACTGATGATGGAGGAGAGGGCGTTGTTGGGGATGAGATTGGTGGCGCGGATGTGCCGTTATCTGTGGGTTGGTGGGAGGATCAGCTTTTCGATATTGGCTTATTTGGTTGGGAGGTCGTGGAATGGGATCCTGCCGAGAAAGAGGGGCAGACTGGGGAAGGGAGGAAGAGGAATCAGGTCGGAGGTAAAAGCCTTCTATTTCTACTTGAAATTTCTTCTCCTGCTTGATGCTGACATTGGGAAATTAAAAAAAAAAACGACTAGAATACGAAGGTATGCCGCGCATCAAAGAGGTTCTCGAAACACACGACTGGAGCACGCCGAGCCCTGCAGAAGACCTCGACGACGAGGATTTTGGTTTCGACGAGGACGATCTGGAGACAGAACTTCTCGGGTTCGGCCAAAGAAGTCACACTTCTGGCTTTGGACAAGAAGTCCATGAATTAGAGAGGGAGATGCTGGGTCTGCGCATGGCGATTGAGCGCGGTGGTGGCGATGGAGACAGCGACGATGACGGCAACGAGGAGCTCAAGGTTGAATCGATCGAGGGGTTGATGATGCGAATGCAGGCCATTCGAGGTACGTTGCTGATGGGCCGAATCGTGGCAAGGATAAAGCGGATGGTCCGCCTCGCGCTAAAGTGTGCATTATGCTGATTTGATTTCTTGTAGATATGGGGTCAGATTTGCCCGAGGCTGCACGCAGGAGATTTGCTGCCAAGGCCGTGTCTGAGATCATGCGAGAGTTGTAGCACGCTCTGAAGAAGAGATAGAATACTGTCCGTGTCAGCTTTGTATAACTGTATCATCAAGGTATCATCATGAGCGCTTGATTCTGCATGGGGGAGCGTGCGAGAAACAATGAACACGCCTGGCCATTCTTGTATGGGAAGAGAAGCTCAAAAAGTATCGTAACGGCTGGGCCTTTTTTCTTCTTCTTGTCAAAGGGGTCTTCAAGCGAATATTATCATTGCAAGGCTTTTTATTAGTACTATACAGATTTGATTCAAACGTTTCCCTATCCAAGCCCGATGGTATCTGTTTCCATCACCCATTTTTATCCTTACACATGTTCGTCAACCCGTCGATCCAGCCTAACAACTCTATTAGAGCGCTGCTCGCTTCAAACAGACCCCATCGCGGCTTTTGCTCAGCTCGGACGATCACGTCCCACAAGAAATCCAACCACGAACGAATCCCGTCAGCACGTCTAATCCGCACGCTTCTTGCCACGCAGGACCTTGCGACGCTGCGAGATCATGTGCGTGTACAGAATATAAGAGCCTGTAGTCGGTCAGCATGTGGCTCCTACTCGTTGATCCTCCCAGAATCCCATGGGTCTAAGGGAACCCATACCTGGCACATAGATCACAAGCACAGCGATCAAAAAGTACTGGAATAGCGGATCGACCGCGCCAGCGGGACCGAGCGCCTTGAAAATAAGCGTGCACTCGCTGGTGATTCCGATCGGATAGAGCACATAGAAGGTGTTGTATCTGTGAGCCCCGGCGGATGGAGAACATTAGCAACCGATCTTATTATTGAGCTCGCTCATCCCCCGTGCTCAATGCGCGGGGACACTCGACGCAATAAAAAGCCCCGAATGGCCCAAGACGCGAGAGAATAGAAAAATCCAACAGAAACCGTGTAAGAAACTTACCGCAGCCACGTCCACCAAGCAGGCACACTCCCACCCGAGAGCGTAATCGCGAAGAACCCATACCGAATCACCTCGGTAATCCCCCACGCAGCAACACATCCAAGATACGCATAATCGCCCAACTGCTCGCTCTTCGCGCCCACGATATCTCCGCCGAATTGCGCCAGAATCCCCCATACAACCAGCAGTCGCGATGCGACCTGCATGGCGGTCGTGACGAAGGGCGCGCGGACAATCCCAACTAGACTGTGCAGCACTTCGAGCAGGGCGAGCGATTGCGTCGCCAGGAGGAGAGGATTGAAAGTCGCGTGGAAGATTGAGGGGATGGACTTGGTCGCGAGGGCCTCGGGCACGAGGCTGGCTGTGTAGACGAGACATGCGCCCCAGGCGAGAAGGTTGGCTGTGTTGTAGGTGAAGAGGTAGCCACGGGTCAGGCCGGTCGGGCCTGACGGGCGGATGGTGGGTGGGTTTTTTGATGAGGACATGATTGTGATGATGTGCGGCCGGGTGAGATGATGGATCGAGCGAGGTACAACGGAGAGGTGCGCGGTGTTCTTTGGAGGTGGACTGGGTGAAAGTAAATAGAGACGAATGTAGTATCCAATTGGGTGGAGAAGCGTTGAGCGCTGTTGAGCTGCGGAAAGCCAGCTGGAGGGCTGGACCGAGGCTCAATTCTTACATAAGCGCAGCATTGACTGGCCGCGGGCGTATGCGATCTGCGCGGGTGTCGGATAAAGCACGTGGAAAGAGGCTCTTTGCAAACTTCCCTGTCGCCTGTGTGGCGCAGGGAGTCTTTCTTTTTTTCTTTTGAGATGGAGATTGTTGTGTTTTTTGTGATTCTGATATTATGTCTTTTGAGACCGTCATCTCAGTCGTACACTCATTCTCAAAGTCTTTGAAATCGAGGTAGTCAATAGCTCAATGCGACGGTCTGGACTCAGCAATCAGTATCGTTGAGATTCGTTCGTCAGTATTTGGGTCTCCTCCGATCGTTGCTCTTCAGCCAATTTGGCTCTATCTTCTGATGACTCTCATGTTTGCGGCTCACTGTTTGTATCGTGTCGATGTCCTAGGTTGTTATATCCTTGCCAACCTGGCCTTGAGTTGAACTGCTCACGAAGACATGAGTGTGTCGCGAGCTATCTGGCTGGATTCGATCAATATATTTTGACTAGAGTTACAGCAGTATAGCTCCGTGTTTCTTGACAAGCGTACTGAAAGTTAGAGCCCCCGGATAGCACGTATCCAGAATCATACGCCGAGTGGGATTCATTACTAGATAGGTGGTTTGTGTATTCCCACGTTAGTAATATCTTAAATCGTGGTCGAAAGCTTAGTTACTGATAGTACTTGCGATCTTGTAGACAGATGGGAGAGTTTGAATCTATACGTCTTCTCTCTTGGTTCATGTATAGATTGTGTGGTGATATCAGCATCAGTGGCTATGCTCATTGTTACTTTTCGCGCCGGACTGGCCGATTCATAGTCTCCAATAGCCGTCAGAATTCACTTTACTCACTTTGAGGGTCTCAGATCTAGCTCTGATTGAGATTCTATCACCTTGAGATACGACAAGACAACTAGGACACGTTCGGATTGGCTGCGCATGGGAGTATTGTTCAACATCTCATCCCTCTTCCAAATTTTGCTACAAAGAGTCGAACGGATAGCGAATGCCGGTTTTTGGGTCTTTTCAGTTTACTCAAGTCTTCCCAGTCTGGCAGACCCCATGCAGCCTCTTCTTGCTCCATGTGACCCCAGTGCCTGTGCCCACGCAGAGCCAAAACAGGAAGTCAACGAGCCTTGGAAAATCTCAGTTGTTCATGCAGGTGCCCGCTCAAGGCCCTGACCTTGAGGCTTGACTTTGCTGACCCAGCCAGATTATATCCTTCCACTAGAATGATTCGATCTACGCCTGCAGTCGAGTATGAATCAGATGATGCAATGCAGGTTAAACCATGTGCTTACCAACCCCACACCGATCCTCTCGGCTGTAATCACCAGTGAATTAGACTCGACATTCGAAGCCGAGATCGGCCACTACGCTTGTGAATCATGTACATGGATTGATCAGGCGTAGTCGTGGGTACTACGTCCATTTCCTCGGACATACAAACTTGCAGGGCAGAACAAAACCCGTCAAATCGCGCGCTCGGCAAGACCCGGTGCTCAAAGTCTATCTTGCCGGAAATCTCCTCCGGCCAACGGCACAGCCATGCGCCTGACAGGCCTCAGCCACAATGTCTTGTTGGCGGATCGGCCAAAGTTAGTCCGGCTAGTCGTTGTTAGCCTTCCAATGACTTGACGTGCATTGACACCTGGCTTCAATTGTGTGCTGCACTTGCGAGAGTCAGGAGTCAGGACGGCAATGTGTCCAGTGTCCACTTGTTCAGGGTTGTGAACTCTGCCGTATTAACCGCACTATCGAGTCACTGTGCCTTGGTTAGCTGGGGCCTTTGACACGGCTGAGCCGGTTTGCCTGTGTTCCTCGGCTGAAGGAGTCGTGTCTTTAGGGAGTAATTACTGGCTAGGTTGTTTGTGCCAGGTTGACCAAACTTTGAAGATGGAGATGCGCGTTGTTCGCAAAGACTTTGGGTGGGGGTTGAACGTGTTAGTAGTAGTAGTGGGAGGACGGAGGTTCAGGTAATCGACCAGAGAAGCAAGAAAGAGGAAGTTCCGGGTGCTCAGATGAGGGTTGGAAGTTGTTCTAACTTCTTCATCGGAGCAATACAATCCGTTAGTTTGATATCAAGTTGGAACAAGTTTGTACCTTTCTACTTGTTGTGCGAGCGACAAATATCATATTAATCCGATGCCGTGATAGGCTGGTACACAGTCGACCACTTGATAGTAGTTATATACTAACTATATACTATAACTATAGTGTATAGTGATACTGTGTGTCACTGTTGCTATACTCTGACTCTCTTAATGACCCTAGAATGTACACCGGCTAGACTGAGTTTCATTTGATTTTATGAACTAGTCGATAGATCGCCTCTTGATCCTGAATGCACAACACATGAGCACAATCAGATCAAGTCTAGTACACTGCGCTTGTGGACTCAACGCGGTATAGACTACCACTATAGTCTATCAGACTAAGAAACACTCCCTCTATGACTTACCAAATTGAGCGGTAGGCCGAGCTGCTATGTCTCCTTGTCTAGTCTACCCCTCAGCTCAAGTGACATCACACAGACAGCTTTCCAGACTCGGTCTGACTCACCTTTTTCGTACGGACTGACGGTCTGCACTCAGACCACGCTTGGACTCGATTGTGACTCGAGGCATCCAGATCATAGATGTGATGTTCATACCAGACAAACGCTCCTCGTCTCGGCTGCAACTTTGGGTGCCAAGTGCTTCGATACTTCAAGAGATACACGGGTCCACGTCTACGGAATGTCTATGGTGCAGTGCATGTGAATCACGATAAGTCGATTCCTTGGGCTGTACACCTGATTGTTTGTAGCCACGAGCTCGTCATGACAATCTGTGTGTGAAGTGTGGAGTGTGGATAGTGGAAGGGTCTTTTTACCGCGGTGTTCGATGATGAGTCCAAGGCTTCTCCTGTCCTCTTTCTGTCACAGAATCGTGATACAACGAGAGAGTGAGTCTGCAATAGGTCTACTCCCCTCCCGAGAACTGTACCCAGCAGTGAGCGAGTTCTTCTTTCCTCAGGACGGGTGGCTTCGCGATTACCTACCGTCTTGGATCAGATATAATTCACCGATACATTGGATAGCGATGGCTATGAATCGGTATAGAAAGCGCAATCCGACAGTATGTACTACGTGATAGATGCAGTTTGGAAACCAGAGGTGAGAGTCCATGGCGAGTGGTTTACTCACTGTAGTCTGTAGTCTGTACTCTGTACAGTGGATTGTGTGCTCACCTCTGCGCTCATCCTCGTAATTCCTTCTGTGCCAAAGTCTCACGTTGTACATGACGCTAATGCCATCTAACCATTACCTGCAGAGCTAATTTAGTCTGACGTGAGTTGTTTCATGCACCCTGACGTCATGTGCGACTTGGCATGTTCAAGGACGAGTTCTCTTCCACCGGTAGACCTTCTGTCAGACAGTAGCAACTACCTAACATAGCAAGGATAGTTGGAATCTCTCCGAGTCTCTCGCTGTATTGGAAATGAGAAAAAGCTGGGTCTGCACCATCTGGATACGAGTATAGAAGATTGTCTGGCTACGGACCTAGTACCTGTACCTCTTTGGCGATGAATCAAGTCAAGCTTGGGAAGGCTGGAAATGCCATGGCATGTACCATAACATCTCCGCGGATTGACAACAGTGACCATCGGGAGCGGAGCCTTGCACCAAGCCTGCAGGTTGCGCTCGGCGAGTCAGGCGAGATGAGCTCGACATCTCTTCACGTCCGCCTGTCAGATTTAGGCCGGGAGGCAGCACGGGCAAAAGTCCGTCATGATGATAGCATTCGATGGGGGGAAAAGGAGGAGGACGAAGATAAGATACCGTGACACTCAGCGCATACCGGCTCATACACAGATATGTTACCGTGCCTGTTACCCGCGTGGTAATACACAATACGGCGAGTGACATCAGAGGCGGTAGGGGACAGCCCGAGACGCCACGGTGATGTCATGGTCACGCCTGACGATGTTGATTGGTGGACTAGTCTCGGACCGGGGCATCTGTCGACGGACCCGAAGATGAGAAATTGTTGAAATGACATCGTTGGTTCAGATGGTATATAAGCATCAAGAGATGACGTCCATGGCAGTTGCGAACCTTTTGCGCCGCCTGTTATAACTTCAACAGAAGATCCAGCAAGAGATTGAGAGTCGGATCGACCTCGACATGACTGAGTGAGTGTATGAATCACACGACTCAAATCCTCGCGACAAAACACAATCATAACCACGCTCATCAGTGTGCTGCTACCAAACACGACCCTCGGTCCCTCTGCTCTGGTGTCATTCCGACAGCCGCAACATTGCTTATTCGTCATCGGTGACAGCATTAATCAATCCATCGACGTTCTAGCCTCGCAACGACCGACGACTCAGAAACCAGCCTGAACTTTCAACCCGAGCCTGTCCGCCGCTTTTCATCCAGCCCAGCCTTCCACGTCCGTCTGTGTCGCCTACCGCCCCCCCGCCCCCGTCCCTCGCGCCGTTTCTGCTTTCAAAGAAGGAGCGCCCCCCCCCTTCGCTCCGTGGCGCATCCAAATTTGGGCATCCACGAGTTTGGGCATTCCACGGAACCAGGCGAGGGAGAAAGGGAAAAGAAAGACAGTGTCGATAAAAATGTCTCAGGTCGAGCCGTCCTCCCGTCGACAACGCGAGACGGGGGTTCCACAGAAGGGAATCTGAGCTGCACCAACTGCAGTGGGACATTTGCCGAAAGCCGGAGCTGCCCCAGCCAGAAGGCGGAGACGGGAGTTACATCCCTGCTCCGTGCCCACAGCATCTTGGGAGCATGGTTGAGGATTCTTTGGGTAAGTGCCTCCTGTTTTACCGTAGAACCTGAGACTTGTGCACACTGCACAGTCCTGAACGAGAGCCGAGGATTCCTATCCCTGTCAGTCCGGTGACCACTTGCGAATCATTGCCCTCGGTAGAATGACCCCTTCACACACATTTTCCTTACGAGAATTCAAAGATTCGAATCTTGGAAGAATTCTTCCCGGAGTCGAACTGTGAATTAGAGAGGAAACCTGACAAGTGATGGGTTTGTAAGACTGGTAGCAATGGGGTCGGCCGTGTTATCGAGGCAGTTCGTCGCGCCTTGTGGAGATCAACCCAGACAGCACGCCCCACGGCCCACGGCCCACGGTGGTCTTCCACGTCAAATGCACCGGGGAAAACAATTCCCGATCGAATCGTGAAGAGGAACACGATGGAACATAAGATGGCCAGACAGCCAGGGGAAGTTGGCTCGACACTCGGGACCAACCTCACCGTGAAGCAAATATCCGCGTCCTGCTGGAAGTTGAGTTTGGGACCACTCGGCGTCAAGGCAGAAAGAGGAGAGCTCGAGGACTGGTCGTCGCACTCTGCCCGAGTGGGGACCATCCATGCTGTCGGTAATCCATACACGCAGTCCAGTGGATATGGAAGTTGCAAGAGTTCCTTCGCAAGGTCCCGTACCAGCAGCCAAGGGAGCGCAGGATCTGAATCACTGTATATTTATTCCAGAGATTTCAACAACGCTTTGTGATATCCATTGACCTTCAAAGACGTGGATGGTCCTGATGAGAAATGACTAGTCCGACCGTTCGTCTCAATGCGGCTCTCAGTCACGACGCCTCCAGGGCTCGGCCCGGCCATACTGTATCATGATGACGCGATTGCAGGACGGTACGGGAGCGGTAGAAAGCTAGAAACAATACCAAAAAGTATAATCCTACCATACAAATCATCTGCTACAGTACCGCTCGTGTGGAGAAGTCGATATGGCGTGAAGCTTGCGATATCGATTTCTCGGCTAAGGGGGAAAACAGAGCAGTTCGATAATGGAAGTCCTAGGATTCTGTGAAATTATACGGTGGACAGTTGTGTCAACCACGATGATGATACACCTCGATGGATGCCAATCGTGTGGGGAAGGAGAGATGGGCGGGACCGCGAAAGTCCATGCAGCTGATGACAAGCATAGATTGGATACTGGACCAGTAAAGGGTGCGCACGAGGGATTGTATTGGCGATCTTATTTTCTGCCGGCCAAATTGTCACGTTACCCAGGTGAACATCCATATGACGGGCAGCCGACGTTAGCGTAGTAAGCGGCAAGGCTGACAGTAGGCGGTAGGAGCCCTCGGGGTGATGGAAAATTATGTGGCACCGCACTTTGCAGTTTGCATTTTGCCCTTTATGGCGTTTGCTCCTGTACAGTGTACTGTATGACACTATGGATACATTATAACATACATAAATGTACATGACTCCACAATCCTTGAATCCACCAATTCCACTCTCATTAATGCCGCCTCTGGAAACTTTTTAAGCATTTGCCTAAAGATTGTCCAAAGATTGTCTCCTGTCCGATACGAACCTCCAGACGTCTTTTCATCTGATCAAGAATCGCACCCATACTTTTATGATTCTTTGACAGACACTGCATGATTTTATCCCTCCACAAGCTGGTTAGAATCATGATGGATATCGAGGGAAGGAATGGTTTCATCCCGCACTGCTAGCCAGATGTACATCCGTAGGACGTATGTAGTAGATAGGTTGGAACTGGTGAAATGGTGTGTGTGTGTCAGTGTGATCCATCATTCCGTCATGTGTAGTTGTGTACTGTACCAGTGTATATGCTCTCTGTTTCACTCTCTATACGAAAGTACACGGGGTAAAGGAACCCTCTCAGCTTTCACAAATATGCAATCTTATAGTCATTATACACTGCATCCTGTGCTAGTCGTAGTAGAAGGCGACTGTTAGGCCTGCCAATCTGGAGGTGTGGCCTAATATAGTCAGTCATACTCATCATCTGTACGATATTCTCCTTGTTTGGTCAACCCGGCAGTAAGCTTTCTCCCTAAACTAGTCAACACTAAACCGAGTAAACTCTCCCTTCTGACAGCATCCATCCGGCGGGTTCGACGGTACGGTCACCGGGAGTCTCCATCCATACCGCACCAGGACTCTTTGGGCGACTCCGTCATGATCAGTGGTAATCCAAATACCCACCCCCCCTCGTGTGTCCCCCCCCCCCAAATCCCACGAGCCTGGAATATCAATATTCAATACGCCTGCATACCGAGATTTACCGCCTTCAATTTTCTGAATCGAAGTTTGAAGCACCCCCGCCTGACCCTCGCTAACTGCCAGTGTGGTCTAGTTTGGTCACTGGAAGTGTGGGCACTGGGCACTGGGCACCTCTGGTAGGTTTGATTTCTCTTTTCAATCAACTGTCATCAGCCAGCGTCGAACTGTCCCTCTCTCTGGTCCCCTCTCTCATCTCTTTCTGCTCGTCTTCCTCACACTTGTTCCCCCGGCATATACACGAAAGACCGAGGAGCTTCATTCTGTGACGTCCACGACGTGTTGTTCCAGGTAGGTTTTCCACATGTCCTTGCATGTTCGTCATCTCTGGAGAATCCAGAGTGATGAAGAGGCTCTCTGTGCAAACGGTTTGGTCACGCATCGCATACACCGTCATGAATCATTCTGCCCCTCCTTTCCCTTTCTCCCCTCCGCGTCCTATCGACTGGACGTCCAGCTTCAACACAGACAAGTGATCACTTCAATGGTGCTCAACCTTCTGTGAGGGTCTCCTTGCCAATGGATCTCATACTGCATCTGGTCATTGGGGTCTATTTTGGACCTCCCCGTCTGTGCCTCTCCGTTTCGTTGGCTCAGTTGCCTTTCTCGGCGGCGTGTGTCTACCGCGATCTAGCTTCAAGGGCTTCAAGCTTTTGGCATCGGCGCGTCTGGTCGATGGGACCCGTGACGGAGGAATTTGGATCCCAAAGCCAAACTCATTCCCCAAAAAAACACAAAACCACGCCAAAAAAAGAAATCCATTTCTCAAATATTCCCAAAAGAGAAATGGATGAACATTCTCATGGCGCTTGATGCTGGTTGACTCATGCCCCGCCATGTCCGCCCCCCCCCTTCCCCCTCCAAAGATAGTCTGAATTAGATCATCATTCGGTCGGTTCGCTCATTCTATCGGAGGATCCATTTCATCTGATCCAAACTGTCGTTGGCCCTCGGGTGGGACTATGTGTGCTCTATCATCCCAAGTCTCGGGCAGTGCTCTTAGCAGGATGTGGAGTGGAAGCACGGAAATGGGGGAAACGAAGCGGAGCCACCTCGCATCGTGCTCATGCCAAAAGTCCTCACGCGGCCACCTTTCTCCCCTCTTCTGATTCCATCTCCACACGCCCAGCTACACTTGAACACGAAAGACAGCAATTCTGATCTCGTGGTCTGGGAGAGATATTACACAATACAGGGAATACACACCCCCTCCAGAGGCAACCCCTCCAAGAGATTTGCGAGAATCCCCCTTTTCCGTGTCTGTCCTCTGACGCTGGTCATCTCTGCAAGTCTCGTCGCCGAGCCCCTTGTCCTCGCTCTTGTGTGTGTGTCCTGGTTCTCTCCATTCCATTTCAGCGCCCCTGGGTGTCCTTCACATCTCACTCCACCATCGGTCTTGCTTCATCAAACGTTGTGGTGTTCCCCTGTCACTATCTTGGCACACTCACCAGCTTGAGAACCTCGCATAGTAAGCTGTCCAACTTGTCTGGTTCTCGTTCCCAGGGTGATGGACCAGTTTGATTCTCTTGATCTGTTGGTCTCTGGTCATGGTCACTGAAGCCGAGTATTCGGAGACCGTCATGTTCCCCGGACAGCCTGGCGGCGAGTGAAAGCCCTTCTGCCGTTGAGGAGGTCCCGTTCTCTCTGCTCGTTGAGCGCCAGTAACCCTGATGAGCTCCGGAAGTTGAACATGGCAACACTGCCGCTCTGAACTCGACCACAGTGACAATAAGTCTTTTGCATTTGGGTTCCTCCCGCCAGGTCGATTCTTTCGGGTTACTCTTCAGCACTTGTTATCAATGGTGGCGTCGGATGCAGGCTTCGGCGACGGCAGATGCAGATGATCCTCCATATCTCTTCATGGTCACTTTATGTGTCCAGCTGGTTTCGACAGCCCAAGTCTGACGTCGGCAGGCCGCTCAGTTTGGCACGGACCTTGAGACAGTGGTCACTACTCGCTAGTCATCAGCCACACCCTTTTTTTTTCCCACCCCTTCCCATTTCTTCTACTTCTATATTCACGATCCAAATCTCCTCCACTTTTTCAATACTCGAAGCTTTGCCTTGCTATGTTTCCAGCTTATCAGAATTCTTGAATTCTGATTTGATGAGTCAATCGTTGACTGACCTCGCGCGCCCTGCAGATCCATTCAGCTGTCGATCGCGCATTACCAAATCGGGAATTTCCAACGCTCGATCGATCCGCCCACGATCTCAAGATCCTTGTCCCGTGACCACAGTGACCCTGCTTTTCCTTGGAGCCTCCGTGACCCTCCCCCACTGCTTCATTTTCAAGCTGCCATGGCCCCCGCCGACAGAAAAGAGGTGAGCACATTCCCTTCGCCGACCCTGCTCCTTCGTGGTCGAATCAAGGGATGTCCCACTTCTGCGGACATGCATTTCACCCCCAGGAGGGGAGTCACAGATGAATTTAAGCTTATCATTTGACTTTTCTTGTCTCGCTGCAAGGCCAAGGCTGCCCCACCCAAGCTCTCCGATGTGAAGGATCTCATCGATGAGGGCACTTTCGAGCAGATCCTGGAGATGGACGATGATGATGACTGTGACTTCAGCAGAGGCATCGTCTATGGCTTCTTTGACCAGGCCAAATCTACATTCACCAACATCAAGACTGCTCTGTAAGTAGCTGCCTTGCCCGACCTTCACTTTCCGGCCTCTTTCGCCTCTAGAGCTTTTCGCGTTTCGACGTCGAGCCATTCCTCTCACACCCTTCGTTGAACACCTTCACCATGCCGCGTGACTTGCTTCTACTTCAATGTCAGAAAAGTCTCTAACGATTTCGCCACAGTGACAAAAAGGACTTGCATGAGCTCTCGCAGTTGGGGCATTTCTTGAAGGGATCTTCCGCCACTTTGGGTCTGATCCACGTCCGCGACGGTTGTGAGAAGATTCAACATTTTGGCAATGGTCTGGAGGAGAATGGCTCGGGCAAACTCGCCGACGACGTGGCTCTCAAGAACATTGAGAAGACCTTGAAGGAGGTCGAGGTCGAATACGCCAAGGTGGAGAAGTTCCTCCGTCGCTTCTACGGCGAAGAGGTCAAGGACGAGCCCGAGGTCAAGGAACCTGAGGCCAAGGCCGCACCCAAGTCGGATGCCAAGGAGGAGAAGCCTCTCACGGATTCGGAAAAGGCTGCCGAGAAAAAGGCCGACAAGGAGCCGGAAAAGACTGCAGAGCCCTCCAAGAACCACGTCGCTGAGGAGAAGCCCAAGGCGGACGCTGAGTTGAAAAAATAAACTGGACTATCTCGCAGTCATTTTTGGGAACCTGGCCGGATCTCCAGCTCTGCCTTCGGTTTTTTTCTATCTGCATCTTTTTGAATCCCAACCCCGGTTCACTTCAGAGTTCACGTCAGACTTGGAGATGTTCTACTCCCCCGCGCTTCCCTATACACATCACCCTTCCCCCATTCCGCCATTTCTCCCCAACACCCCCACGCCCTCCCTCATTCATCTTTCCAATTAGCGACGGTTGGAGCATTGCAGAGGGTCTCTGCACCTGATGTCTTTCTTACACCCCCTCTTCTCTGTATGCCTCTTTTACTTTACCTCAATGACCTCATTATTTTACACCGCTCTGGCCTCGCTCTGGCCTCTTCTACAATATTCTATTTCCATTTTCCTGGCCTTTGTGACTCTTCGTGGATCCTTTTCTTGACGACTTCGTTTCAGTTTTTTTTTTTTTTTTTGACGTACATACCGGATTGTTTTTGTCCCTCCACGATGCATCCACCCCCAAAGTTGTGCTTCTGACGACGTTACGCCCCGATCTGAACGAGCCAATGTCATGCAAACGAGCATATGCGAGACTGCGAGTATGTGAAGCCTCCCAAGGGCAGCGAAGCCCGTTACGTAACGAACCGGAACATGATCTGGCTTTATACTGTGCTCTAGGACCTCTCCGTAACAAACTTTTGCATTTCTCGTTTCGAGGGGGGGCATCACGACAGGACTTTACACGAAACGACAGTGGTGCACACCCATACTCATTTGTGTTGAGGATTTCTCCTCGTGCGGCGCAGAGTGTCGCATGCTGACTTAAAATAATTGACTGGGTCGGTAATGGATCGAGCACCTGTGTTTGAGTTTTTTTGTTCTGTCGTAGTGTCCAGTCAAGAGTATTTTTGAGCGGAGTAGAACCGGGATCACGTACGAAACATCTCTCTGTAAGGGAAATTGGACGGTGAATGAGATCCCACGGCTAAATAGTTCAGCCAGGAATAGCAGCGGCAGACATGATGCGCCACTACGTCTAGCTTCCTGTACTCCGCGTTCCAGAGCTGTTCGTCTAGCCTCAGTACTCAGAAATGTCATGCTCCATGCTCCATCCAAATCCTCCTATCGAGCCAGATTCTCCAAACCACCACATTAACCCACCACCCCTCCATCTGATGAGATTCATTCCCATCCGAGGTCCCATCTGACCAGTTGCCAACAGTGGCGGATCCCAGGCGTGAGCCATTCCGGCGTCCGCCGTTGACAGCCCCCACCAGCGGGCATCGCCGCCTTTTCAGCCACTTTTGCGGGAGGGCTTGGGAGGGATGTCGGTGGATTTTTAAGGTTAAATGGACCACCGCGGCTGGAGTCTGACGTTGCGAAGAGAGCTGGAAATCATCGGACTTGTGTCGAACATGGAAGATATACGGGCTTCTTGGTCCCGCGATGTTCATGGTTGATTTTTGGGGGTTTGGGGGTGTTTGGGTGCGGATCAGACGTGACTATTGGTTTTCCTCTCGGATGTATTGAGTCTTCCTCTCTTTTGTGTTTCCTTTGACGTGTGATCTGTTTGATTTCATCTCGAATTGTCACTTTGATCGGTTCATGTTCGAGTAGACGTGGCATAGGCTGACATCCATATTCTTGATACAACACCTTGAATCCGAGAAAGACCCACCTTCTCTTCTTCAATCTCCCAGCGATACAAATCAAGCTCGGACAAATTGGGGCGGGGGAATGAGGGTCTAACGAGACAACGACACCGATCGGACGATCTGATTCTTCGAGGGTTTCTTCGCCAGCTCAGCAAGTCCACAGATCGGTTGATGTCTTTGCTGGCCGTTGCTGCATACCTATTTATTCGGACAGGCGCTGGTACTTGTTTGCCGCACGCTGTCGGGGCGGGAGCGTGCTTCCCCGTGTATCTGGTGTTATCCACTTTTGATTGTTTTGGTTTGATCTTCGGGTGCAATTTGCACCTTTCTCTTGTCTTTTCTTTTTTTCTTTTGGAAGTGATCCGTCTTGGAGTGCGTCGAGGACGTACCGTACTCCATTGTGCGCGCCTGTCGAGGGAAATGTGGATGTCTTCGACTTACGCTGAGTCGAGTACCTGTCACCGAGAGCTGGTCAAATGAACCCGTTCATGGATTAGGAAATCACATGAGACGGAGCTCGCCTCGTGCGCCTATTGCTCTGCGATGTGGGCGAGCGTATCTAGCTCATGGACAGTTCAATCCAACCAATCTACAGTCTGCACGGCTGGAAGTGGACGACCGTCCGAGTTGATGCCCAAAGCTCGATGAAGTAACGTTGTGGTTGAGTTGTTAATTTTGGTTCAGCCCTTGCTGATGCAGCGAACAACAAAAGTACTGTTTCGTTGTACCACATGCTCGACTGAGGTGGAAGGTGCGCGATTCGGGAGATCGAGTCGTTGATGGAAATTTGAATATAGCTCCCTTTTCCAGAGGTAGTGAGTGATACTGACAAGCATATATTGTAAGCTGCAGTTCACCTTTGAACATAGAAGAGTGAGAGAGATACATGTGTATCCTGCCTCACTTTCCGTCCCAGCCTCCCCCCCCCCCCCCCTCTTTCGGCTTCATCGCGGGACTAGATCCAGATCATCACGGACAAGTTCCAACTGACGTGCAACAAACGGAGCCCGGGGAGCCGTTCCGCTCCCTGCATATAGTCAATCGGGATACATCAACCGGTGATCTGTGCCCACCTGCACTGTCTCGGATGATTGAGTCGACTTTGAACATTGATTCGATCCCTTTCTACGTTGTCGAGTCATACGTGGACTCTAAGTTACGGAGGTGGCTGTTAGCTCTTATTGATCTTTCGTGATGGTCGGACGAGATCAAACGAGAGTATGCTGAGTGGATGCGAAGGTCCGGTTTGTTGAGATTGTTCCTTTCGCCATAGGACCGTCAAGTTGGGGATGGTTCCCGACTCGGAGAGAGGGAGCGTGGAATGAGTGGTTATACAGAGACAAGACTTATCTGGTTGGGGAATTCAGAGACTTTGTTTTGCGTTGTGGTGTTTTTGACTGCCCGCTGATGTGCTCAGCGAGCTACAATGGATATTGCTGCCTCTTCTCGTAGGGATATTACCGCACTCTGATGGTATGATATGGATCTGTGACCTCGGGGGAAAATGGTGAAGAGTGGGATATTCTCGAAAAGAAACCAGAGACTTGGAGACGCTCTACTGGGGATGTGCCGAGGTTGTTCCGCTCTTCACTTTCAACGTATCGCGGCTACTTCCAATGCGGCATCCTCAATGACCTGCATATCTTCCACGTTTGCTCTTCTCAGTTTCCAGGATCGCGCTCCCAGAAATTGCCAACTACCCTCTCCGTTCCCATCCTGTTTGCCTCCAGCGGTCCAGCCCTTCCCGCATCTTTTATCTGCTGTACCAAGCTCCCACGTCCATTCTCCTCACCACCAACTGCTTCGCGACCTGCAAACCGGATGTCGCATCGTATAACATTATGCATTCCCCGCATGTCTCAAGATTTTCGACCCATCTCATCGTCAACAAGCGATCCGCACCCGTGAGCACCTCTTCGAGGTTGCGTGACTTGGCGGGATCTAGCGTCTTGCTTGCATGAAGACTTCATCCTCGGTGAAGCACCGACACATGTTCTGTTTGATCTCGAGTTGCCCTCGTTCGTCAGTGAGCCGATTGCCAAATGATGACAGCTCGACCCGCTTTTCACATGGCCAGCAATGATTTCGGATTCGATCGGTTTCCAGTGCTGGGATGGGATGAACGGTCGTGCAGGAGTCGAGGAAGACGGTGGTCTGCTATCGCTGGCAATGGAGTCCACGAGACTCGCTTAGTGATATAAACCGCTTGTCTATCTCTCTTGGATGGAGACGATTGCTTTTTGATCTTCCGGACTGTAGCTTTTGCTTCTTTGGATTGCTTGTCCCAGTCCTCGTCTTTCTTCATCGCTCTCACCTGAGAAGCTGCAGACTTGATCACGTCTGTCAGTCCAGCAGCCTCCTCCTGTTCCTACTCCTGCTCCTGGTAGTTGAATGCTTGTGCCTTGCCTCTTCGCACCATATCGTCAACCATATACTCCATCCTTCCTACTTCTAATCCTCCAAAGCTGTCCACTCTTATGATTTGAGCTCACGATCACAACCCACCATTCACTCTCCCTCTCTCTCCACTCATCGCCATGGCACCCGTCGGTCCCCGAGTCTCCAAAGAAGAATTCATGCGTGCGCTCAGCTTGAACCCTCAAGACCCTCAACATGAACAATACTACCGAGCCATGCGAGTACGTTCTGTTCGCCCCGAAAGAAACCCACTGCCACACCTCATCCTCCAGCTATCAAGGTCAACTCCCCCCCCCCCCCCCCCCTCCCAAAAGCTAACCCTCACTTTCCACCAAAAGGACGAAGCAATCAACGTCTACAACCACCTCAACCAAGACACCACCCATCTTCTCGACACGGTCCGCGCCGACCCCAACACCCGCCCTCCCTTCTTCTGGCACCACATCCGCCCGGATCACCAGCGCTGGGCGATCATGGAAATCTGGCGGAACTCGGGCCCCCTGACGCGGCCGCTCTTCGACCGAGGCGGCACAAATGGCGAGTATGGGCCCAATTGGGTCGCCAGCTGGTTGTTGTATAGTGTTTTTCGCTCCAGAGATGTGCGGAATAATCGCAATCGGCGGAAGGGGGAGAGTGCAGCGGGCGATTCCGGTATGTTTTATGTTACCCTTTTTTTTTTTTGGGTCCCCCGATCCGGTGTTTGGGGGGGGGGGGGGAGTGTCTGTGTTTGATGCTGGGCTTTTTTGGGTCTGCTTGAATTGGATTGTTGCCGAGGATGATGGTGGGCTAATTTGTGATGGGAGGGGGACTTTGTGCCCTTGAGATATGTACAGGTTTGGATAAGAGGACGAAGCAAGCGGAGGAGACTACCTCAAAGAAGAAAGGGTACTATGATCCGGTGCGGAATGGGACGTTGTGATGTCTGGAAGAGAGGGAGGTTTTGTTTTATCTTTTCAGGGAATGGTTCGTATCCTTGCGCTGAGACGTGATGAATTGGCAAATGGGTGGCCAGTCTCATTCGACATGGGAGGAAAGGAAAAGACTGAAAAGCTTCAGAGAAAAATAGCGAAGCACAACCTTAATTTAATAATGAAGTTTGGGACAAGCCAAACTGTCCTGACCGCAAACGCTATGTTACGTCCTGTCCAGGTACCCTAAACATCGCATGCATATCATAACAAGAGTCAAGAATATATCCAAACAATGCCCACGAAGTCGAGAGGGGGAAAAAAACGGGGAAAAAAAAAAGACAAGGGAAACACCGACAGCTTTGATGAACTCAATTTTCTCTCAATCATCCTCTCCCTTCTCCGAGGCCTTGTCATCCCTGCTCTTCTTTTCCTCATCCTTCTTCCGGTTCCGACGCAATTCCTCGGTCACACGTTCGTCTTGCTCGTCGACACGCTCGTCCCATTCAGCGTCATATTCCGAGGCAATGGTCTTGATCTCGCGACGGATGGTCTTTCCCTCGTCGATCAGAGACTCCCAGAGCTGAAGATCCACGTTGAACTTGTCATAGAGCTTCCGCTGGCGGGTACTAATCGTAAAGTCGAGCGCCGACTTGTACGAAATCTCTCGATTGTGATACAGGAACCACAGGTACCCACCCATCAGCGTAGACAAACTGACGAGGTACGTCACAGGCTCCATCACATCCCATCCGAGATCCGTCTCGAACGTGAGCTTGTACACGGTGAACCACCAAGTGGCGAGAATACCGAATCCCCCGACCGCAACACGCTGCGCACCCTTGTGGGCCAGAGCGTCGCATTCGCTCTTGACATCCGCGATGGCTTGGATTCGCCGAGAAAGCTTGCGCAATCGCAGACGCAAGAAGTATGTGCGCTCCTCGAAGGACGGCACAGTCACTCTGATCTGACCCAATCCTGAAGGCGCGCCTTCGATCATGACTACAAATTCGCCGACTCGAGACGCATCCCGGATAAAGTCACCGATCTCGGTAGCTTGTGACCAGCGCACAAAGCGCTCGGGTTCGCCGTTGAGCGGGTCGAGACTCGCATCCGTCTTTCGAGGGTAGCTGTAAGTCTTTACATCTTCCTCACGCGATCGTCGCCGCTGCTCAACGGGCGCACGGCCTTCAATGCCCTGGCCGTTGATCTTGCTCTTGTCTTGGCCTTCAGAATCGACATCCTTGGGGCTGACCTTGTGATCAAACTCGTCCTCGACCCGCTTCTTCGGCTTGATGGCGTTGTCTTCGTGTTGAAGTGCGATGAAGGAAACCGCTGGGGGACGTTTTCCCAACTCGCCCTCGATAGGTGGGACTTCGGACTGAATCAATTTCTCGAGATAGGACAAAGGCTGCTGGGGATGAACGAGGATGCCAATCGGCTCGATTCCTATGTATGACAGTTGTCAGCCATTTTTTCCCCCATCGTGCCTTGCGCCGGAGCCGTAGGAGGACCAAGGCCGACTGACCCTTCTCGTGACCCTGTTGCGGCGTCGTCAAGGGAATGATCAATTTGAAGAGACGCGATGGTGTAGTCAATAGCTTTCCTGCAGCGAGAAAGAAAAGATAAAACGTCATCATTAGTGCATGTTGTAACATTATACCGTGGCGACAATTCACGCACCCTTGGTCAAGTGTTCGGTCCATTTATCCGCCTGCTCACTCGAATGAGGATTGTGTTCCTCGTTAGCGTCCTGGGGCGCTGTACTTCCAGACTGAGGAGGAGGCATATCCTCCCTTTCTGAGAGTGTTTCCAAGATCTCCTCCGTTCTTTCATTATCTTGGATCTTTTCAGTGTAATTGGCCTTCTTGAATGACCGAACTTGTGTGTGTCCTGTAAGCGATTGCTGGAGTGGGAAGGATGCTAAGAATGAGGTCTCGGCTACCCTAGCTCGACTTGCTGAAGACAGCAATGACTGCAGGGGCAGCTTCCCCGAAGAAGTTCGACAAGTGATCGACCTCGTCGTGGACGCTAGTCCCTGAGACCCAAGGCGATGTGTCCATTGCTGACCCCGGGTCAAGACCCCAAAGGAGGTGCGCCCAGGTAATACTGATCGCATTTGTGCGCTGACGAATTACTGACGACGTACGTGAGAACTTTTGCTAAGTGGCCCCGACGGCACGCGATGGAGGGAATTATGAGGACGCTGGAAGAACTTTCGGTCAGTTCGTGACCATGACGCATAACGACGTGTTGCTTGTCCAGAGAAATAATGAGACGCGCCTCAACCCCTGGACGAAGCTTGTCGAGCAGGGTTTCGTGCCAAACGCTGAGCTTGGGCCGAATAGTCAGGGGGGGGCCAACTCGGATGCAATTAATTTACGGCCATTGGAGCCTACGTACGCTCATCGGTTGAGTTACGATGCCCTGGCCGGACGCCGATGCGCAGTGACGTCAACAGATGAGAGCCACGCAACGTGCTTCCATCTGCCAAGCTCTAGTGTGGCGGTGCGGGGTTGAGGGAGGCGCGCGTGTGCAGCGTGTAGTTGTGGCTGGTGAGTGACACCGCTATGAATGCCTTAGGCTACAATGACCCTCACCTCCACCTGAGGATTAAAAGTTGTGCTGTAGGAATCTTTGCAAGATAACGGGGACCTCGATGAAGTCGTCGCCAATTATCTCATTCTAGAATATCATCTAGGTGGATCATTGTTTCTTTGAATGACTTATGTGGTACTTTGCGGGACAAAACTTGTGTGTTATAGTCTCCTCAAAATACCTGCAGGGCGAGTCTTGCGTGAAAATTCGGTCAGCACGTTGCTGGTCATACTTGGCGTCGACTATTCGATGGCAATCAGTCAAAGGCACCACGGGTTGCACAGTGCTTTACCTTGGTTAAGTTGATGGTCCGCATCGTTGATGGAACAATTGGGAAAAAAAACTTACAAAGTGACCTACCTCGCAAGCAGCCAAAATTGGACGAAACTGTTGTTCCTCGATCTCATGGAATGACTTCCCACTCACGTGATTAAATAAGAGGCCTGATCACGCTTGGGGAGCTTCATATTCGCGACGGCCCAAAGCCCCAGGTTTGCAACTAAATCTGAAGTTCTTCTTCAAGCCCCAGGGCAGGATAATCGACCAGTATCCCATATATACTCAATCAGATCCATCCATATAGCACAAACCTTCATTATGCGACCATTCCTTGAAGAGGACAATCCGCTTCAACCACTCCTTTCCATCTCAGACGATGAAGAGCCCACCATCACCAGATGGAAAAGACAAGCACGAAGCTTTCTTAACTCCCGATGGGGCCACTATCTGATCCTTTCATTAGTGACGATAGATGTCTGCTGTAGCTTTGCGGAATTTCTCATTCAACTACACGTGTGCGAATGGCAGCAGACCGGCGGCAAGAAAGGCCGAGAATGGAGCATCGTCGAGGAAGGATTGAGTATTACAGGCTTGATCATTTCGTGCTTGTTCCTGGTGGAACTGAGTATATCGGTCCTGAGCTTTGGAATGGAGTAAGTTGTTCTCCTTCTGGCTCTCGTTTTCTTTTCTTTTTTTTCCCGCCCTCCTTTTCCTTCGTCTTTCCCGCCGTACCCTTCTCCACAAAGCCAAAGCCAAAGCGTATTCTAACAGCCATCACCCCTAGATACTTTTCAAATTGGTTTCACGTCTTCGACTCTCTTGTCATTCTCGTGGCCTTTTTCATCCAGGTCTTGCTCCGAGGTATGGAGGAGGAGGTCGGATCCCTGGTTATTGCGCTGCGTCTCTGGCGGGTGTTCCAAATCATCGAGGAACTGGAGACTGCAAATCGAGATTCGCTGGAGCAGTATGAGGCAGAGATCGAGAAACTTCGGCGGGAGAACGAAGGTCTTCGTCGGAGACAGGGTTCGAGGTCAGATGAGAATGGAACGGCTTAGTTAACTCGAATCACACATCCTGAACGCGGAGCAAATTGTTCGTGTTACTTCCAGACATGTGTGGAGACGATGGCCGAATTATCCAGGGCGCTCAATTCTTTCTAAAGACTTTATCAACAAGACTGCTTTATTGGCGAATGGTCTCTAATCAGCATTATGGTAGATATTGTGAAGGATTCAGGGACTTTTCTGCATGAAAGTGTCGCATCTTCATACCGATGGCTCGAGGCTCGAAGCTCGAGGCACCTTTATAGATACGCCTATTGTAGAGCTGTTCGTTCACAGCATTGCGACGCTGACTACTAAGGCACTCTGGTTTCCTCAACCTCCACCCAACACACATCTGATTGAACAGCTGGAGATCGAGAACATCAAATCAGGTGCCAGACCGCAATGGTACGGTCTAGCTGGTCAACTACGTGAGACTGAGAAATCCACAAAGCTTTGCAAAGGATAGCCCCTCAACAACAACGGAAGCTAAATAGAGATCTGAATGTGTTTTGCCTTGCGAAAGAGCCGAGTGTTTCCATCTATAATAAGCAAGAACATACAGTCATCATGGTAGAAAGAACTGGAAGAGTAAAAGTGCCAATGAGCGTTCATGAGTCGTGTCGTCGTAAAGCATGATTCCGTCAGTCCACTTTCCCCGTGGTATTCAAATCCGCGAGCCAGCACGAACGCCCTTCTCGCAATGGACGAGGCATCATGATCAAGGCGTTGTCTGCACGACCAAGTCCATCATGATTAGACGCCTTTGCCAGATGAATTGATACCTTGCTCAGACCCATCTGATATCATCACCAACTAGCCGCCAGTGACGAGCCCTCCTTCCCATTCGAATCCGACTCGGTTCAGTATCGCTCTCAAATCAGGTATCCCAAAGCCCGTCTCAGTCTCGCCCAGTGCTCTTCATAGCTATTTCAGCGCCCAGTGCCAATTGCCACCGGAATTCCCTGAACCACACCTCCATGATCATGACCAGCAGGGTACATCCCGTCGTTGACGGAGAAATTGCGACAAATCAGGTAGGCGCGCATGGCGGCACTCTCCTGGGCGAGTGTTTCCGACTCGCAGTAGACGTCTGTGTGATATTCGCGGTTGTGTACGCGGACCACGCAAGTGTAGCCGGACCTTGTGGCGCTGGACCTGTAGGATGGTTCGGGCCATTGTCGGCGGCGACAGAGACCTGAATAATATTAGATTGGGCCTTATTTTTTTTTCGTGGTCATTTAAGAAATTTGGCTTTTTTGGGGAGGAAAAAGCAAAGGTCAAAAGAGAGGCAATGCAGGAATACAGAGCCAGACAGGGGTGTTAGGAGCGGAAATGGTAAGAGATCCAATGTCGATGCCTTTCCAAGGTGGAGATGACGATGGGCTCTTTCATGATCCAAGGAATGATATAACCCTTGAAATAAAATACCAGGGCAGATGCTGTCCACTTACTCGCAAGGTAAAGCATGTAGTACATCTTGAAAGGTCCTAAATGTCGATAAATGCAGAGTTGAGCGGTACCCAGTCTGCAAAAGCAGGAGCCCCAAATTCTTGGAATGACCAGGTTATGGAATGACTCCGCAGAGCTCAAACTGCCGAGTACTTCTGATGTCTGAATAGCAGATTGGGTGTCGTCGTTGAGGCTTGGCCCTGTCTGACGTCGGACTCGTTTTCGGGGAAAGATTTGAGGCGACGGGTAGGGCTGAGGCTCGGGTCCCAAATGATCTGCAGCTTTGACCAAAGTCCCTGGCGGTTGCAATGTGTGTGTGTATACCAGCGTGTGCCTGGTTGGAAAGAATTGATGCCCAATGCTGTTGGTGAGGATCTGATATTGCTGAAAGGACCGAGTCTGACAGCTCAATTGGGTCCACCGATAGAGGGCGATTGGAACAGAAAAGACAACAGAGCACTGTGGATCAGGAACAGCAGACGCTAGCCACAGTTCTAGTTTGATGTCTCTCTCTTTCTCTGCATGGAACGCATTAGACTAACTCGGAATGATCGAGATTCTAGACAGGACCGAGCTAACAAACGCACTTGGGCTGACAATTGTCAAAAAAAATCTGATGGGATTTGAGGGACACGAGAGGAGCGTAAAGAACGAAAGTTGAGAAAGAATGAAGACTTGAAGTCTCCGAGAATTTAAAAGGGCTCCACTTGGCCACGACAGAGGTTGTTGTTTTGCCACTAGTACATAAACTGAAATCTTGACTACTGTACTTTACATGGGACCGTTATCCCGACGAAGTCTCGAAAAAAGGATATTTTCGAAGGGCGTATATGCGGAGGAGCAAGCCCGCAATTCACTCAGTTGGCGAGCTCATTTCAATCAGCGTATTGCCATTTATAGCGAACCAATACACCCATACTGATCATACGGAAATCGGAGTCTCAGCGGAAACACATGCTAATCACGATACGTTGACACATTGATCGCTCCTCGATGAGCTGTCTGGCATTATTGCATGTCAGGATGCCCCTGGTCAATTCATCAACCTGTCCGGGACGCGCCAGGAAGAAAACATCCCAAGGTGGATGAAGCTCGAGAAAAATCAGACATTTTTGATTCGACCAGCACACAAGGACGCAAAAGTCAATCCTGGACCGGAGCTCTCTTCCTAAGCGCATGCAAAGCATTGAGGCCCAATGTTTTGTTCATGCGTTGGTGGAACCGACTAGTGAGCTGGCGACTGGCTGATCGTGAGACTTGCTGCATATCAAGAAGGCCAGCACGGACCTTGATCTTTGCTGCATATAAGTTCACGCTGGTGGCTTGGTGGAATTTCCAAGCTCGGGTTCTAACTTAGGGCATTTGTAAGAATGTCAATTGATCTCTTTTTTTTACATGTATCAATGACTCGTTTCGAGTAGGGATCTGAACGTAGTAACTCTGACGAGCAGAACTCTGCTCCACGCATAGAAATAGTGTACGACCTTGTTGATCAATGTACATGCCTATACGACCAGCTTAGTCTTTGCCAATGCACTCGACATTAAAAGGCAATTGAAGCTTCTCAAGATCACTGGAAACCTCGAGAATCAGTCTTATCCACAACAAAACCGCAGAGTGCCAGCGCTAAATTGGGGTGAAAGCAAGCGCTCCCTCAAACCGTCTCTAATTGCCATCGACAGTCTTCCAAGCCCAATGGACACTCTGCATCTTTCTCTGGCGGGGTACTACTGCACGCTCATAAGTGTTACGGTTGATGTTAGAGAGAACAGCACTGATGCGCTGGCATTGCTCCGCGCCAATCGAATCACCTTGGCCGAAAGAGGCCGAACGAGGCCGAGGAACACACTTCCTGGGCTCAGATCTTGATCGTGAGGAGGAAAGTCCCTTATCCTTGTCGAGAGCACATAATAAGAGGGGCTGGGAGGCAAATTCATCTTGATACACGATCATGTTGCTGCAAAATAGGTGAATGAGAATCCTGCGCGAGCAGGGATGATTATGCATACATGAAATTTTCCGATGCGAGTCAGTCGTACGAATTGTGGGACAGTCGAAAATGACATGGTGGTTGCTCGCCGGAAGGCTTAAAGTTCGATCGTGAAAAGCATTCTCGAGATTAGCGTCAAAGTCATGCGTTGAGAGCAAACCCATGGTCCGCGGAGGAAACGGAGGCAGGCGCAAACTAGAAAAAAGGACGCTAGTAAGCAACAAATAGCCAGCTATTCTAGGCTTGAAGTACCACAATCTCTTGTCTTGAGCAAAGTCCGGAGACTACCAGGATTTCTGATAAGAGTCAGTCAGGGACATTATCATAGGATTGCATGGTTCAGACAGATACTGATGGCCAGTGGGTCAATTTTACGGAAACACTACAATCTCTCGGTCACCTTACGAGATTCCTTTTGTCTCCCTCTTGAGACAGGAAACACGGCAGTTGGCAGTTGGCAATGAATCAAATAATCTGTACTTTCGCCCCTCAACGGTAGCAGCCAAGACGCCTTCGTGGCGGCCCTGGCGGGTTATCACGGGCTATTTTGAGTTTGCATGCCCCGCAGGGTAAGCAGTAGGAACTAGAAAGGAGGAACAACTTTACACGCCGTCGGTAAGAAGATTGTCGTGGTTCACTGGTTACTGTAGTCTGTGAGACTACTGTTAATAGTATGGTAAACAAAACAGATTCAATCTAACCAAGAGCACACTAGCGTAGATGTAACATACCGAGGCTGTTTGTCAGTGACTCTTTCCGTAGTAGCCTCTCAACTTTCTGACCTTTTGCATTGGGCTTTTGCCGCTTCGCAATTTGCAGGATCTGTGAGTGCAGTGCCACAATGCCTGTTTGCTGAACCTGGAATCAAGCCGTTTGATTCTTGGATCATTTGGTTTTGGTCTTCCCATGTCGCGCAGGGTGCATGTGTTGGATGAGACTTTCCGGGGGTTCTCCAGCGTCGAGACAAACAGTCTGGCTGTGCTGATGGATCTCTTGACTGTGTCACCCTTCGTCGTCGGTCGAGATCTTCCAATTGACTATGAATAGTAGACGCTCTCAACCTTCGAGGGGAGAAGAAAAAGATACGACGCCAACACAAGCGGGTCGGCGTAGAAGGTCAATCCCAACAATACTGGGATCGACTGTAGCCACCCACAGCGAAAGGCTAACCCTCGTACCGAAAGACACACTGGGCAAACGCCCTTCATCAAAGTTACTCAAAGAAAAACTCATGCGAGGAGATGCACTGATGAGTTGTCAAATAAGTGCTGTGTGGGGGTGAGAGGAGGGGTCAGGGGGAGGAATCAGCGTTCTTTATCTGCGCGCCTGTCGGATCTGAGATGAACTGGACGAGGACGATTACCCGAATAGGCCAGGTGCAGCGCATGTAGAGTAACTACGAGTGCGACGGACACTGAACGGTTGCTTCAAATAGCAGAATGCAGGTATACATTTCTGCAGTAACTGGTGCTCGGTAATTCCGTACCTGTGCGCGCTTGAGTGCTTGGTTGACCGTTGCTGGTCATTGAGCTTGAGAAACTCGAACACAGCGACTCAGTCGCCTTGGTGGCGCCGTTGGAGAAGACTTGTGAGCGCTTACTTGGGATTTGACCCAAACTAGGGATTGAGTCAAAGACAGGTCGAGAAGAGCCTCGTTGGACTGTCATGCTGGTGGAACATATTCTGTAGTGCCTCTGGTATATGCCATATGCGGCTTGAGGCCGAAGTCGTGACCACTCCCTGGGCTCTTGAATTTTCAGTGACTTGGGCCTAGTAGTTCGATCGATTGATCAAAGACGCCTCCGTGCATCCGCATGAGAGTCAATTTATGGACGACATGATTACTCGGACAATCGCCCATCTCATCCAAGCTTCCAGAAGCACGACCATCGTATTGCTTGTCAATCTCGGTTGCCGTTCGAGGTCATGAATGATGCTCTTGAATTTCGAGCCTGAGAGATCAGGCTTGGCAAGATCATCGCGCGGTATGAGATGCAAGTATCAGGACGTCGACCCAACAATCATCATGTGGAAAGGATCAATGGTCCCTTGTTGACTCTTATCTTATGCTTCTATTCTTTGGATGATGGCCGAAAAGGCCTCGACTCCATGTCCACCATCTGGATGATGATAAACCTCAAGTAATTATTTAATTGAAGGAAAGGGCAGCATCTCCTAGCCACTCGTATTTCATCAATCCTCACACATTACACGGAAATCGGATGGCTCTCGCACCAAAGCCGCAGATTCGCAGCCGCTTGGTACGGAATGACAAAGAGCGGATGGAAGGCGACTAGACGGTCCGCCGGTTCGTACACTTCCTCTTCCGCCGCCATGGGTGAAGATCGCCAAGAGAAAGCTGATTCGAATGCCGACCCAGGAGAGACACTTACGTTGGTGCGGTAGTGATAGTGTTGGGTTGCGCTAAGTCCTGTCAGAACGTAGCATGTGTGGTATGAATCGGCGCTTCTGTTTGTTTTTTTTGGGTTGCCAAATCAGCCATGTGAAGGATGGGAATAAGGGTTCGACGTGGATGTCCAGTATGGGTTCCGTAGGTTGCGGACATCGACAGGGCGGGGAGAGAACGTTGTTAAGTACTCACTTGCCAGGTTTATCTCGAAGCCCGCCGGTAGGAGTCTGACAACAACCCAGAATGTACCGGTCTAAACCCTCGCGGCTGAAAAGGCTACCGACGGTCTCTGATGGCACGCCCGTAGTCTGCGGCTTGCCGTCCAATGCAGATTGCAAGAGAGGCCAGCATCCACCGACCCAGTGACTGTAACAGCCATCAACGAGTTTGTTGGTGCGGCCAGAGAAACCACCCTCCGGAGCGTATTGACGGGCAGATAGCCAGGAGAGCAGAAGGGGGATGTTCATGTGCCTGTAAGCACACACGTCAGTATAAGGGCGACGAACTTGGATGCCAAAACAGGTACTAGGCTTCGGTTCGGTACACGGCACCCTTGAATACATACTTGGGAATGGTCTCTTCGGGAGCTCCCAGAATCGACAGACACGCAAGCGCACAGAACGCGTAAGCTCCATGGGCCTCCACTCCAGGGCTACCTGAGATGCCACCTTCAAAGGACTGGCCTGACGATCAGAGGTAAACGGAAATGATCAGCTTTTCTATCACCACCGGGGCTTTATCGGGAAAGCAAGGTGATTCAATCTCTTACAGCGCGACAAATACTCTGCGACTCCCTCAGTCAGAGTCTCAAAGCCGGCGTCTCGGGCTTTCTTGGCATCAGACGGCAATGCGAGGGGAATGTCGAGCAGAGCGATAATAGTTGACGCGCAATACGCACCGCTGATATTGGGTCAGGATTATTCCAAATTAGATGGGCTCCAGTGCGTATGTCCGCCGGGATCGTGGGGAAAGGAAGGACAGAATCACAGAGTGCAGAATCACTTGCAGCCACCTGCTGTGGTCGTCACTTACCGCACATCTTCTTCGCCCCCCTCGGTGACACTGAATCCTCCATCTGCTTGCTTGAGGCGGCCGAGCCATCGCCACCTAGAAGGCCGAGGTCAGAAGGTGGTTTAGGTATACATGGGCTGCTGAAACCATGATCGCGCAGCACAGAGCTTTTGTCGTTCTTCTCTGCTCGTGCTTCAAGCTCAGGTGTCAATGAGCCAAACAATCTCACTCACATTGCCTCGCGGTCGATCAATGCAAAGGCCTCCGTGCCGCCCACCATGGCGAGTGCGAGCACGGCTGCATAGCTACTTGCCAGGTGTGATGTCTGACCATGGCCGCCACCAAAGCCCCCCAGTGGCATTCTGCATGGGACGAAGTGTTCCTAGCACCCTGCAGGAAGGGACCGAAAAGGGTCGCGAGTCAGTCTATGTTCCGATTGCAGAATCATTATATCCAATAGCGGAGTCAATGCAGTGCTCGAGAGCATGAGGAGCAGACTCCAGACCATGGCTCTGGGTGTTCATCGAAACCGTCTGTGCACATGACGCCTTGAAATATCTTCCACGGTGCGAAACGACTGCCAAGATATCAGGCCAAGGCCGCATCTACCGGGTAGGACGGCCAAGTCATGATCATTTCATGCACAACGTGCACGGTGTACACCAAGAAAGGTGGAAGATCTCGATCTTGACTCTGTGGCCACGATGAAGAAGCAGCATGCATGGCCCACTCCCGAGTCGCCCACTCCCGAGCCCCTACCATGAGACAAATCACAACATCAGGGTCGAGTCACTTACCGTTCCCGAAAATGCGTAGGATTTTCGCCTAACAAGGTCAATCCGGCCAAAGCCCAGTAGACCATCCAGGGCCGGCTGGCATCCATTGCCACAAAGCCGGCGGGATAATCTTCCAGCGATTCATACAGATACGCAACGTGATCCTCTCGAAGCAGAGCAGGGACCCCAGCTGCATTGAAGGGACCAGTTTGGGACGGGTGGAGGCCCTTGAGGAAGGTTAGACATTTCTCCAGGGTGGTCTCCTGCAGCTGGATGGTCTCCGTCGTGAGCGGGTCACGAATTGGCGGCGGCTGAGTGAATAAGGATGGGATCCCCGGTCGGGGCTCATGTTGCGTGGCCATGCCGGATGAGGTGGTTGACTTTTGTGATTTGCCGACTTTGGCCGACTTACTGGACTTGGATGGGGGCTGGAAGGGGGGATGATCCTGGAGTCCAAGCTGCGGCTGCTGCTGGTGGTGCTTCTCCTGCGCAGCTATGCCTGGTGTCGATGTGATGGCCGGCAGAAGGTTAGCGGCTGGGAAACGAACTCTGCGTCGATGTCGCCCCGCGATAGTGAGTGGCATGGACACCAGGACACTCGGAAGATGGGGAAAGGAGGAGACTGATATGTTGGATGAGGACAAAGAAAGAGACTTGCCACTAATTGGGAGCAATTGATGGACTATCTGCTTAGCTTGTTCAAAGATTGAACCCTGGCCCTGGAGAGACTGCCTGAGTATTGTCCTGGCGGTGATGAATGGGTGTGGCTATCCCCGTGTTGATTGTTCCCCCCACTTTTTTTTCTTTCTTTGTCTTCCGCCCGGCCACTTGTGATGCTTCTGAGTTCTTAGATCCAGAGAGAAATTTGGAGGTTCTATTTTGCCTTGGGTACCACCACTACAGTAGCTGCGTCTATCATCAAAGCTTTGCCATGTACTGAATGTGGTGGACGTGACTTGAGGCATGGCCAAAGCATGTGTTTCACATGCTGATAATCATGCGGAATACTGCGAGTCTCTATACAGCTGAGAGTGTCACTGTCCAGCGTCTTTCTCGGCGTGTCATCCCTCTAACAAGTTGTCCCTCAAGTCACTCCGAACACCTCGATCATTGCGTATTGAGCGCTGTCCTCCGCAGATCAGTGACCATAAGCTGCAGGATGAAACCGTGACTGACTTGCAGAATGCCTTCGATGCAGCATCTCGTTTCGACGTAACGAACTCCCAGATAGTTCATGACTCGGTTACAGTGGGGTTTCCACGGCTCCGTTTCTCGTCGCTTCAGCATGTCAATTCGTATGAAGAGGGAAATCCAAAGACTTCCATCTCAACAGGTGCGCATGCTACGAGGGCGGGAGGAGTAAGCGCAGTACTACTTCGTTCTTTCAGCGAGCACCTTGAACCGGTCTACCCTCGATCGTCTGGATTCCACACGACCGAGAGCTCAGATCGAGTACCTTAAGGTTTAACGGCAAATCTGATCTGTCACTTGAGCATGGATACAAGGGTCTTTTTCCTGGACGGCACGGCGGGCTCTGAAGACCGAAGATGATCACCGCGCTAGATACTACTACTGTCTGGCCTTTCCTCCCGCTCGCAGCGGCTGGGGTACAGTCCTCCTCCAAGAACCCTCCCGACGAAACCTTGTTGGAGATAGTCCCAAGTCGCTTAGTACTCGCCTTGATCATGATTATTCCGTCTCTCCTTACCTCTATGCTGGTGTTAGCTTTGTCTTCCCCGCTGCAGGTATGAACCTACCGCGCCTCAAGGTCCAAGCGGCCCAGCATCTTGGCCTTGTCAAGGATCGCGAGGTACGAGTAGGTTTCGTCGGAGGTTGTTGCCTTTTGCAATCTTTGTCGTCTCCTCGGCATTTTGGCGTGCATGCGACGAGCGCAGGAGTAGTATTTTGCGACCTGTCATTGTCATGCCCTCATGAGCGAGACCCAGGATTCCCTACATATCTCCAGAACTGGGGCTCAATGCCACGCTGCTGGGGCAGTTGCGGGGAAATGGTTGTGGATGATCCGATCTGCAAAGGGGAGGATCAGGCAGGAGTTTCATTCCGAGTACCCGGACTAGCAATGCTTACACTTGGCTCGTTTCGCTCTTGTCATCCAACGAACTACATCATCTCTTTTCTCATGAGACATTCGGGAGTTGTTTCAGAATGTGTGTACAACTTTGTACTGAACATACTTCCGTCCGGCGTGAGAATGCTTACTCCAAGCTTAGACCAGTTCGTGACGATGGCAGCGATCCACAGGACGATCCTGGTCGGATACGATCATAGCGCAAAAGCTAATCATATACCCTGTGCTTTGGGCTCTTGCAAACGCCCAGGAAGAGAAAGAACTCGGCTCGGCGTCATGGAACCGATCTCCCACTAGATGGGTCCGGCCTGAGAGCTTTGGTCGAGTGCCACCAACTCAGAGAGTGATCGCACCGAGGACGGCACTGAGTAGCTGTACGAAGCACGAACTATGAAGTAGTAGTAGTAGTAGTAGTAGTAGTAGTAGTAGACAAAAAGGTGTCACCTTCAATGATCCCTGCTCTTTTCCCGGATTAACGGTCAGCCACCCCCCACGTTGAACAGCTTCGGTGGCATTTGACTCATCAGCGTATGAAGCAGTAGGTGTACCACTACTAGTTAGTGCCTACTGCCTAGTACTACCTCGTAGGACCTACTCTGCAAGCGTTCGTCAGGTGTTTCATCTACTCGGCCAGTTGATATACAGAAACGTAATTCTCCCTGTGTGCTGGGGCTCACGTTCAGACAAGAACACCACGTCCGGTCCATCCCCCCGGTGTCAATCGACTCATCGAGAGTACTGACTACCTCCTAGATCAACATTTCTCAGCCATGACCTCCGTTTGACTGAGGCAGGGAGTCACACAGCGCCGCAACTCTCTGCAGGATGATAGGGTCTGAATTTTCCGGATCTCATGGCACGATGGCTTGCTTTTTGGGGGGGGGGGAGGCAGACGGAAGAAAAGGGAAAAAAGTACAGGCCACCGAGGTGGGAGCCTGACCCCACATGTACAGCGCATTGTGTGTACGATGTCGGATATACAGTCGTAGTGTACAGGTACATGCAGCATGCAGACTGCAGCAGTGCAGAGCAGACCCATATGGGAGTACCATCCAAGATTCAAAGCGCCAAAAGTGGGTTCCTGGCCCGATTTTCACGATTCATGATGCTCGGCCGAGAATGGGCGCTACTGAAGGTTAATGACTTGCTTGATCTGCTGTGCTGGGTTCTTCGGGGCGTAGTAGTTGGGGAACGAAAGGCGGTTGTTCGGGTTGGGGTTGGGGTCTTAATTGACGAGGAGGCTTGCGCATCCGGTTGGAACAAGGGGGGGGGTTTTGCCGAAGCAGGATAGATTCTAATGGTATGATTCAAAAGACTGACTCTGGTGATATGAAGCAGGTGATTCTGTCATCGCCCTAGAGTTGTGATCCTGTCCGCGCCGAAAGGTCGAGTCATTGGTGTAGAATGTAGAGTGTTGAACGGGATTGTAGAGTCGTGGACGCCTGGACCTGTCTGGCCTCGTCAGATCGCGACCCGTCATCTCACGCGGTGATGGTGAGCGACCTTGGATGCAGTCGCGACTTTTCTTGTATTGCCACGCCCTGTCGCGGTTCCAAAGGTTGTGCATGCCTGCATGGCTCCAAGTCTTTCCTCTTTTGGTAAAGTACCTTATGCTCTGGATTCTCCGCGCTAGACCCATTCAGGCTGGTGTCCCGGAGTAGGAGCGTTGGCCTGGGCGGCGATACCAGAATCCAGTTAGCGTGTGGTTGAGATTCTATCGGCCCTCTCAAGTCTCAACTAGTCAGGCTCCACTGATCTTCCGTTCCGACCGTCCTACCCGTCATTCTGTCCCAGTGTCCATGTTTTCTGCTTTGCTGGACTGGTAACTTGTCGGAGGGCTCCACGACAGTCCCACGAGGTCGTAGGTCGCTTGACTGATATTGGTACTGTACCTCATGAAAGATGACCAGCTCATGGGTGACTTATTTGGGAGACACCATCAGCTGCTCACTTGCTAAGACGCTCTCTGCAAGTTCAAGTTCTTGCCGAGAGGCGCATCTCTGTTGCTGATGTTTTCCACAGCGAATGTCGACCATTCAACATCTGGTCGGCCGGGCACCATGAAACTCCTGGCTTATCATGATCCACCAAATTTGCACCAGTTTGGGGGAGTCTTGCAGCAACCTCAGACTCGGTACAGGCAATCTGTACTATAGTCGCCAGGCAGAACAAGATACTCAGTACTAGTGCTGTAGCGTTGTTGACATATGGTCAGAAAAGGGTAATAAATGGATATCCTTGATGCATATATCCATATTGTCCTCCATCATGAGCGGATGTATGTACAGGTAACTACTATGTATGGAATCCATGGATTGTTGTGCAAGCCAAACATGACTTGCGTGACAATGGGTTCATGTCGAGTCCACGACTCCACCGACAAAGTCCGCACTAGATGAATTGCTCATCGGCTTATGGCCGACCTTCCGAGATAACCGTATGAAGTTATGTACTGCTGTATTCAGAGGATCTCCGAGGTCCATGACAGTGACACTAGTGGCATTGCCCGGTGCCGTCTTTCAGAAGGCATTCACGTTCTTCGGCGCCCTCCAGATCGCATTCCATCAATGTTACCTATGCTGGTGCCGTCTCACTTCCTCAATGGTGATATGACCCTCCGCTCTCGGAGTATCTCGTGATTCCACCTTCATCAGGTCAAGGTGCGTTCCCGTTCGCCTGGCCACACCCTTTTTGCCCGTGAACCCGATGACCTGGCGTAGCGGGCCAAGGCCCAAAAGAAAATGCGTGGCGATCACGGGACTCAACGACAGGCTGCTTTGAACCCAGACGGGGCCTGCTTGATCCTCATGGCGATCCAATCATGAGAGCTCTCAAATGCCCCTCCCCTCCGTCAGATTTGCCTTGGAGGAATGACCGCGTGGCAGTAAAGAGTTAAGACGAATAATGGCCGGGTGGGGAGAAGTCGAACAGGGTCACGTCTCGCGAGTGATCAGCACTCAAATAACAGGTGATAATCAATCTGAGCAAATGTGGACCGTACACTATACAGACGGGGTCAGTGAGTACTGGGTTTACTGACACTGTTCAACGAGACAAGGGTTTTCTTTGAGAGGGTGATCGGGGGAAATAATCCAGATCTCGAGGAAATATGTACTAGAATTGATAAAGAAAAACAAACACTCTACCTCACAGAGTAGACGCCGTGGAGTATAAACAGAAGGTTCTCCGTATGTACTGGGGAACCTCCTGTCAATGACTCAATGGTTATAGTACTACTATACAGAATCAGATACTACTCGCTTTTGTTATCATACCCGGGAAAAAAAACGGAAAAAAAAAACCCCTTCCTCAAAAAAGGCATCGCCCAAGCGCCTCACTCCACTTTCACTCGTGCAGGGCCCAGCCTCTCCATTCGCTCCACTCGGACAAGATCCTGATCGTGTCGTCCCGAGAAGATCTCAGCGTTGAGTGAAGTTGACTGGCACACTGACTGCGAGTCCACTGGGGCCACTTGGGCCACTTGGGGTGCCCCCAAAATTCCCTAGCGCCAAATCTCACGCTCACCGCTGCTTTGCACCCCCCACCGCCTCACGGCATTCGACTTTTCCCTCTCCCCCCCCCCCTCCCCACGGTCGTGTAACGGACTGGCCGCTCGCTGAAGAAGGCTCTGTCGTCCTAAGTAGTGGAAGAGCTCTCTCCCATAGTCCCCTCTCTCTTCCAACCCCCTCACTCAACTATACCAACCGATCTCAACTCCCAAAAGTGGTGATGGTCACGGCGACTCTCACATACATCCTTTCTATACGATCTCAAGAATGTCAAATATCGATATAGGCAGCGACGGCCTGATGGTGGAATACGACTCCAGAGCTTATCTCGCGCAATCATGGCCCGTTACCGTTGACCAAAACCCCTCGCTCCCGGAAGATGGTCATGATCTGTCGCCGCTGCAAACAAGCGGTCACCCTCTGGAACAGTCGGTGGCCCCGGATCCCAACTTGATGGTCGACTGGCACTACCATCAGCAACTCCAACAGACCCCTCATCATCACTCGCAATTATCACAATTATCTTACGCCCCCGAGGATCCGTCCACGGCGCCGCAATTCACCACCGCCAGCTATGGCATGGCAATGCAGACCTCGCCGGTGGATCTCATGTCCGCCGGACCCCAAGGTCAAATGAGTGCCGCCTTACTCGATCCGACTTCCTATCAGCTGCCTCTGTCAGCGCCCGTGGACGTGATGTCCTTCCCCTATCACGACTTCCAGGCCGATCTCTCGATGGCGTTTAATGGATTGCCCGATGTGTCTCCCTACGGAGCCCCGCACCCGCTCCTGGAGAGCAGCTCACCCACGGACACATATCTGGAGGTTCGCTCGCTCTCGAGCAGTGACAACGGCTGGAGTACCGTAGACCACCGACGTTCCCTGGATTTTGGCTACCCGGAGCAGAATATCTTTGTCAACCCCACACAAACCCTGCACGATCGCAGTCTGTCCGAGTCGTCATACGCGGGCTCGTACGGCAGCTTCATCGATATCGCAAATCCGATCAGCTCCCCTGGCTCGGATGGTCATCTGGACTATCCCTATCACACCAGTGCCGGCCTGAGCCTGGCAACGTCTCCGATCAGTACCTCGATGGTCCACCGGGTGACCGAGGACTACTCCTCTCCTCTAGCTGGTTCCGTGGCGGGGTCCCGTTCCCCGTCCGCAGTCAGCCCAACAGCCATGGTTCGCCCGATCCCGGTTCCCGTCCCCATCAAGAAGTCGACCTCGCCCACTCGCTCATCCGGTTCCCACACATCAGCATCACCGCCCAGCAGGAAACCCTCCCGCAAGAGCCCGATCGCCGCCAAAACAGCCGAGACCAAGGTGCGCAAGCAGTCTCAGACGGGCAAGCCCGAGACGGAGAAGCGGGTCGGTAAGCGAAAGGGTCCCCTCAAGCCCGATCAGCGGAAACAGGCCAGCGAGATTCGGAAGCTGCGTGCTTGTCTGCGTTGCAAGTTCCTCAAGAAAACCTGTGACAAGGGTGAGCCCTGTGCGGGTTGCCAACCGTCGCACGCCCGGCTATGGCAGGTGCCCTGTACGCGCATTGATATCAAGGAGATTGGCTACTTCATGAAGGATTGGAAAGCCGACTACGAACGACATGTCACCGTGGGATTCACTGTGGGCAACATCAAGGGATTCTCGGACCAAGAACGCACGTTATACATCACCCACGGATATGGTCAAATCCTACCAATTGCCGCACGCGAGGTCTTCGTTTGGGATGAGCAGTGTTTCAAGATTGAGTGGGTGGAGTCTATGAATCGTGCACCGACCGCGTATGAGGTGGAGACGGCGAAGCTGTCAGCGGGCATGGAGGGAATCTCACACGCGATGCTGTCAGACTACCTAGATCGCCACATTGATGGTAATGGTACCTTTGAAAAGTTTGTCGACGACTATTTCGAGGGCACTCCCTTTTTAACCCAGATGCTCAAGACGGCCTTCCGCTACTACTACCGCACAAAGCTTCCCGTCATCCGCAAGGCGCTTAAGTTGATCATTGCCTACAATCTGACTCTTCACGTCACCATGGTAGAGGGTCTAGGGGATGAGACAGAATTCACCGGGCGGATCAACGAGCCGGGCTCCAAATTCCGTGGCAGGACTATGGCGCCCGTCATGATCAACTTCCAGATCAAGTGTGCCATGGCCAGCATGTGGCGTGAATTACAAAAGGATGTACTTGAGGAGCTGTCTGCCATGTACTCGAGTGTGTACAGCGGTGAGAAGCTCAAGAATTGGCCGACCATCTTCATGCTCGCCTCCATTCTTCTGGCCGTGTGGGAGGAGATGCAATTTGACTCTCACTACCGAACCCCGGACCCCGCTGCTGTGGACAAATTCTGCACCGACATGGAGACCACGCCCGTTGGTGTGATTGTTGGTTTGTTCCAGGCCATATCTCAGAAGTTGCCTCCTTTCACCGAATGGGATTCGCAAAAGCACCACCACCTTCTTTTCTCCAATCCCGATGTATGCAGCACCATGACCGAGGTCCGCCAACACGTGGAGCAGCATGGTAAGAAAGACCCGCCCCTGAACACTCAAAATTTTGTTTCTTTTCCGAAGACTAACCGTAATCTGGCTTTAATTTAGAGAGCTACCTTCGCGGTCGCTCGGGTACCAATTTCAACCGTGACGACTTTGACTGCTTGTCGAACAAGTTTGTCTCTCGGCTGGTCATTCGTGCCAACTAAACACGACTTGTCTATATGATTATCTTCTCTGCTTACTTTGATTTTGTTCCATTTTGACACCATTTTCTTCCAACGATTGACGCCCACATGCGCCTGACGAGCAAACGACTTCTAAATTTAACGTTGCTGCTCTCATTCCAGCGAGTCTTCTGCGTCCTTGCCGGTTGATCAGTTTCCGATCTGCCAAATTCCTTAGTCACGAACTGGATGACTCAAGAACACGAACGTCGCCCTTTCATTCGAAAACATTACGCTAGTCGTGACCGATGCGCAAGCGCGTCCTTCTCCCCACTCCTTTTAACGAAATGTCATGATCGCATCTGATCTGAATCATGTCTTTGTTGTTGTTGTTGTTTTTTTTTTTTTTTTTTTTTGCTTTTTTTGGTATCTCATCTGATCTTGATCTTGAATCTATCCGAGCTTATCTGAGCGAGTTCACTGCGCCTATCAGCATGTTGTTTGTTTGTTTTTTGGGTTCTTTTTGGCACGTTCGCGACTTATCTCTTTTCCCTTTTGGAAACCCGAGTCTTCTCACTCGCCGGCTCTCTTCCTTTGATTGACAATCTTCGGCGTCTTTTTTTTTTATTGAGATATATGTTTAGTCGTCTGTGTGATAAGTCGTCTTTTTTCGCATAGCTTCCTCGGCGGTGAACGAGGATGATGAAATTTATGAACCGTGTACGGCCGTCTGTCTGTTACTCGTGTGCGTGTTGTTGCGATTTTACTCTGACATTCTGCGGACCAGCTCCTGTTGAGAGATGACAGGCCTAGTCCATGGACTTGGGCATGAGCTTGCCTTTAGTACTCTTTCAAACACATTCTATCTCTATTCCGTGATATCTTTTCCTCATCTGTAGATCCATAAGGCTTGAAGTGGTTTGACGATTACTTGGAACACGCCCATATCACCGAGGAGGGTACTGATGCATTATAGTCGAGGAAGCGATGCTTCATGATGTCTTGTAGCACTACCGTGAATGAGCGGTGGTATCCCGACCAGATTCCCCTCCGCTCCGAGTAAGTCGAAATAACGGGTTTTCCATCGAGGCACTCCTGCTTCGTAAGGTTGAGAGGCAAATTGGAAACCACCCTGATGGAAGACCTCGAACGACCTTATCTCGGCGATGATCCAAACCTCATATACTTGAGCAGACTGGCTTGAAGGCCCAGCAATTAACCAGAGATTCACCCGCCACCTACCACTTTCCAATCATGGTTCAGCCACCACGTCGACCCAGGAAGATAATGACACTGTTCGGGGCATCCAGCCTGCAAAGGCTGTACTGCACCATCACACCTGAAGATTCTCCAATCTCCAGTGAACGAAGCAAGAGACAGGGCTCGGAGTCGGGAGTACCTTTGCACTTACAAGGTCCCCACTTTATAGTGCGGGTCTCTAAGAAGTGGAATGGACCATGATGGAGACGGGGGTGATGGAATTAGAAGCTCAATATGATAGAAGGAACTGGTTATCACCACTGGACTGCCTGTGACAATCTGCCTGGTCTGAAGATGGGCAAGTGCAATTCTTTGAACGTTGCTCCTATACGGGAACATATCTTTGTTTACTGGACACGGCCATTCTCCTAAAGCGTCGCAGGCGGTGAGTGCCGATGCCGGAAGCATCGGTCAATTTATAGTCATGTGACTGAAAAATCGCAGCTAAGTATAGAAGACTCAAGACCGGGGGTGGGCAATTGGCATACAGGACACGGGTACAGGAGGTGCTATGTATGTATGGTATTATTCTAGATTTCGTGACAGGGTGTATGTATATTACCACTGGGATCCTCATCTTCGAGCCACTGATTCCCCGAGTGTAGAGGACTAGAGGGCGTTCAGGTCTGAAATCGGTGAACTGGGAGCAATACTCCTTTCCGAGATCTTCCTCACTAGACTGAGCGATGACCTGAATCATGTGATGTTCTCCTAAACGAAACGATACATTCATTACAGCTGTATTCTGTAATGGTCTGTCAAAGTTACAATACTGCTGTGGAGCACCACTGCCGCTGTATGATGGCGCTAATCAGGCTCCAGCTGATCATCGGCCCACCCCCTCTTTTCGCGATAAGCCTCTCTTCTCCCACGTCATCATTATTTGAGGCTGGCACTACATCCCTACATCCCGTCCAGACGGCCGGTAGAAGCCGTCTATGACAGATGAGTGCTCTTGCAAATCCTGCAGCCCCGAAACAAGGAACAAGCCATATCGAGAGCAGCTGCAGGGTAGAATGTGGAAAGATTAATTCTGACAGCCTGGCGATTCTCGTCCACGATCTCGCCCATCGATCGGCGCCGATAAGGTCTGGTATGGCAGTGCAGGAACCCTCAACTTTGAGTATGGAGAACCAAGGTTACTAGACTGTCTTGTTGGTTCTCGAGGTGGCGTCTTCCATATGTGTATACTGTACAGAACAGAGACTAGTCACACTCACGACTCACTAGACAGCCCGATTCCCGAGACCGTCAGACGTGCACCCTGATTTTTGAGTCATATCCGGTACTCCGGCAATCTTTTTCACTTTGGGGCGCCCTCCTGCTTGGTAAGGTTCGAGATACCGCTACCGTTGATTAGTGGATGTGCCTCTGCTTGTTCCTAGACCCGAGCCGTGGCTGGAAATTCACTTTTCTCCTTCATTGGCGCCATGGCGTTGGCCTGCTCTGTTAGTCCCGTCGTAGTCCCGTCGTAGTCATTCCAAAGTCTGCCTGCCGTGTTGGGAGTCCAGAGTCCAGCCCCCGTTTGTTCTAGTATCTTCGCGCCGAGGCGTCATGCTTTTCTGACTAAGGCGCTTCGCCCCCTCATCTCATCGCGCTTCCCTACTTAAACCTCACCCCCTCTCCTACTCTTCCTCGTGGATTCTTTCCGTTGTCTACTCATCTCGATACCCTGTTTTCCACCGCGAGGATCAGAAAATTTGCCATCTCTGTCTCTCGCCCCATTTCCCCTTCCCAACTGCCACCACCACACGTCTTTTGATTATCACTGCCCTCCACTATGCAGATCTTCGTGAAGACCCGTAAGTTCTTTCTCTCGCTGGACATGAATTAACGCTACGTCGTGCGCCATCAAAACACAAAATGCTAACATCTGCCTCCTCACAGTCACCGGCAAGACTATCACCCTTGAGGTGGAGTCCAGCGACACCATCGATAACGTCAAGTCCAAGATTCAGGACAAGGAGGGCATCCCCCCCCGACCAGCAGCGCCTGATCTTCGCCGGCAAGCAGCTGGAAGACGGTCGCACTCTTTCCGACTACAACATCCAGAAGGAGTCTACCCTCCACTTGGTTCTTCGCCTCCGTGGTGGCATGCAGATCTGTACGTTTTCGCCCCCCTCTTTGACTCCACTTCTACCCGTTCGCAGCCCACTTTCGCGGCATCCCCCCTCCCTTCCTCGATTTCACTACCCCATACTGACCCGCGTTCTATAGTTGTTAAGACTTTGACCGGCAAGACCATCACCCTCGAAGTTGAGTCCTCGGATACCATCGACAATGTCAAGTCCAAGATCCAGGACAAGGAGGGCATTCCCCCCGACCAGCAGCGCCTGATCTTCGCCGGCAAGCAGCTGGAGGACGGTCGCACTCTTTCCGACTACAACATTCAGAAGGAATCAACCCTCCACTTGGTTCTCCGTCTCCGTGGTGGTATGCAGATCTTCGTCAAGACCCTCACTGGCAAGACGATTACACTGGAAGTTGAATCCTCAGATACCATCGATAACGTGAAGAGCAAGATTCAAGACAAGGAGGGTATTCCCCCAGACCAGCAACGTCTCATCTTCGCCGGCAAGCAGCTGGAGGACGGTCGCACACTCTCTGATTACAACATCCAAAAGGAGTCCACTCTGCACTTGGTTCTCCGTCTCCGTGGTGGTATGCAGATCTTCGTCAAGACCCTCACTGGCAAGACAATCACACTGGAGGTGGAGTCGTCAGACACTATCGACAACGTCAAGAGCAAGATCCAAGACAAGGAGGGTATTCCCCCTGACCAGCAGCGCCTCATCTTTGCTGGTAAGCAGCTTGAGGATGGACGCACCTTGTCCGACTACAACATCCAGAAGGAGTCCACACTCCACCTGGTGTTGCGTCTTCGCGGTGGCCAGTAGATTTTTTTTCTAATACTCTGACGACATCGGCCTGAGTTCGCTCCTCTTCTTTCTATGCTCTTATGAAGCACTTCCATTGCGACTGGTTCTTAATGGAACCGTACGGCGTTGGTTGGTTGTTTGAGGCTTGAGGTCTCTTCTTTTTGATTAACCTATTATTCAACGGTGATACCTTCGGGCATTTTCTATCCTTTTCATGAATTCATTATCCAGGCAATCCCTCTGCCTGTTGTGCCGTTACATATCTTTCCTATCCGTGGTAGCAAGTTAGCAACCTACGTAGTATCTCTCATCGTGTAGCGTACTACTATTGTATGTAAATGGACGAAACTTGGCCACCTGTCATCGGCAAGTAAATATCTCATCACATTGACATATGGTAGCTTCCAACCATTCAAGATTTCTTCGGTGCATCATCATTGACTTGCCCGACCCAGCAAGTAAGACAAAGCCATCCACATTTAGGTGACTCTCCGGACATGATGACAGCCTCTTGTCGTACAAGACGCCCGGTCGTAAGGTTGAAACTTGGGGCGATTATGTCAGCATCCGGCGCTGACGGCATACCCGGCGCTTCTCCAAGTGGGCAGTCGATACAGATAGAGTAGCTATCGGTGACCTCCAAAAAGCTTAACCGGTGCACATCTTCCTTGTCTTTGTGCGCTCCAAGTGTTCACAGTACTGCAGGCAGTCAGTGACCTCCCCGACCAAGTTAATTGAGGTATTCCTTGACTCAGAGGAATCTCCATGCCCCGCTCCATGGACATGTGAGCTGTGTTTGCCCGGGATGCCCGCATACTTTTACCATATCAGGATCGAAGTACTGTATGATTCTACATCTCTGGCATTGAATTCCATCAGTGAGGCTTTTCTGCCTTTTCAAGCGCGGGACCGTGTCCTGGTACCATCTGCGCTCCACGGCGGATCGAAGATATCTAGCGTCAACCATCAAATACCCGTGGACACGTCTGCGACCAGGGACCTTGCGACCCGTTCTACGACGCTTGATCGACGACTCAACTTTGCTTCTGCGGCCTCAGATACCGTTCCCGCGACTGCCGGTTCTTCGACTCGCGCTACGCAGCATCAGCACCATAACCAACGTCGAGCGTTCGACTCGGCTCTTCTACGTGGTAATCACTCTGTTTCGTCTTCTCGACCTGCCGACCTTGACACCGACGCTCGAACGGGCCCGATACTTGTGGGGTGTATCGATATGGTCATACCCGAGGAAAGATCAGGAAAGCGAGATGCAAGACGCGACAGTGCCACGGCTGCACGAGGACGAACTGGTGGCGAGCATGGATCCTCGGTGAATGCGGACAACCTCGTCGCTGCGGGCATTGGCACCGACATTCTGGGTGGATTGCGCACTAGGGGCCGATACATCCCACTTGATCGTGAGATCCATGAGAGTGTCTGGGGCATCGTCCATTTGTACCGGGACGTGGAGGAGACGCCCTATCTAGCGGGTAATGAGGATGATTACCCGACGTATTTGAAGGGCTCTGCAGCTGTGGCGAGGCACCCGGGGGATCACTCTGATGGTGCGACATCTTCGAATCATGTGGCGGCTGGCTCGTCTGTCGAGAAGGGCTCCTCCTCAGCTGGGAGGAAGCTGGCGCTTGATGAGGATTGCTCGACGCTGTGCATCCTGGCGGTGCCTAGTTACTTGTCGCCTCCGGACTTTTTGGGCTTTGTCGGTCAAGGTACGATGGATGATGTTAGTCATTTTCGGATGATTCGCACGCCGCGGGCCAATCGGTATATGGTCTTGATGAAGTTTCGGAATGGGAAGCGGGCGAAGGAATGGCAGAAGGAGTGGAATGGGAAGGTGTTCAATAGCATGGAGGTATGTTGTTATCCTGCAGGGATAGAAAGTGGTGTTTGTTTTTCCGCGCAATCAACCTGGGTATATTTTTTTGGTGTCTAGCTAACGGTGATCATGATTCCCCTGTCCAGCCCGAGACCTGTCATGTTGTCTTTGTCAACTCGGTTGAAATCCAAGTCGTCGAGCCCGAGTCGTCCATGTCATACTCATCTGCAGAACCTGGTGCCCACCCACCACCTCTCAAACACACAGCGTCTTCTACTGCTCCAGCCACACTCTCGACGAAACCTCTTGCTCCTCCTACACCCGCCTTGATCGAGCTCCCCACGTGTCCTGTGTGCCTGGAACGTATGGATGAGACCACCGGTCTCCTCACAATCATATGCCAGCACGTCTTCCACTGCACATGTCTGCAGAAATGGAAGGGGAGCGGATGTCCCGTGTGCCGATACACGCAAGACGATTTCCGCAAAGGATCCACCTCGGCGCCGGGGAGGACGAGCCTGCAGAATGCAGCGTCTGTCACACAGAAGAGAACCTCTGGGCCTGTCTCATCTGCGGCTCAGTAGGCTGTGGCCGGTACGATGGCGCCCACGCCTTTGACCACTGGAAGTCCACCTCGCACGCCTTTGCCATCGATCTCCACTCCCAGCGCGTATGGGACTACGTCGGCGACGCATACGTCCACCGCATCATCCAGAGCAAAACAGACGGCAAGCTCGTCGAACTCCCCGCCGCCGACCATTCCGCACTTGATCCCCCCGACTGTGGAGACGCCGTGCCTCGCGAGAAATTGGAGAACATGAGTGTAGAATACACCCACCTGCTCACGTCGCAGCTGGAAAGTCAACGCGCTTACTTCGAGGAAGTCGTGGAACGGGCCGCGGACAAGGCCTCTCGAGCCAGTGCCGCCGCCGCCGCCGCCGAAAAAGCAGCCAGTGAGACAACCGCGCGTTTGGCCGAGCTTCAAGCGAAATTCGACACCCTCACAGCCGAGTCCCTGCCTAGCATGGAGCGCGAACGAGAACGTCTCGAGAAACGCGCAGAGAAATTCGAAGCACTGGCTCGTCGAATGGAGAAAGACTGGCGCGAAGAAAAGACAATCAACGCAAGCTTGATGGAGAAACTGGACCACGTGACGAGCGAAAAGTCGGGGTTGAAGAACCAGGTCGATACGCTAAAGGCGGAGATTTTGGATCTACAGGAGCAGAATCGGGACTTGACTTTTTTCATCAGTAGTAGTCAGAAATTACAGGGTGCGGGGGAGGATATTGAGCAGGGGACGGTCAGTGTACCTGCTCCGCCACCGGCGGAATCTGCGAAGAAGAAGCGCAATCGGGGCAAGGGGAAGAAATGAGGTGCATATAGGGGGTTGGGACCTGGAGTGCGCTGTGTTCAGTCTTTCTTGATGTACGGGATGCCTGTATCACAAGCATCTGTTGGAATGGGCCCCATGATCAGGTGGCAACGACTTATGTGTGACGAGTGAATTGGAAGAATACTGGAGCTGTCTACTGTCCATGTTTTGAAAGCTGTCTGCGATTGATACTTTGTCCCTCGTTTCTGAAGCTGACCTGAGCTGAGCAAGGTTACCCTCAAAGAATTTGTATAGGCTGCTCGAAGCTCAGTATAGCAGTGTAGATTCCCCCTTTGGTTCTCAGTCACGCTTGATACTTTGATACCATGTAATGTCGCTGATGCATTTTAATCGTACTTATTATTGTCCGTTTTCGTGGGACATATGATGGATGACTCTGTAGCATGTAAGCATGTCTTACATGAGGTAGGATAACTCTATCCAGTCGCATTTCTGATATCCGCTTCGTATATACACGTAAGAGTCCCGCCCATCAGTACTAATCATACAATTCAGCGAGCAACTGCCCAGCAACGCAGACAAAGGGCCCAAGCAACCACGCACTCGATGAGATCAACCGATCAAAACAAAACCGACATTCTTAAACTCCCTTCTTCACAGCCCAGAAATAGTTCCCCCAACTCTCCGATCCAGACACCATCTTCCACCCCAGCCCCGGAACGTAAATCGTCCCCATACACTTCCATCGCGTGCCCTCCAACGCACTGGCTCCACCCCTCGTTGTCGCCGAGTCTGCCGCGCGCATCAGCCCTTCTTGCGCCCAGGCTTGTAGTTCTGGCGGGTTCACGAATTTGCTCCATTCGTGGGTGCCGCGCGGGACGACGCCGATGGGCCAGGGGGCTTCGGCGATGACTTGGTTGAGGAGCCAGGAGGGGAAGGTGCGGGAGATGGTGGAGCCGATGAGCCAGCCGCCGGGTTTGAGGGCGCGAAGACAGTGCGAGAGGAAGGTTTGCGGGGTGGTGGTTTGGGGGTCGATGTGTTCGATGACTTCGAAGAGGGTGACCATGTCGAATTGCGGGTGGGAGGGGGTGGTGTTGGAGGGTGACGGTGTAGGTGAGGAAGAGGCTGGGGCTGGGGCTGGCGATGTGGACGGTGATGGTGATGCGAGCAGGTCTTCCAGTGTCGTGTTGAGGTATTTGAACTTGCCGCTACGCAGGTGCGTATCGACGGTTGGATCGAGTCGGGCATGTTCGCGTGCGACCTGGATGAGCATGGCCGAAGGATCGACTGCCGTCATGGAGGCGGCCCGGGTGGCAGTGGGAGCTGGCGCAGACGGATCGAGAGGAATAGTGCGCGCAAGAGATTCAGCAAAGATTCCACCGCCGCAGCCGATATCCAGATAGTGAAGATTAGCCGGGGGAGGAGACAATGAGGATGTGCCGGTTGCGCCGGCGACGGGAGTGGTCGGTGGAGGACTTTCGGCCAAGCAGGATGCGATGAATTCATGTCGCAATGGGTTCATCAAATGTAGGATTCGCGACGGACCCATCGGATCCCACCAGGAGCTGGCGAGAGCCGAGAAATGGGAGAGCTCATCGGCAGAGACGGATGATGTCGTGGAGTGGTTGCGTGTGGTGGACGAGGTGACACCAGTCTGAGAGCCTCGGCATGCTGGCCTGATTGCTGTTGAGGCAGCTCGAACGGCCCTGGAGGGAATCTTCGAAAGGCGTATCGAGGACATCTTGGGTCTCTGGTAAAGCAATCGAGTTCAGACAAAGGGACTGAAGGAGCGGCGCTGAAGTAGCCGGGCTCGAAGCTCAAGGTGCGCACAAACTTGATTTGGTCTGCCAGGTGGGCGCGGCTTAGCTATGCATGAGACGGTAGGTATATGTTCAGACTCACCTCGAGATAAATATATATATATATATATAATTGATCAATTCATAGGTCAATTCGTGCCGGAGTCACAGATTGACCTGTCAATCAAGCAACTCGAGTCCAGTCGGCGGCATGAAGAAAGTTGAAGCTGTCGGCATCCGCGACTACCTCCGAGACAAACACGCCAAGCCCGAGTGAAGAACGGGAGCCGCGCAGGCCGCAGTGGACTCCCAACTCTCGACATGATGACCGAGCAGGGAATCCTGAGGGCGCCAAAGTAGCGATATCGCAACATTATGCCAACATCGCATGAAAAATTGTGGTAATAGAATCAAAATGATGATACAATTGATAAATCATAGTAGTGCTTGCTACGCGGCTACGTCGAATACTCTTATAACGGCGAGTATATGAATTTCAAACTCGATCTATGTACTTCATCTGAATATCGTCAATTCCGGAGACTAAATCTTTACTGAGAGGCTACTACGAAGTTCTCGTTCGAAGTAGTCCTTTCTGGATGGTTTATCCGGCACTTGTCTACACGCCTCATGATCCTCAAAATAAGTTTCCTCTGTTCGTACAGCATGCGATACTGCCGTCTCACCGCAGTCTTTAACCTAGGTAGAATCTCTGCTAGCCAGTCAATCTCACACTCATTCCTCTCTCATACTGGGATGCAGCATGTTGCATCTGCGGTAGCCACCTCTCAACACAAGGAAGTAGGTACCTAGACTCTGTAGACTCTACTGGAAGACTATGTACCAGGACAGCATGGGGAAGGCCTCGACATTTTTAAGCTTGGACGTCGTCTGGGCTTACAATCCGGATTAAATTTGCTGGTTAGAGTGACAAATCATCAATTTTCTTCCTCACCACGTTGGATATGTTAGAGCAACGGCACCTTCATCAATGATAATATTAACAACTGGAAATTCTGTCTCACTTTGTCCATAGGGCCGTTTCCCGTCTGTCTGCGCTTATGTCCTGTGGATACCGATGGGGAAACTCTTGAAGAATACATGTGTTATATGGCCCCCGTTTCCAAGAGTCGGGTGGATTCCAACGAAGACGTTAGCCCGAACTCTTAAGGTAGTCGATCTTGGTGCATTTCTGACGAGAAGTAATAAATATATGTCTGATATTCCAAAAGATCTTCCAAGGAACCAGTACAATCAACATCATCAGCATCCAGCACAAAATAACCATATCACATCAAGATCGTGTGTACACAAGCACCTCCCCATCTATTGTAAACGCAAGAAGCAGGAAGACAGAAGAAGGACGAACAATAGAGGACAAAATAACAAATATATCAAACAGGTCAGGGTCAGCGCAAGAACGCCAGAGTCAGAGTGGTATCATCAATCAGAACACATGGAAAAGAAATCATAGGAGGGGAGAGGTCTCGTGTCGTATCTCGAGGAATAGAGGAGATAGATTGACGCGTACGGGAAATGTGAAAATTGAACGTATGAAAATGACGGGGATGGGCAACACATGAGACGTCGGTTGAGAGAGTGGAGGTTGAAGACTATTCGGGAGGCATGGGCATGGGATCAATGGTATCCGATGTCCGGTGTCCTGTCGTCAATCTCTAAAACTCCAGTTGCGATCCTACCAAGCCCGCCCCCGAAAGATGTCGGTGAAGATGCTCGTCATGTTCTTGATGCTCGCCTTCCATGTGAATACTATGGGAACCTCGAACATCCCGACACGCGGCCAATAAGTCCCAGCCTTGCTCGCCTGCCCAGGGAACTCCCGAAAGTCCCGAGGCATTGGGCACCTGCGCGCCCAATGTTGGGAGGAAGTTGCCAACGGTGATGGTGCAGTCCAGTCCGAGGACGGACTTGCACCGTTCGAGGAGTGTGGGGAAGAGATAGGAAGGGGATCCGCGGATCTGGGAGAGGGTCTGCAGGATTCCCCATAGGAGTTCGCGGGGGTCGATGGTGGATTCGGCGAGACGATGGACGCCTTTGGTGCCGAGGGATTGGGTCACGTCGGCGACTGAGAGGCCCATATCGAAGAGTTTTTGCTCCTGGATGAGAGGGAGAGGGTCAGCCTTTCGGACTGTGGACGGAGGTTGGAAAGGGCCAGGTGAGTGGAGCGGCGATAAAGGAGACTTGGGAGACTTACCATGCCGATCCCGTGAGCGTCAACCGCACCCTGGGAAGCGGAACCGATCACACCCATGACGGCTTTACCGACCATGACGGGGAGATGAAAGGGAAGAACTCGGTCATCGTGATTGCCCGGTTGTGTGGCGTGGCTCATGGACAATTTCCACATCATTGCTTGCAGCCATTGCTGTGTGATGAGAATGTCGACCTGCTGGATCTCCATGACCCCATCGAGAGAGACCGGCTTACACAGACCCGCTTGAATGTTGGATGTCGGGGGTCGCTCTAACAGACCGTCGGCCCCGCCTGCGGAAAGCCAATCGTAAAGATTTGAGGTGAGTTTCTCAAAGATTCCAATCAAGTTGATAAAGCCGTAGGCCAGAATGGGGTCTTCGGAGCAGAGAACTTGGGGCTTGTGAATTGAGCTTCGAAGCATGACTGGCTTGGCTTGTTGAAGTGCATAGCCCCTGGGAGCACACCACCGACGGGTTAGTCCTGGCCCGAAAGAGAAAAAAAACATGGGCAGATTCAGGGATGATGGTGGTTGAGGCACTTACCTCTCTGTGATGAATAGCAGCCAAAAGACTCGCCTCCTTTCCTCGGCATCTTCAACACTGAGCTCTGCATAGGTCGATTCTCGATGCAGACCCAAGGAAAATGTCATGGAGATGGCCTCACAGAGGTAGTACCATGCATGACTCTGTTTATCCAGATTGCCATAAGAGGCAAACAAGAAAAATGAGGTGAGGAGGCTTTCGATGCTCACGTCGTCTAGAATGTCGCAGTCACGGCGTGCCCGCAGAGCCTCGGACAGCAGTGTCTCCCCCGAGAACAAGGAATGGCCATCGCCCAGACTCTCCAAACGAGCTGGGTCTGGGACCGGAGTGTCCCCATCGAGCTTCAACTGGATGTGCGTGGCAGCACAGAGGGAGGCCAGGAACGCGTACCGAGAGGGCGACAACATCTCCGGCTGCTGGCTATCCCGCCGCAGCTGGTCTCCCCGTACAACCGGCATGATCGGGAACAGATACTTCAAATAAACGTTGACATGGGCGAGCAAGATCTGTGATGAGAGACGTCGTGGACCCGGGAGCAGTTGGCCGGTACTCTGGCCCCGAACCGATTCCATCAGTGAATCGGTCGAGTCCGGAGAAGAGACCAGCTCTGGTGGTGGAAGTTGAGAGAGGGTGTCGGAGAGGTCATGTGGAACATACTGGGCGTCGATCACCATGAAATTTGGAGACGCTGGAGAACTGATTCCATAGGATCCGTCTGGTTGATACGGATCTTGGTCGGTGTAGAGCCGCTCCTGGGAGGCATTATTGCGAGTTGATAGTGGATGAATAGGCGCCAGCGGGTAGAGGGTTCGAAACTTGGGTCCTTTGCGACGCAGCACATCGCTATAGGAACAGGACAAGAGCAGACGCTGACATTTGTCACAAGGCAATTCGCGAGAGCATTTGATCTTGCGACGACGACAGTTGTCACATGCTTGTTTAAAGGACGGCTTGGATGGCGCAGCCATGTCCATGCTGGATCACGTAGCACACTTGGCAACGGCGGTATTCAAGATTCAAGTAGGCTCGAAAAAAAGAAAGAGGTTCCAGTGAACGTGAGGAGGGCTGTGTAGAGCAAAGTCTGGTACCAAAGTGGAGGAGCAAAGAGAAAAAAAAAAGATGGAGACACAATTACCCAAGACTCCACCAGATGGCCGGGGATACACGATATGAACGCTGAGGCAGGACAAGGAGGAGGGGAGGAACGGTGTCGATAGTTGAAGTATAAAATAGTCCAGGCGAGTATGGACTTCAGTGACCAGCCAAGGTAATATGCAGTTAATAGTAATAGCGGTTGTCGAAAGTCGAATTAATTACAAGAACAGAAAAGGAATTCATAATCGCAAAGAATCAAAAACCACTGGTTCATCTGGGGAAGCGCGGGGCCACGCCAAATCCGCCCCGCAAAAGGCCCCTGCACGATTTCCAGTCACTGCGAGCTGGTGAAGCCTTTCAGGGTCTCTGTGAATAGTGTGTATCGTGAATCGTGAATTGCAGAAGGTGAATGGAGGCGCTATTCAGTAGCTTCTTGTTGCTCCTCTGGCTCACTTCGCCGTCCGGCTCAGCGTGATATTCACTCTGTCTTGTACTAGCCTGAGTCTCATCCATCGCTATGAGTTATTCTTGCCAGATCTTGCTGCTGGACACCTCTGGTCAGTCAAGGCCTCGCATATCCGTGTATCGGTCTACAGTGGAGATCAACGGATGATGATGATGATGATGATGATGATGATGTGATTAATGTCTGAAGCTTGGAGGCCTTGCCCACACACGCAAACGTGCCTGACGCCTGAGCTCCAGACCGGCAGACCTCCAGACCTCCGTTGTAATGCCAGCCTATCCACGATTGCAAGCCAGTTCTGATCCTGGCTGATTACCGACAGGAAAGCTATTCTCGATGAAAGTCAAATTTCCCCTCTTCCACATCTTCTTCCTGCACCAACCGGGTTCTGGAAGCCAATGAGACGATCTTCGCCTCGAGTCAGATCTTTCCAGAACTCTCACATCGTTCCAAGACTAGACCCAAAACAACCCCGGATGCAGCAAGCCACTTCCACTTGCTGCACCGAGGAGGAGTGCGTCGTGACTCGTGAGTACTGAGCAGTGAGCACACCGTGCTAGCAGAGTGCACGCCCTGGGATGCTGTCCAAGTCCAACCTTTCTCCAGCCTGTCTCTGCGCCTCTGCCTCTTGTCGCCCATCCCCGGAGATCTAAGCGAAGGGCGCCAGCAGATCCCGGCCGACTATCCCTCGTTTTGGCTGGAACCCACCTTGGCACGCAGGGACGGTAAGACGCCAGGCCGTGTCCATCGGCTTATCCCTGACGAGGAGACTCTGTTCCCCAGCATCCGAACCGGGCAGAGCAAAAAGCCGGGGGACCGACTTTCAGGGGAGTGGGGATGGGTCGGCTACAGTGCAGACTGCAGAGTGCAGTGCACGGCTGCAGTCCTGCAGCAGAGGGCTCGACTTGCTCTGCCTAGCATCTGCTATATGCTTTGTTGTGCCTGACTTGCGGCACTTCCAGCTCCCCCATACTTTGCATTTTGGAGGGGAGGGGACTGTTGGATCTCCAACAAGGTGATCTTGCGAACGGGAAACCCTTACTCGATCTGGAGTCAAGAGTGTCATGAATCGTGTTGCCAAAGCTTCCCGGATGAGGTCACTGACCCAACTCCACACCGCGAAAATACAGAACCCACCATCACCGGGACCAGGGGCTATATGATTTTTCCCCATTCACTCCATTGGGATCATGGGCCGAGTGGCTCAGATAGTCGCAAGGTTCTGGTGTACACTTCGCAACCACAGGCACACCAAATCAGGAGAAGCACCAGAGAAGAATGGAGAAAAAGAGAATATTACCAAAGTCAAATGCGGGGGGGGGGGGGCAGAAGAGAGAGAGAAAAAACAAAAAAAAAAAAAAAAAAAAAAAAAAGAGGGGCTGCGCGAATTTCCCACACGATTTGCCCGCCCGCCTACCAACTGCCAACTGCCAACTGCCAACTAACCTGACCGGCATCATTTTTCACATGTGTTCTGTTTACTACCACGACGACTCTGGGAATATGCCAATGCTATCACTCTCTGGACGAAAACGTTCCTCCCGAGCATGGGCCCCCCCCCCTCCTCTCCGACGCAGGGATGACGAAGACTCGATGCGCTAGGCGCACACAGCAGGACAATCATCAAAGACGGTAATCGTCCTGGTGAGACGTGAAGCTAGACTCAAACAAGCCCGTGTCTCCGCAGTCTTGCAACGGATAGTCCATGGAAGACCGGATGGAATGCATGGAATGCTGGAGTTTATTGGGTGTATCCCACATAGCCAGCCTGCTTGCGCCCCGTGCTAGGCCCATTTGATGTCCGAAATCCAATCAGCACAGTCAGCTTGTCAAGCCACGGCACGCTAGAAGCTCTCTCTGGGGGCGCATTGCCTTTTGGTTTTCCAAATGGGTGGAAGATGCCGATGCGTCTTGACATCTGCTTCGGGAAGCCGAGCACGGTGGCATGGTCACGGTCAGGCTGTGGACTCTGTGAGTGCAGGCTCGTCGGCCGGACTCTATGAGGCTTGAAGGGTACCTCTTTCACGCCTGAGAAAGACGAGAAACTCAGTGGAAAGCGCCTCGACGGATTCATGTCTTGAGGCTACCTGCAGTGGAGGTGATGGGGCCAGGGGAGGAGGGAGGGGGGGGGGATGGTACGACGCCGAAGAGGCTCGCCTAAAGACAAACGAACTGTCCTCAACGTGGATGAGATCAGGAGTGGCAAATCACACTGAAGATGCGGTGGGCCGCAATGGGAACATCGCACGATGCTGTTCGATTCTAAGCTCTCAAAGGAGAAAGTGATGACATCTTCTCTCGGTTGACCTTGGCGACGACACGTCGACCCATACCAGTACGGTAGCAGGGTACCCAAGGGGATCAGATCAATAGGACCACAAGGAAACGATCTGCCTCGGATCCTCCACCCTTTCTCAGTCCTGCGCTTGGGGATTTGAGGATTCGAGCTTCAGACACCTGATTTCTGACTCTAGGATCATTCTATTGTACTACCAGATTGATCTTGTTAGACCATCGCCCCCAAGGTTCTGACAGAAGCGGGTTGCCTACAAACAAGTCTAAGCGCTTTGTGCTAGCCATTCGAAGATTTGTATCTGCCGCCACAAAGCAGCCATACTGTGCATACCTACAGAGTATAGAGTACACAGACCGACAGCAGTGAGTCTACTAGTCTAGTGAGTCTAGTGACAGTACACAGTGACACACTACACAGTACACTTTATATGAAAGATTCCATGCTTGCTCCAGGGTATAACCCGGGCATACGATAGAAGATCATACCGCTCAGTCCACAGAATTCCTTTGCACAGTCTCGACTCTCGAGTACCTCGTCACCAGCATCACTGTCTAATATCTACGGTCTCGTGCGATTCCGACCCTGACCACCGGAACAAATGACCCACACAAACAGAAGACCTGAACATCGACTCTTCCCCAGATTGCGACCCCGATCATCGTCTCGACGGTCCACGCCAAGGGTGAAACTTTGCCATCGGCATCCGCCGTGGATGTGCTGCCTGGTAGGCGTGTGGTCCACTAAGATGAAAACACTCACCGAGAAAGGTTGTTCGTGTCGAGCCGAGACCTAGGCCGAGGTGGTGGTACTTAGAGACTGGAGACGGGAGACGGGAGACAAGAAACAAGGTTTTAGTTGGGGGTTTGGCGGGGGGGGGAGTTCTTCTGGAATGGTAGCGGCTCGGGAAGGGACACACTACTGACTCCAGTACTGCACTGACACTCTAATCTCTAGGGCTCTACACTTGACGCTTGACCGTCAAGTGGCAAAGGTCGATAGCCTTTGATATAATTTGACTGACTCGCGAGTCGAGCCTATTCAGGACCTTGATTTCCCTTTTTGGGTCTTGTTTGCGTCTACGGGGATCTGCTACTGAGGTTATACTGAAACTTGACTGTGCACTCCCGTCTGCGGTGTCGACAACCACCGTAGGATCAGCGGGTGGTTGGAACAGTACTGGAGTACTAGCGTCTCTGCTTCGATTTGAAGCTGGACTCGTATATCTTATACTATATAGTTTATATGTACTTATAGTGTCTTCCTCTGACCGAATGACAGAACACTATTCAACTACGCCAACTAATATGGGGGTACCTCAGGCCACTGCGACTTCAAAAGTGCAAAGTCTCCGTGGGAATTGCCATCACGAATCTGGTGCTTCTAAGACTATCTGTAGGCGGGGAAAGTTGGGTTGATGACGGTCAACACTACACATTCAACTGAACAAGTGCGGCAGTTCTCATCGAATCTCAATCCGGTCTCCCTCGGGCTCCGTCTCAAGTTTCGGCTTGCTCTGCACCACGTAGTGGTCCCTTACTACCAGTACCTACTACCTACTACTTAGTGCCTACTACCTACTACCAACTGGATCTCTTCTTCGATACTTTCACGGTGCCTCATGATATGGCCCCACTTCCCCGGGCTCTTTGGAGATGCATGTTTTGCTCTGCCGCGGGCGAGAAGATACGGTGTAGTGTGTACTCACAGAGTGTGGTCATACTGGAAGGATTGTTGGAACTTGGTAGACTTTGCCACAGACTCTGTTGGCCACGCGGATATATCTTCCTCCGTCAGGTCTCCGCGCAGGGAAGGTAGTACCGCAAATGGAGTGGGAGTCTCTCCAACACACCATCGGTCGCGGCCTTTCAGGATTCAAGAGAGAGAAAAGGGAAGTCGAACCGCGAAAGATCATGAAAGAAAAGACAAGTGGTAGATGCTAGATAGAGAGATGACACAGACACCTAGTCATAGAGTGAGTGACCATGATGACCGGGTCTTCCCCAGTCTCCATCTCCATCTCCATCCGCATGGATCGATTAGGCATGTCAGGGCAGAACAGTTTGATGAGAAATTACGCTGTTTCGGGCTGGGCGATAGTCCTTTTTAAACCAGCAGAGACGGAACAGTCATGCAATCGAGTCAAGTCCCCTGATCCTGTCCCGTCACCTCATCCCATGCAGAGGGTATGACCATTGCCTGTTGACTGGTATAACCCTGTGAAGTGTAGAGTGTAAAGTGTTGAAAGTACTAAGTACTCGGGTACTGCAGTGCTGGTCGGGTCCCGTGCTGAACTGCTCGGTCGAAAATGAGTCAGCAACTCCACTTGTGACCGTCGGCCTTATGCAGCCTCGGTCAATTATCGGACCATCGACCAATCGCCTCTCCTCTGCACCTCCGTCTCGTTTCCCCGAGATCTTTCGCCTTCGGCTTGGACCAAACACCCCTTCTCCACTCTGCAAGAGCTCTCCTCTTCCCTCCCCCGACTACTACTCCCGTCTCCATACCAGTGCATTGGACGAATCCCGCCCATGGCTCAGGAAAGTGCCAGGGTCAGGAACCAGCCTGTCGATCAAGAACAGATACCAGCCTGTTGTTGTGATGTACTCTGCTCGGCTGGCATCGTCTCGCCGAGAACCGACCACATCCCACACGGCCGTTGCTTCGCAAGGGCCGTGCAAGCCGTGTGCCAGGACTCCCTGGACCGTCGGGTTGACACTTGAACAACGTTTGACGCTCGCTCACGGCTCACCCCGGTACTACTGTATTGGCCGAGCCTTTTGTCCTATGGATGTGTTCTACCGCCCCCAGAACCACAGTCTCCCAGCCTCCTCTCCCCTCTACTGCGGGGAATTGGATCTAGATGCGTTATCAGGAGGAGACAATAGAACCATAGTACGATAGGATGACAATGAAGAACGAGTACACACTACGCGTCACAGTACACACAATCGGAATTCAAGAGCGCAGTGTGTGACTACCGTGCAGTCTGCACAACTTCTGCGCCATGGACCCTGGTCGGCTGGCTCTCGACCGTGAGGATTCTCCGCTAGGACAGCGCACGGTGCAACACGCCGTGACGATCGTGCCCCCGCAAATTCCTCTGTGGCAACTGGACTCCTCTCCTTTGACGAGTTGCGTCTCTAAGCTGGCAGGCGCCTCTCTAGACCCTGTACGAGGGTCGCCGCCAAGCCTGCTAAGCTTGGATGGCGAGGGTCCTCAACCCCGCAAACGCATCCGTTCGCACTGGAATGCGGGCTCGACGGCATAGGAATGTCATTGCAAACTCCGCTATGAACGGAGATTCAACGGAGATTTTGACGCCGTTTTGGTGAAATCTCTTGATTGTTTTGGTTCCCACTCCGTGGAGAAATCCCCATTCATCAAGCAGAACCGGGTCTGATGCGAGACCTTTGTGTTCGGGGGAGAACTGTAAATCGGCAGTGGACCAAGTGATAGCATCATAATTGTCCGTCTGCGACCGATCGCGACACAGATTGGGGATTGAGGAACGACTCCAGTCAATTCTATAAAAGGCCGACCATCCGTACTCGGCACCGGGTTGACGAAAGGCTGCTGGGAATCGAAACAAAAACAAATCAAACCAAAGATTTGTCGATTTGTTGATCGCCTTTGTTGCAGGCCAATCAATCGCAATGGTGGGTATTTCGCGTGTACTGGCCAGCTCATGGCTGTTGCCAGTGGTGTACGGTGCAACGCAAACCACCTCTTCGGTCCATGCCCAGACGACTCTGCCATCCAGTGTGGACAATGGCGCCAACTTGCTGGCCAACATTGATGACCCTCATGCCATCAATGCGCAAACCGCATGCCCAGGTTATCGCGCTACCGACGTCAAGACCTCCTCCCAAGGTTTAACGGCGACCTTGAAATTGGCCGGCAAGGCGTGCAATGCCTACGGTACCGATGTGGATTCGCTTGATTTCACCTTGGAGTACCAGTCGGCATCGCGTGTGAACATTCAAATCACCCCGTCTCATGTCGATGCCACCAACGCTTCGTGGTATCATCTCTCCGAAGATGTTGTCCCCCGCCCCAAGGCGGAAAAGAATGCATCTGCCAAGGACAGCCAGTTCGATGTCACTTGGACCAATGAGCCTTCCTTTGGCTTCAAGGTGGCGCGCAAGTCCAACGGGGACGTCTTGTTCGATACCACCGGCTCAACTCTCGTGTACGAGAACCAGTTCATCGAGTTTGTCACCGGATTGCCTCAAGATTACAACCTGTATGGTCTGGGTGAGCATATTCAGCAATTGCGTCTGCTGAAGAATGCTACCCTGACCCTCTATGCGGCTGACGTTGGTGATCCCATTGACGCGTAAGTGCGATTATGATTCTCAAAGAGCATCGCCGTCTCGGGAGAGAGGTTTTCTATTTCCAATCTTGCGACTAACATGTGAATGATTTCCATAGTAACATCTACGGATCGCACGCCTTCTACCTGGATACTCGCTACTACGAAGTCAATGGGCACGGCCACCACACCCTGGTCTCCAGCGACCAGGCCAAGGCGAACAAGAACTACGTTTCATACTCCCACGGTGTCTTCCTGCGCAATGCGCATGGTCAGGAGGTCCTTCTTGGAGACAAGAAACTCACCTGGCGCACTCTGGGTGGAAGCGTCGATTTGACCTTCTATGCGGGCCCTACCCAACACGAGGTGACCAAGGACTATCAAATGAGCACCGTTGGCCTTCCTGCTATGCAGCAGTACTTTACCTTTGGTTATCACCAGTGTCGTTGGGGCTATTCCAACTGGTCGCAGGTGGAGGAGGTTGTCGCGAACTTCCAGAAGTTCGAGATCCCTCTCGAGAATATCTGGTAAGTCAGCCAAAGTCCTTCCGAAGAGACTTGTAAGAAGAGAGCCCCTTTCCCCTTTGGCTGACCGTTCACGCAGGAATGACATTGACTACATGAAGAGCTACCGTGACTTTGACAATGATCCTGAGCGCTTCTCATACGAGGAGGGAGCGGACTTTTTGGACAAGTTGCACAAGAAGGGCATCCACTACATCCCCATTGTTGATTCCGCCCTCTATATCCCCAATCCCGACAACTCTTCTGATGCGTGAGTTTTCCCTCGTCGGGGAGATGGTATACCGAATGGCGTTCCTCTCGTCATTGTGCTAACCCAACAAATCTAGTTATGAGACCTACAATCGCGGTGCTGAAATGGATGTCTTCCTAAAGAACCCCGACGGAAGCACCTACATTGGCGCCGTTTGGCCCGGTTACACGGTCTTCCCCGACTGGCACAGCCCCAACGCTACCAAGTACTGGTCCAATGAGCTGGTTGAGTGGCATGACAAGATCGCTTTTGACGGTATCTGGATTGACATGAGCGAGGTTTCCTCCTTCTGTGTCGGCAGCTGTGGCAGTGGCAAACTGAGCCAGAACCCCGTTCACCCGCCTTTCTCTCTGCCCGGCGAGCCTGGTAATGTCATCTTTGATTACCCAGAGGGATTCAACCTCACGAATGCCACCGAGGCGGCTTCTGCCTCTGCGGGCGCTGCTAGCCAGGCCTCTGCTGCTGCTCAATCCGCGGGCAATGCGCCGGCCACTACTACCCCTTACCTTCGCACCACTCCCACTCCCGGCGTGCGCAACGTCAACTACCCTCCGTATGTGATCAACCACGTGCAGAGCGGCCATGACCTTGCCGTGCATGCCGTCTCTCCTAACGCGACTCACTCGGACGGAGTGCAGGAGTACGATGTTCACAGCCTCTTCGGTCACTCCATCGTCCGTGCCACTTACGAGGGTCTCCTCAAGGTTTTCCCTACCAAGCGTCCATTCATCATCGGTCGCTCGACCTTTGCTGGTACCGGTAAATGGGCTGGTCACTGGGGCGGTGACAATGCCTCAAAGTGGGCGTACATGTTTTTCTCGATTCCCCAGGCTCTGCAGTTCTCGCTCTTTGGTATCCCCATGTTCGGAGTCGACACCTGTGGTTTCAATGGCAACACCGATGAGGAGCTCTGCAATCGTTGGATGCAACTCTCCGCCTTCTTCCCCTTCTACCGTAACCACAATGTGCTGTCTGCCATCAGCCAGGAGCCTTACCAGTGGGCGTCTGTGGCCGAAGCCTCCAAGGCTGCCATGAAGATCCGTTACGCAATCTTGCCCTACATCTACACCCTGTTCCAGCAGGCCCACACCACTGGATCAACCGTCATGCGCGCTCTGGCCTGGGAGTTCCCTAATGACCCGTCCCTGGCCACCGTCGACACCCAGTTCCTCCTCGGACCCTCCATCATGGTGGTCCCCGTTCTGGCTCCTCAGGCCACCAGCGTCCAGGGTGTTTTCCCCGGTGTCAAGCACGGCGAGGTCTGGTACGACTGGTACACTCAGACCGCCGTCGAAGCCAAGCCGTACGTCAACACCACGATCGCCGCTCCCCTCGGCCACATCCCTGTCTTCGTCCGCGGCAATTCCATTCTGCCCATGCAGGAGCCTGCCCTGACCACCCGCGACGCTCGCAACACCCCTTGGACCCTGCTCACTGCGCTCGGCGAAAAGGGCACCGCCACAGGTGAACTCTACCTCGACGACGGCGAGAGTCTGACGCCCAACGCCACTCTGACCGTCGCGTTCAAGGCTACCAAGTCCAGCCTGAGCGCCGAGCCCTGCGGCAACTGGCGCGAGAAGAACCCCCTGGCCAAGATCGACATCTTGGGTGTTACCCACCAGCCTCGCAGCGTCACTTTGAACGACAAGGCTCTTCCCGAGTGTTCGGTCAAGTATAATCATACTTCTCACGTTCTGTCCATCACTGGATTGGAGGAGATGACCGCCAAGGGTGCCTTTGCTGAGAAGTGGACTATGAAGTGGTGAGATCTCGCATCTGGGAAAGATTTCCACTCAGGGTGATTGTTCAAATCACGTCAGCTTCAGGTACCCTAGTATTTAGTACGATCATATAATGAATGAACGTTCCGACAACGATATTCTTCAAATCATGTATAAATAACCTCATTCGCTCCTTCACTAAGTATGGAACACAGTCACACACCCATCCAGACCAGATAGCCACCAACCTTTCCACCTGAAAAAACCGGACCCAGACCCCATACCCTTTTCCTAATCCACCCACCCACATACCCATACGCTTCCTCTCAAAACCATACACCCTGAAGAGTGAAGACATCTTGTGTCCCCGTCAGCAACCCCATCACCCACACCTTTAGAGTAAGTCAGCTCAACCACCGGTAAAGTCCAGACAATCTCACGTTTCCGCCTCGATGTATTTGGGATTGAAAAATCGGAACTACCTGCCGTCCGTGTTGGATCGTACTGATCTTGTTGGTTTCCATTAGGGTCTGACTTTTTTGTAGGTATGTTGACTTCGTGAGCCGCAGCACCACTACCTAGTAACCTACTAGTGAGCGAACGGCATCTGTGAGGGTTGAGATCTCCGGCCAGGACGGGGTTTCTCTTGAAAGAAATCAAGATTTCCAAGACGCGAGATGGGACTGGGGCGATGGTCCGGATTCACGGGTACCTAGGTGGATTTGCTAGCTATGGTTCGGCGCGATGGCCTTATACTTTGATTATCATATGGATGCTTATGAGATGAGAATCTTGGTTGGTTGGCAGTCACTGGGAACAAGTGAAAGTCATAGTCCATTTCCCGATCGTGTGATTATTATCTGGCTCATGAAGTGAACGTGACCTGACCCCCTCGGGCAGGTAGAAAGACCCCAAGTTTCCTAGTTGATTTTGAGCTGTGTGTGTGTGTGTGTGTGTGGTGTTTTTCCCTTTTGCCCATTAGATAGGTCCCCCTTTCAGTTCATATCATTTGCATCTTTAACTTTCATTTTCCCCTTTTTATCCCAAGCCGCAATGGCAATCATATCAGAGATCATGCAGAGCCCGTGGAACCAGGCCAATTGGCATTGCGCCGCCCGTCACCGGCGCAGAATGATGTTGGAAAATCGCCGGAGCCGAAAAGGACGTCTGCGTCGAAACATAATTATTCGGAATCAATTGCTCAAAGCATCCGTACCCTTCCACTAAGGGGTCCATTCCGGAGGCGGGCATCAACCCGCTCATGTCCATGCTATTCGACCGGGACGAGGGCACGACAAACAACGGTGCGGCTTTCATTGCATCCGAGCCTGGCGAGGCTTGGCCTACACTGGCGGCTTCGGAGTATCTGCGCTGCACTTCGCCGACAATGCAGGCGATGCGGTATGCGAGGTGATCGCTGCTTGGTGCGAGGTGGAGCAGGAATGCCCGGACTTGGTCGATCAGGGGATCGGATGGGGTGTAGTCGCAGAGAGTGAGAGCTGCGTATCCGAGGGTGTAGTAGACGTTGTCGATCAGGCCGGGGGCGGCGGAGAAGCGGGTTTGAAGGGAGCGCGAGATGATCAGGCGGGCGTTGTTGCAGATCTCGGCAATGACTCTGTCGGAGTCGGATTGGAGGCGAGATGCAGTACGGTAGAGGATGAGTTGGCAGAACCAGATACTGAGCTCTAATGTGGAAGGACCGTCATTTGCTACAGGAATTTCGTGATTCCGGGTTAGCGAAGCGCCGGTGTGGCTTATAGGGGGTGGGTCAGGTTCGTTCATACCGATGAGGTGAGCCCACTCCATCTTCCAGCGTTCAATTTCTTCAAACTCGCCCTCGGTGTACCGGAGACGTTGAATGTTATGTTGAGTTCGCAACGCAATCCTGTACAGCTTGATTTCGGCAACAATTCGTCCATCTTCGGGAGTTGCCCTTGGATTATCCAAGATGCGAGTGCATTGATCGAGGTGATGTTGCTGGACATTCACTGATCTACCGTACCCCAGAGCGGCACTGTTGATAGAATGGTCAGTAACCGAAAGTCGAGACAAGACAACCAATTGCCCCTTCGCCTTTGCTCATCACGTACTGTAGATGCGTCAAGCAGAATGTATTCCAAAGGCGCATTTGCGTGAGCGCCTCATCGCTCAGGATGCTTTTGGTTGGCGACCCCCGAGGAAGTTGAAAGCAGTCAAGGCATGATTGATTGAGATCCCGCTCAACAACCAGCCGTCCATGAAACCCTCCTTGTGGCCAGAGGTAGGGTAGAGGCATAGCAAAGCCAATGCTTGAAGGAGATCCACCGTCAAGGAGGATCGTCTCCACAAGATCTTGGTCACTCCATGCTGCACCTGCATGGATATTTCGTGTATTGTGTTTGCCGGCATTCCCGGCAAGTAGCGAGATGCCAGCAGACAGGCCGTATTAAATAAGAGGGTATTTGTCCTCGGTATGCTAGAAGACAGATCAATTGAGACCCATGGACCGAAATACTCAATGAATCTATAAGCACAAGCGGGTCAGATCAGAGTGGGAGATTTTGTACTTGGAGGACATCCCCACTCACAAGTCGATCAATTTGAGAGACAGTTTGGTATCAATGATCCCTTGCGATACCACGTCGCCCAGCAGATCTGCTTCTGTGGAAAGCTGATCCCGGAAGCACTCCACCTGCAAATCACGAATGAATTGCATCGGCTTCAGCGTAAAAGAAGAGGCCGTCCATCCGTCGTTGGAGGCAGTTTCATCCACACTGCGAGCTGTCGTGAGCGAGGGAGGACTACCGGCGACTGGTGATGGCTGATTGACCATCTGACGCATCAAATGGATCATCTCTCCCATGCCACGCTCCAAGGACACGAGACGCTCCTCGATCGAAGGAATTGCCGTATTGGCGTCGGACCATGTCGACACATTGTCCTGGAACCGGTCTTGTGTCTCGGGCAGTTCGCAATCGAGTCTGTACAACAGCAACAACGAACCTGTCAGTCTTGTCAAGCTTTTATTTTTTTTTTATTATTTTTCGATTTTCATTCATGTGTCGACTTGTGGGTCGATGTGCAGTACATGGGTCCCTGGTCAGATTCTCTCGACCTGCCCATGCGCGCGTCTGCCCCCGTAGGAAGTGGATCTCATGACACAGAGAAATTCTCACGATGCCAGAACAGCGAACGTGGAGGGTACCCTCCGATCATGCAGCTTGACGGCGCGGGGGGGGGGGGAAAGAGAAGGATGGGGTAAATATAAGATACGGGCGATATCACGAACCTCAGAGAAAGACAACGACGACAAGCATGTCCACGCGGGTCCAGATCACATCGTGTCTTTAGCTTACGGCAGGTATTGCATGCAGTCATTGATCGACGGATTCGTCCTCTGGGGCGAGACTCTTGGCCGATCGCATCAATTCGTTGACCGTCGTCCATGACTGCCATACTCTTGCTCTCCCAGGAAGTGTTGTTGGTTGCGGGCTCCGTTCGCGTCATGGCTACTACAAATGGGAAATGATGCTGGTGGTGGTGGTGGTGGTTGTGAAGATGGTGATGATGATGACGACGATAATAACGATGATGATGTGAAAAGGCTAGTCGTGATTCATTAAATGATGGGGAAAGGCAAGCAGGATTCAATCGGCAAGTTGGTCGCCAAACAGGGGTTCAGAGTCCAGATGAAGCAATTAGGATGCGAGTCGAGTCCCCGAGTCAATTTAGAGGAACGCTTGCACGGAGTTGGTGGAGAGAAAGAGAGGCGAAAGAATGAGGATGAGAAGAACGAGGAAAGAGGATTATGGGGAAGAGAGATGAAGAGGAGACAGGAGTTCGAGCAGATGGACCCTTTCCAAGCTCCGATTGATGGCACTGAAGATCATTAAATCCACCACGACCAGGTAGGTTTTTTTAATTGCAGTGGAGTGAGTCGATGCCTTTTCATACGAGATAGCAGACGGCGAGACTAGAGCCAATGGCGACGAAGACCCCGTTGATTGACGATATCAAATTTGGTCGCAAAGTGCGCAGGTACGTGTGTATCCACTTCGTGACGGACCTGGGGTAAACCGCAACGCATCCACCAATCTTGAAGTTTTGCCACGGCTTCTAGAAAGCTAGTGGCAGTCCCCGATTTGGTCCTATTGCATGCAATTTGGGATGTGAATTGTGATATTTTTTTTCCGGGGCCAGCGACTCAGAGAGGCAGGTAGGTCTAACCGTAGAGACAGGAGAGAGATGAGAGAGTGTGTGAGGGGGCATAGAGAGGGAACAAGCGCATTGGTTCTCGCTATACCCGACGTGAGCCGTCAGGATAGGACGTTCCGGGCGGAAATGCTTGAGTAGCAAAGAGGATGAGGAGAGCAAGAGAGTGAGAAAGACACGGAGAGGGGGTCTGGTCACTCGGACTGGAGAGGGAGAAAAAAAAGTACACATCTCGCAAGCAGGCTGCTCAAAGATTCGGACGAGATGGTATCAGTTGATGCTAGTCAGCCACTCCACGGACCGTCTTTTGTCTGGGCCTCTCCAACCCTCGACGAGTCGACGACTGAGCTGTCTAGCGTCCCAGCCAACCGGGGGACGAAGGGTTGTAGCTAACCAAGCTCGGGGAAGGTCCCGTGCAAATCGATGTTCTAAGTTTGACCTCCCAGAGGGAAAACAGACAAGGACCGCGAGCCGGAGAGGAAAGCAGAGCAAGTGTAAGGGAGCTTATCGCAGATCCTCAGCCTCGCTGGATTCCTTGCGAGAGACCGCCCATCATCTATTCTGGGCTGCTTCCGATCGTTATCTCCAACGTGGAAATTAGGTGGACACTGGACACTGGATAACTTCGCGGACCTTTCCTCTTTGAGTATATGCTTCTAGAACATATCTCATTCTCAGAGGAAGAAGGCATGGTGAAACCTCTCGTCCACACGGGAGATGTTATACGACTCGCCATGATCATGGTCCAGGTCCAGCTGGGATATGCTCTCTCTATCCCCCTCTCCTCTCCCATTGAGATGCTCACCTCCTGGCGCTGACAATGAACCCATTCTCTTTCTTCCTTCCCCCCTCGTACATTTTCATGTAAAGTGGGGATGGGAAGAAATGGGATTTCTTTTGGGTCAATTCATGCGCGATAAAGTGGGCCGCAGCCACCGACTGGGCCATGAATTGCTCTCGAGTGGATCACCACTCATCATGAGGAGCTCACAGAAGCAGCAAAAGGGCTCGGGACTGTCTGACTTGCTGGGCACTAGCATGTGCCAATGTGCTCTCATCCATATTGCCATGCTGCATTTGTGCTTAGCCTAGGGCATTTGCGATCGGCCCAGTAGCCATTCTGGGATCATCATTTGAGGAAATCGACCGGGGGGGGGCAACAGAACCCCCTCTTGAAGTTGAAGCAATGCGACTCTGTAAGTTTCTGGATCCGGTTACCACCGGATCTCTACCGGTTAATGCTTGGGCCCCTGTTCGCTTTATCCTTCTGGAGCGAAAGCGTGTGCTGGAGGTTGGCGCCAACAACTGGGAAAGTTCTCCTGTCCTCCCCCCCCCCCCCCTGGTCAGCAGCGAGTCAAGCAATCCAGGCGGGTTGGACCCTGGGGAAAGGAAGAGGTGGCTTGCTCCAGACGTGAGAGCCTAACTCGCCGGGACGACCAGAACCAGGCCACACCGTGCGTGTGCCTGGCAGCCATGTTCTCGCTGGGCGGGTAAGGAGCGTCATTCCGCCGCCCGCCGGGCTGCAGAGCGATGAATCTGACCGAGGGAAAAACCTTAGCTTCCCTTGCGCTTATACTAACCGCATTGATCTGTGACACTCGCAGCGAGCATGGGAAATGGGCGGAGACCTTGGGGCGAGCACTGCTTCTTCGCCATGAAGAAGAGTGGAATGGGCCAGTTGTTCAGGTGACACACACCATTCACAAATTTCTCCGGCTGGAGAGGAGCCACAATCGTGCTGGATCAAAAAGATCCAGGGATCTGCGCGGGCTCTCACTCGCGCATTGAAGGTCCTGGTCACGATTCAACGTAACTGAACCATGGAGACTAAACCCTTCTACTCCTGCGAAATCGCGCACGAGTGGGTGGACAGTGGACAATGGTGGGGACCAAGTGGAAGTCCACAGACGTGGATTAAACATCCGAGGTCCAGCAGGGTGTACCACAACTGCAACGAGTGCAATTACTGCAATCTCCTCGGTCGCTCCACCGCCCAGGGCAATCCAGAATCTTGAAACCCCTTCACACCGTCGGGCCGGCAGCTAACTGCCTTCCATTTCGGGCCTTAGTGGACTGCTGGCGTTGGTCGAGGATTACACGAATAAGAAGAAGCGGTCAAGATGACATGGCTCTGGATTTTGGAATGATCCGAGGTAACTCCTGGGTATAAGGGTTCTGTCGAGTTCCTCGACCAGTGGTGCCTGAGTACTTGTTCAAGGAGCGATAGCACTACTATCGAGGCATGTAGCATAGTAATGCTAGTAGTACATTATCAGTCGTACATTATGAGTAGTCCATTATTAGTTGTAATTATGAGGAGTAATTATGAGTAGTACATTGCCAGCAGCTCAGACACCCCGTTGGCAGGTGGCCTTTTCTTGCAGCTCTGACGCTCTTACTTTCTTGAAACTCTTGGCGTGAGCTTATAGTCTGGGGTAGAGAGTAGAGGCTACATCAAACGAGCAGCAGCAGGAGCATCAAGTGTGGCTCGGCCCAGATCGGGGATTTTCTGGTCTTCTCATCGAGGCAGAGTGGCAAACACCACCCCAAACAAACATCACCATGGCGTATCGCTCGATCTGATCCCCTACTCTACAATGTCAAACTGGATTTGGGCCGCTTTGGTCTAATTTCCGTCGTGGTCACTCTGTCTCTGTGAAAAGACACCAATGTGCAAGTCTCTTCGCTCGTGTTATAAGCAGGCTGATTGACGCTGGACTCATCCAGAGCGCCAAGCGTAGATCTCATAGCCTGCACATCATCAAGCATTGCCCAGGCTGGCAGGCACTGTCAGATGGAGTGGCGACGTGCCAATAACCACTGTGTGCTCGGGGAATTTTGTTTTACGTTTTAATCTTTCTCTCATGACCTCGGAAGCCGAGCGACTGGAATGATTCAGACTGGAGCCTGGAGCTAAGCCCATATCATGAAAAGAAATGGGAGAGTGGGGGGGGATGGTGGAAAGAAGTGGGAACCGGGCTCGGAACGTCCAAGTGGAAATGTCTTTCAATCCTAGCGTCAACCGTTGGAACCAGAACCAAGAATAGTAGTAGAACATTAGATTCGATCAGGGCATTTAGCCATCTGCGCCGAAAGCGCTTATGCACAAAATCCAGCACAAAGAGGCTGGTGGTGAAACATCCAGGCCCTTGGTTACTGAAAAGCCATCGGACTGGAGAGACACTTTCATCCACGGATGCTCCCAGATCATATCCACTATCTAGTATCTACTGTAGTACAGTAGTGTATCTTCTTGGGCTCTCTTCATCTGACATCACGTAATTACTGTCAGACATCAGACATCGTTCGTGGAATACACCACTTTACCATTGGCATGATAAGCTTGATCCACTCGCCGTACTAATCCCACAAGCCCTCTCGCCGTTCTACCGGAAAACGCTATAGATCCTGATTTAGTAGGAGGCTAGTAGCAGGTGACCTCAGCGACTGCTCTTCTGCGACGCATGAGATGTTCGCGAGAATCGTGGCTACAAAAACAAAGTTCAGGAGTCTTACATTTCCAGCACTTTTTCGCATCACATTTAGAGTGACGCATCCAGCTTCTGGAAATTCCCTGGAATTTCCGCCGTGAATAACCAGTGCTTGCAGGCAATCCCAGGCAAAGTTGAACCATTCACGATGTGTCAATTGTTGATAGCCTGGTTGTCCCGCGGGTGACAGCGGCCCGGCCAAGCCCGTTAGTTATCTAGGAATCTGACCTGACTGATAAGACTTTGCGCTACACGAGCTGCTAATGCCTCAATCAAGGTCAGACCGATCTTGCCGAGGCCAACTGAGGAGCTGACCCAGCATGATCATCACGGATATACCGACCGACTCGAAGAGATAGATACGCGTCATTTTCAACACTCGACGGTCGTTTGTCCGTCCAACGGGCATCTCCGTCGCTTTTCTTCACTCTCGACCTAGGGTTTCGAGCTAAGACGCTGTCATCTCGACGACTGGCTGAACTAGAGCTAGAGATTCTTCACGATTGGACCAGCTCCAGAAAAAAGCCCGGGTCCTTGTCAAATCCCAGCGCTTACTTGCACATCGACAAATTTTCCCGCATGAGTTGATATGTCTGCTCAAATAGAAGATACACGATATGCTTCCGTGGTCTATACACGGACGTCCGCTTTCTTCCCCTATGCACCTTCCTATACGATTTTACCAACGGCATGTAGCCCTATAGTAGACGCTATTATTACAGCTCAGCTGTCATAGCACCTCACGAGTGAAGGACCCGTCTAGGCCCACGAGGGTGTACTGGGGACGTGGGAAACTTCAACCACTGCAGGTGCAAGGTGGTCAAGACAGTGTCTGTATTGAATCCAGGAAGGGAGAATTTCGATTTCTGCACCATTGTCGTCAACACGATAGCCCATAGACTATATTACGGCTTTCGGTCTGCGTTTATTCGAGGCAATTGATCCCCGCGTAAAAGCTTCGAGATTCATATAGCCTTAGTACCTGAGGAAGTATCTCACTCCTTATGAGGTACCTTTTCAGCAACTGCCGGCATAAAGCGCAGCGGCCGCTGAAGAAGTTTTTGGTGAGCTCGTTAGATAAATCAATGGTGGTCCTGATAAAGGCTTTGCAAAGAAAACAACCACGGAAATTATCGCTGTCTTGCAGAAACACACGAACACAGAATAAAATCAGAAGAATTCCAACATATCTTACCAAGAAGTATTGCCTAATGCCTAGCACCAGCTATGACCATTTCCATCTGTGACCGACCTCTGTGAAGAACCAAGACACTTGCGAAGGACACGAGAAGATATAATCTCAACCCTGAAGGTATGGTCTTTCTATGAAATCACAAAATCTTCTATCTGACTTGGGCGACCAGATTGTATCCACTATGCCCTTTGAAAGATGCATGGTCGCGTCATTTCGCAGCATCTATATCAATGAGCTTGTGGCAGGCAGAGTCGGAGACAGATTTTTGTTCAGTTGTTCTGTGCTTTATGACCAATCAGTTAGAACACAAAGCGAGGGATCTTCTTTCAACTTGTCATTACGTGGTTATTAAATCGAGCTTAAGAATCACAATCAGACGAAGTGCTCTATAAACAATGCAGCCCTAATAAACGGCCACCATCATGCGAACATGCTTCCATCCGCAAGACACGCACGGATTTTATTGTAGACGGGATGTCATATATGTTCCACGTACCCAATCCTTCATTATTGCTAATTTCGATCATAAGCAGACGAGCCTGCAAAGCAATCGCACGTTTATCTTGATGTCAGAGATGGTTTCTTTATGTTTATCAGAGGGCTTCCGAGAAACTATTCTTTCTCGTTGGGTTCAACTAAGATGGAATAATTTGTGCTTCATCATAAAGTACCGGGTCATCCATAGGAAGTCATAGAGATTGTTACCAGAGTAAGAGCGTAGTGCACAATCATTGCTTATTTATACCATGACTGTTCTTAGATACTCAATTATTAACTTCTTATTGAACTAGATTCATAGACTACGTCCATTGTTCAGGTTTTGCAGTCGTTTCACAATCATGCAAGGTTCTGAATCTACCTTGACTCTAATAAACTTAAGAATGGGAACGAAGACCCTGGCTCGGTGCTCGTGTTTAAAAATCTGATTCTGGGTCAAGGTCATGAGAGTCTCCATTGAGAACTGCGTTCTCTCGCAGATTAAGCTGCAATTACCACCAAGTAAGATGATTGCTGCATAAAGAATTGGCAAATTCTCTGGATCTCACTGGGCGAAGTTGGAGATAAAGCTTCGATCAGAAGATCAATCTGACAAAGATCATCTCACGCTTGATCAAAAACTCTCAAGATGACTCTGTACATTTTTCCAAGAGATTACACACTAGACCGTACTACGTGATATTCCAATTCTTTTTTTGGTCTTGCTCGTTTGTCAGAATGTCCTGCCATAAGCTTCTAGCCTCGAACGAGCTGGTTGATTTTTTATATCTACTCAAGACGCCCTACTAGATATTGAAAAAGTGAACCCAATCTATTCAGCCGGTGAGCTATATACGAATAGTTACATACTGTACAGCCTCGAAAGTATCCTAGTCGAAGTCGGAATCTACTAAAATCCTAGATCTCCTGTTGGAAGACGGGACCCTGAGATACTTCTGCAGAACGCGGCAAGGGCAGTAAACCGAAGTTTACTAGTAACGGCTTATACTTTACGGCGCGAGCAAGAACTTACAAACACTTCTTCAATTAGTCTCTGGGGGCACTCATGTGTTATGTCTCACTGACTGCCATCTCACATGCTGCCAAGTCTGTCAGTAGCACTGCTAGTATCTCTAATATTTTTTTTCGGTATCAAATATTGTGAAGACTCACAACGACGGAGCTAGGACTACAATAATTATTTAATAGCGAGCAAAAAATCTTCGATTGGGTATACTGTTCATTCTGCATTGAAAATTGAGACTCGATGAAACACAAGACCTCGGAAGATCAAGATCTCCAGCTGCCGGGAGCTTAGATGTGAATTGGGTGAACACGCAAATTCTTCTTCATTGCAACAGTAGGCAACCCTTTTCAGGCACTGCGCCCCAATGTTGCATGCATTTGTAAAGACTTTCATCACACTCTCCATGGAAAACCATGTGAGAGACATTTCTCGAGGTAAGCAAAACAGAGCATGAAAACCACTCAAGCAGCGTAGCCCAAGAACTCAACAAGTTACAATTATTTTAGAAAAAGATTTGCTCACTATATCTGCCATTTTCTCTCTACTTTCGCTCTCGGTAGATATCCGCCGTTTGGATTCCCTAAACTTTGACGAGGCTTTTAAGGCGCATTCAAATGAGACGTGAAAATTCAAGTGCATCACTATCGGCACCGTTCTCTACGCTCGTCTGTCAACGTCCAATACAGACGCTCAAAAAGTGACGCTGTATTCACACACATGAAGGACCATGTCAAGGATATGAAAACTTTTGAAGCGACGAATGTTTTGCATTTTGGCGGAGGCTTGGCCAACTGACCCAAAACTCTATACGGTGAGAGAGAAAGAATAAATTATCTCACTGGTGAGCCGCGGAGATGATAGAAAACAGACATATCCTGCAGAGAGAAATACAAAAAGAGCAAATTCCTGCTGACGACAGTAGGGGGAAAAACCTACTTTTATCGACATTCAGATGTTACTTTACAAAAAGTGGCATAAAGATCGAAATGCCCTCGACTAGTACATTATTAAAAGGAGGGAGAGCTAATCTACAAAACTTAAGTAACTTATACTGCTATTGTAGTTAGACTGGCAGAATAATATAACAAGACACACTAACATCAAAACGTCAGCTAAATACCCCTGAACCTAGTCACCTACCAAACAGATCTTGAACACAACGAGCAAACATCTGTCAACGATTTCTTCATATTCGAAAGTTTGATACGGCGAAGCAGAGCCCTGGAAATTACTACATGAATTTACGAGACATATAGGGTGACCTTAGACGTCCTTAGATCTCACACTTCTACGTCAATGTCTAGTGCTCACTGACCAGGAAGTTCTCTTGAGGAATTTATCTGTCAAAAGCACGCTTGACGGACTTCACATAGCGTTTATATATGTCCCCTTTGGATGAGAAATCAAGGCACCTTCTTCTTTTACTATCTTCCTAGCTAACCAACACTCACATTTTTGCGCCGGCCACGTAATGAAGCAGCACATGGGCCAGACTGCCAGAGTGCAGCTGTTTGAATGGCTTGCAGGTCAATACTGGCTGGCAGCTGCTTTCTAGGTCTGATCGCTGCTTGACTTCGCGATAGCCACCCACTCAGCATCGGTGATGAGATGCAGCTAAAGTAGGTTCAGCTACACGATGTGAGCGAGATGGCAGTATCCCATGCCACACGAATAGCTTTACATTTGTTCGTATGGAATGTGATGGTGCCGTCTCGCCGTAGTCCAGAGCTTAGACCGAATCTCTCCTAGCCAGTCAAGCTCGCTCATCCCTCTCTCATATTGAGATGCTGCACCTACTGTAGCCACCTTCCAACGTTCAGGTGTGACAGCTCTTCGTGGCTCAACGCCTGCTGTTCAGACCCGGTCCATCAATTGGACGTGTCCTACTACGCTTCGCAACAACCACCGAGTCCCTTACGGATCCACTGTCAAATGCGTCCAGTTACATGCACGAAAGACGCTCACGGCTTGTTGCCACCTACTACCCGCTAAACAACCTTCTCTGTTATTAAAAACTCCTTCGGTTTTTCTTGGGCTTCAAAAGTTCCACGGCGGCTCGCAGATTCTCAGACTGACTGTTAACTTATTTTAAATTGTTCTCATTCGGTATTTGAAATCAGTACGTGTTGCGCTACCTTCAGTTCAAATCCTCCTCTTCCACCTCCTCCTCTTCCTCCTCTTCCTCCTCTTCCTCCTCTTCCTCCTCTTCCTCCTCTTCCTCCTCTTCCTCCTCTTCCTCCTCTTCCTCCTCTTCCTCCTCTTCCTCCTCTTCCTCCTCTTCCTCCTCTTCCTCCTCTTCCTCCTCTTCCTCCTCTTCCTCCTCTTCCTCCTCTATCATCAGCATCGCTACTTCAGTACTTCATATCCATCCAGTCTACCCATATTGACTCACCTTCTCAGACATCACCGTCTCTATATCGCTTGACAATGGATAAAGCAGAAGAGAGTCGTGAAAAAAAAAAAAATACGTACGCTACTACAACGTATTGCGAAGTTTGCTGCAAAAACGCTCTCAATTCGTGAAACCGCTCATGCACCTGGGAATAATGTTCCCAGATTTTAGCGTCTTGGATGAGTTTACCGCGAGGAGGCCCTTCTCAAGTGATGCCAAAGGTCGAGTTAATTTGACAGAAACTCAAAATTTTCTAAAACATCGACGCGCTGGACATATAGATGGAAAACACGATCACTTCATGGGCTATGTCTCCTCGGAGATCTGCACAGTTTCCTCAATAGTGAAGAAGCAGCAGACGACTTGGCCACTTCCCTTCGATGCGTCCAGAATCTAGGTCTGATGGAGTGTTCGCAATAACGCTGAACGGAGACTCGACTGCTCTTGCTACTCTGTAATTGCGAGTTCTCACAAAATTACAGATGTATAAGATATTCTACTTTTAAACCAAGATGACGTCTCTCTTTTTCTATCATGATCACAGAGATTATTTTCTTTCGAGTCAGCCTACAGCAGACCGTCGATCTCAAATATCGACTTATAAGAGCCGTAAATCACCAAGTATATCACACAAGTATAGCTTAGAGCTTGCGGGAATTGAGTTGTACTGCGAAATTAAGGACATTACATATCCTAGGAGCATTGTGATGTCATTGTTATGACTTACTTTGATATTCGTCGGGTAGAGGAGACTTAGAACGAAATCTCATAACTACGAGCAGTGTGTCTCTAAAAAACTCTCTATTAGAATTTGGCTGTTCCGTATAATCTCTTTATGCCCAGGCACTCGTTAAGAATTGTAGCTCGCCATCTCAGCGATATGAGCTCAATAATATGCATGTTACAGAGCGTAAGCTTGCAGCCTCCAGCGCCCAAGGATATGATATTAATTTCGGCCAATTTTAAAATGAGGATCAGGTATGTGAAATTGGAAGGGCAACAGACGAAGTAACTCGCACTGCAAATTTCGATAGCCTTAAGATGAGTGATTGAACTTCACTCAGATTCAATCATAGTACCACATGATTTTTAGACTTTTGGAAGGCGTCTCCAATATACCAGTTTAGTACACGATCTCGCATACATGATTCCAGTCATATCTGGGCGCATTCTCGAGGCCTCAGCTGATGATAGCTTGCAAGTGTTAAAGCCAGTATTTGACCATTGATCCTAAATCATTGACGAGCATTCGTAGTGGTGGCCAAGACTGAGGCTTGAAAGCCAATGTCTTGTTGAAAAGTCATCGTGATAGCGTGTATCATATTTTGATCCGTGTCTTGATTCATTTCCCCGGTCATCACGATATTACTCAACTACATCCATCAATTGAAAGCAAGCTCGAAGATCAACGATGACTTTGACGAGGTGCTGATAATTTTGCTCAAGCGAGTCTTGGGGCGTTTGAAGATTGCAATTGCTGCATTTTTGACGGAGCAAAACAGCTCGTTTTCCTAGGCCTTGCAGGTTGACAGGACCGAACGATGCAGTGGTGCGGAACAAAAGGACTTGATAGGAGATGTGGTACAAAGTGAGCGCTGCTTGAAGATCAACGTCGAGATCGTCATGACACACCACTTAAGCCCGTGGACCTTACGAGCGACTGATAGAAGGGTCGAGGTCGGCCATGTGTCATTCGTGGGTTGGCTGGCTGGTGTCATTGAAAGTCTATCATCTGATCTCTTGCAAACATCCTGTCAATCTTCAACCGCCATGGTCTTCAAGACAAGCACAGAGACGGGAGGCTGCATTAGTGACATCGGATAGCTCACATCGACCGCAGATGGAAATTTCCGACCAATGACGATATCAAGAGAACGAAAGGTAAGCTGGATGCAAGTGATCGCTTACAGATACTGGGTAGCTCTCGCTCAAGGACAGATGAGTGCTGGGCGGATCTACTCGCAGACGTACCGTGTATGAAGTATACGATGCCCCTTTCTTTCGCACTGAAGCCTGGACATTGTGGAGCTGGCCGCTATATGATGCATCTTCTAAAAATCCTTTCCTTGATCGAGATGATGGGAATTTAGATCCGCGGCATACCTAGTTGCTTTGTCGGCTAACATATTGCAACATGCGGTGCAGTTGGTAGACTGTGAAGCATGAATATATCGATTGACAAGCCTGTTGTAACTCCAGCTTTAGGTACCTACCCTCTTTATCAGATTTCTTGGTAGAACTCATGAAAAGATGTATCCAATAGCTAATATGTGAGCATTGAAAATCTGATACCCGAGCAGATTAATCAAAAAATAGCGAGTGGCTTTGTACGGTCGCACTACAGCACATTGTGGCTGAGCTTGTGGGAAACGACTGAACGTTGATAAAGTAACCGGTCGACGTGAGAGTCCTCAATCAAACTTGGCTTCGATTAAAGCAAGTCAATTCCTGTTCCTATGATCTTGTTCCAAGGAATAGCTGAGCTGTAGAGTCAGCTTTTATGCCTTGTAAAAAACTCAATTCGTCCCGCGGTAGCCCTTAGAAGAAAATGTTCTCTGAGTGATTTCTTTGCCTCTGGCTCATATGCTACAGGATACGCTGAAGTCTCTTTATTCAAGATGCGTCGGTTGTTCCGCTTTTGATCATACCTCGTGTGAGAAATTAGCTCAACTCAACAGCTCTCCGACCGCACCTCTACGCTGATCGGCAACCACAGCCACACAATTGCGTTCAACGAAATACTTGTCTTGAAGTATAAAATTGCGAGAGTGAGATGAGCATGCCTCTACGTATCAGCAAACGCCGCGCGGTGATCACTGTCCTCGGTTTGATCAATTAAGCCGGTAGACTTTGAGGTAAGAGCCATGTTCGGCGCCATGGTTTACGTATGGAGCAGGTACTGTGTTGATAACTTGATTGTACACTAATTACCCGATTACATTGAAGTTTAGAGTTTAGACAGTGAGGAATTTCATGCTTGGAGTACTGTTATTGGACGAGTATATATTTCATAAGTCAGTAATAGGACAGAGGCCAGTATAAGTACGTTCTAGAGTCGGGACATTCTCATGGTTGATCGTTAATCCCGATATGTATTATGTACTGATCGAGGAACAGAAAATACGGTCTACGGACAGCTGTACACTTATACAGTATTTGGGAAAAGCAAATACATCCGGGACAAAAAAAAATTGATTTGATATTCATGCCAAGACAGCACGCTGGTGGTAGCCTCCGATGATTCTCCATGTGGCAGTGGATCAGCTTGATTATCCGTGCCCCGAAACTCTCACCCGCGGCTCCGTGGCTGACACTACAAGATTCAGCAAAGGACCGCGAGGCTAATTGTGCTCAGGAGGAGGACTAGACTGCTGCCGGCCCTGCCTGTGACAAGCCTTCTAGGTTAATTTTGCAATTTCACATATGTTGGTCGGCCTTTGCCAGTTGCCCCGACTCAACAGCCAAGCAGCAGCTTCCAGAAGCCCCGATCGACACTTGCGATCGAGAGAGATGCTCCCGCGCAGCCTTACTCGGCTCAGACACTGCGATCCGAGCTGCATGAGTCAAGACAGGGATGCGACACAATTGGCTCCACCCGACCATGCGACGCCCAAACTTGTCAACTTGATGCAAGCATAAAGCAGTGGCAAGGACTGCCCTATTCGCATTGTCAGGGTATCGGGTAATTCACTCCGCGAGACACAGCCACGGTCGTACCAAAGTTCACTGCTGTCAGGTTGTCGGAGGGGCAAAGCCCGGCTGAAGTTAGAGGAGGATTGGAAGGCGACGTCATGAGTCAATCAGCATGACTGGATTGGAAAGATCTGACTGGGCATGCTGTTTTAGCGTGGGCGTCTTGCATCAGGGACCCGTATGAATCTGGGTCGCGAGTGCAGAATTTAGGGTTTTCAGGATGGCACCTCTGGGTTCGGGGGCACGAAGTGGGTCGTCGCTCAGACATGCCCCCCCCCCGATTTTCAGACAAGCCATGTCTACAATGAGCGTGGAAGCTGGGAGAAAGAGGTGTCGGCCACGTAATCGGCAACAGTGCGTTATGGGAAACTGTTTCTTGGGTACAGTCAGACCAGATATACTTTGGCATGAAGTCACTCTGAAGATGGTGGAAAGATTAAATGTCAGAGGGAAACATGAGGGTTGGAAACAAGCAGAGACAACATGTCTCGTTCGTTCCGTGGACGGGTTACCCTGCAAGGACATGGTCGGCATGGGCTACGGCGGAGGACCCTCAGATTGAGTCGATCTGGCAGGTGGCATACCCAATCCCTTGGGATACCTTAATATTTGGGAACCACCTCCCTCCGTGGAGCGGTTCTGAATTTAGTAATTAGTAGTCGTTGTGGAAAAGTTTTCCTGGGTTACTATGTGCCCCTTATGGCCCTGGCTTGACAGTGAAGTCCCAACCCATAGATAATCCTCCTTGCGAAGATTTCTAGAAAAAATACATGGGAAATGAACTAATAAGGAGCACCTTGCTGTGAATCGTCCTTGTCAGCGTTTTGATAGCCCAGTAGCATGTACTAGGCACTCCCACGCTCCGCACCGCGGGGATATACAGTGCTGAGTGCATACCGTAGAATACCGATCGGTCGCCGCCAGATATGGATAACGGACCTAGTAGACAGACTCGAGCGCTCACTCTAGTTCTGAGAGGAGCGATTGGAGGAGATGTGAGCTCGGATTGGTCGTCAGTAGTGGGCAGAACTTCCCTAGTTGGACCATGGACCGTGGACTATAGGCTATCATAGCTTGGCCAGTCTCGCGATCTTCCCGGTCGTGATGCAGAAGCCACAATTGGCAGCAAAGCTCGGAAGGAGGCTGAAAAAAACTATGTAACAAGGGTATGATAGACTGGGCAAGTGACGATGGAACGGTGAACCCTATTCAACACAAAATGTGGACTAGTACGCTCGACCGGGGGTTTCTCACTTGGCTCCAAATGACTGATGTGAATTGGGTTTCGGAGTCGTCCCTTTTAGAGACAAATTGCAGGGAGATGTGCCAAGCTTCAAGATTGATCGATTGTGTGAAGACTGGGCCGCAATTTACCACACATACCCAACCGGGAAAGATAATCCTTCTAGGGGCTTCTCCGTTAGAGAACGGTTTTGCAACTTGAGAGCCAATTACGTTAGCACTTAGCAGTTATCTGTACGACACATGAAACAGTAGTAATGCAGGTTTGCCCATGGATTCTCAACTGTGGATATTATTGATGTGGATCATCATCTATGAATGTCCAATACCGAGCGCCAGGCTCTTCCATACAACGTCCGCCCGAGCCCTTTATCATGGGTGGCATGCAGGCCAGTAGTAACAGGAGGGTATCAAATTGTGGCAGACCTGGATGGTCCTTTCACCCAGGTCTGTACGCCTGGAAAGTCGTGTATAAGCAGGTCGTAAGTGTACCAACCAACGCCAAAAAAAAAATCAAACATGACAAGGCAGACATTAAAAGAAATTAAGTGATGAGAAAGGGAGAACAAAAAAAAAAAAAGGCAGAAGCATGTCTATCCAACCGTCCCGGACCGTGTACCATAACATGTGAGAGCAAAAACGAGAACCCAAATCCCAAGTAGGAAAAGCAGACAGCCTCGATGACATTTCCAAAACGCCTTTGCCGTTGGAAAACAGGAAAAGTGAAAAGGGATACGCTTGAAAGGAAAATGCAGGAGAGTTTGATGGTAGCAATGGCGAATGCAAACCAGACAGCTTATTGAAGCACCCGTCCACAAGGGGAGCTAGTGGGACCAAATCCAGGGTCCAGTAATGGTGATGAAATATGTGCGTGACACCAGCAGGCGCCTTGCAATGAGATGGCCTTGAGTTGACAGGCCACTAACGAGGAGAGGGCAACGGTTCCTGCTCAACATCACTGAACGGTGAATGCCGTGAGGATTCAGCTTCACCTCCCCCTGTACGCATTTGGTTTCTCAAAGCAGGGAGTTGCCGCCGCCGGGCATTAATAAACCAATTGCTAATCTAAGATCGCCAACCATGTTAGTTGAAAATCATTCAATTTCCACCCTCATCCAGTAGTGTCAAGGCGCTGCGAGATTCGTACCTGACTGATTGAGAGCCCAGTTCGGGTCATAAACATCTGCTTGTCTTCTTCACTGGGGTATGGATGATCCAGATGCTCATGAAACCAAGCGCGCAATATATCAGTAACAGGCTTAGGAAGGTTCCCCCTCCGCCGCTTCGTCTTCGGGTCAATTGAGTCACCCATGATCCCAAAGTTGGCTTGCTGAGAGTGTGCCAGCATATTTGGTGACATTTGGTCTGAGTCTCCAGGGTATAATGCGGCTGAAGGAGGGAAAGGTGGCTGATTATTCAAGAGAGTGTCGGTGTAAGGGTCCGGGTGTCGTCGATCACCCACTGGCCCTGGCAGAGACACAGATTGAGCGGCTCGAAAGTCTTGTGCAAATGGCTCCGATCGCGAGACTGTCGGACTCTCCTCCGGAAGGCCTTTCCGGTCATTCATTGATTGAAAGTCGCGAAGCGGGGGAAGTATAGGACTGGGACCACGCGGTGCATGGTCGCTAAACCTCAACGGATAATGATCGGAAACAGGTCGCGGTAACCGTTCGTCTGAGCGAGTCGTATATTGAAGAGTATGTTCGCCGTAGCGTTTTTTAAGAGAGGTGGTGGGTGAAAAGTTGGGCATAGACCTTGGGTCGATGGCTGCTTCGTGGACAGATGCTGGGCGATCTTGCGATTGCGGACGGTTGTTATAGAGTGCCACTGAGGAATCGATCTCATCATGGAGATGAGGCGGAAGAAGCTGTGATCCAAAGCTGTGAGCGAACTGATTTCCCCCATATTTGACATTCAGCATTTGCTCATGGTGGACTCACCTCGCGAAATGATGGTAGTGTAGGAGGGTGACCAGCCGGTACCCTATTGGTGTACGAAATGGCCATGTCGTTGTCTTCATACAACGCTCGCGGCTGGGACATAGACGACGTGCGTGATCGGAAGAACAGATCGTGGAAAGAGGGAGGAAGAGAAAGTGAAAAGAGGATGTACAGCAGAGTCACCAAGTCGGAACGTTTGAATCTGGAAGGAAAGGCCCGCCAGGATGGAATTTTGGAAGTAGGAGAGTGGATATTCAACGCAGTGTTCAGGCGCTTCTGAGTCGTTCAATCTTCTTCACGGCGATTCAGTAAGCATTCAATTCAGATCCCAGAGTGGAGATCCGGCGGGCAAGCGGAAGGCAGGATCGAGAATGAGGAATGCTGAAGAGGTTTGTGAGGGGGTATTGGAAGGCAAATCATCAGATGGTCCATGCACTTACACTGAGATCGGAGTTTGTAGGTACAGTAGATGAGATTGTCGCTATCGCCGAATAATCGAGATTAATGCAAGGCGGCCGAAAAATGGGAACTTTGAAATGATAGAATCGCTTTGTGTTCGAGTCCCGAAACCACGCAGGGTTCCTCATGGGTTTTAATTGCGTTCTTTAGTGGCTTCTCCAAGTAATATGGAAAGGCTCAGAAAAGAAAAAAAAATAACCCGCTGAGTTCATGAACTGAGGGATTGGAAAGCAATAATCCATAAAAAGAAAAAGAAAAGGAAAAAGACAGAAAAACAAAGTGGAGGAGAAACTCAAATTAATGTCAGAAATCATTAACCCATAAAATTCGGCCATGCTACCACAAGACTTCTGAACCGATCTGGCACACGGCCATGGAAAAAGCAAGAACAGGGGGGCGGCACCCAGAAAAATGACGATCGTGGATGCCCAGTGGAGTTTTGAAGGAGCCACTGGATTTGTATGGAACCACAGCTTTGTATGTCGAGTTGGGTATCTTTTTAAGGCATGCGGAGCGGAGGAGAATGGGGTTGATGGGAAAAGTCAAGACCTTTTTCCAAGTGCCCTTAAGGTTGAGCTCTGGCTGCACTGACAGACCTCGCCAAGGACTGCCGCCAACTTTTTGTCATCTGTCAATCTGAGCTCAGTCGCTAGACTGACGCCATGACCGGTTCGATAGCCGATGTACTTGGATGTGGAAGACTATTCCCTCGGTCGCACGGTTGTAATTTTTGGGGTAGTGAAGTATTGTGAGACTGAGCAGTGAGTAATGAGTATTGAGTAATAGTATATTGTATCAGTGTAGAATGGATATACTATATACTATATAGTGTTGACTGTTTAGTTGTTTACTGTGTATTGAATGGCATCCAACGATCTATACGACCTACCCCTATGATCCCATTCGATGTTTCTACATGTTCCCTGGCCTGTCTACCAGCAATCCCGTATCATACAACAGCTTCTCCAATACTATACAAGCCCATGTAAGATGTTCTCCGTTCTCACTGTATGTTCTTAGAGGCCCTGTCCACGGCTTTGTCAGGATCTGTGGTCCAAGTCCACGGGCCTCTTTCTCCATCGCGAAAAATTGCCCATTTTCCATTTTTGAAAAGCGGGCATCTGGGAGTCCCATGCGTCCAACATGGGTGCACTGCTGTGGTACTGCAGACTTGCAGAGTGCAGTCAAGGGATCTGTTTGATTGACTCGGCGTACTGTAGTGACTGTACTGTGCAAGTCGGCAATAGTATTGATATGAATACTCCGCTGTGCCTGGTATAGCAGTAAACGATGCACCGAGCGTTGCTACATGGTCGTAATTTGTCAAGCCACAGCAAAAGGCAATTTGGTCTCGTGGATCCTATAGAAATTATGGAACCTCATGCGGGAATAGTAGCAGGGAGGCTAGCCACATGCGATGCTCGTGTCTCGCGTGGAAAACATATTTCCCTGGGATCCCTGCAAAGTCTGTCGCTGAGGGGGAAACCGATGATGTTGATACCAACGCCCCAGTGATGACTCGGGCAACGGAAGTTGGAGTAAGCAACATCGGCAAACTTGAGGGGCAACATCTGTACTGTGCGGAGAAACGCCCTAGGATGTCACTGTGGCAATGTTCATGCGTATGGAACTACCCCGATCGCAGTGGAAAGTCATACCCTTTCCAGGAGTTTCAATGATGATGATGATGATGTCAATTCGTACATGAGGAAATAAGGTGAGAAAGAGAAGGAAAAAGCGTCTTCGGTCGTTGCAGACCCCCTACGAAGCTACGCTCTTGGAGGTCAGTGGTTAGCCTCTAAGTTACATGAATGTATCACTGCAAGTACAAGGTAAGGTAGGTGTCTTCATACGACAGGGTGGTGATCTGGAATAGCCATTCCAATCTTCATCTTGCCACCTAGTGCATCTGTTGTGCTAAATGTACAAATCATCATCGGCGTTCTAGTCTCACCCTCATAGATAGGTAGTAAGGTACTTGATAGTTGCAAAGTCAGTCACATCCTCTACTTGTATAGCCTAAGCCCACTGCTGAAATGATCGTCTGGCAGCAGTAAGCGCGTCCTGGATCGGCCGCAAGCCCTAACAATGTCATCGAATGGGCTACGAACAATCTCGAACCCGAAATCACCTGTCTCGAACTTTAAGCGTTTAACCTTGTTCGTTCGACTTCGCCTGCTCGGGGCTGGTCTTCCATGGGCTAGACGGTCACACGGAGGATCACCAGGGCCGGAAATAGCGAATCAGGCATTCAAGGTCTACTAGATCACTTCCCTCGGCGAGGTGCAGATCGGCAGACTCAAAACCGTAAATCGTCCAAGGGCGCCTGTTCCCGACTTTCCCAAAATCATCCTCAGCAGGACGATCACCAGCGCGTTCCCTGGGCCGTCCCACAGTATTGCAGGCGTACCTAACATATCACGTCCATTCCACTAAAGGTTCAACCCGACCGTGAGAGACGACCCGAGGAGCTTGGCAGGGTGCAGGAGAGAGACGGAATTCCTGGATAAAGGTTCCCTGGACCCGGATAGGATCGAGTTTCCACGGCCACTGAGTGCCCTGCCCTATGTTTGCCTATGGACTTTACCCACTTATTGGCAAGCTGAATCGACCCATGAAGCCGGGATTCTGGCAGCTGGAAAGTGAGACGGACTGCTCCCTGGCGGGGTAAGCCGAGAGATCCGAAGAAGAGATCGCGCCGGGGTTTGGAAGGGCTTGAAGCTCTCTGTGCTTGCCTGCTTGGTTGAGGAGGGTCCAGTACGAGTACATTATGCATGATAGTCTGCAAAGTGAGGACTTGTGTGCATGCCACATGGATCATATGGATCATGAGGACTGGTGACTGACAGATGGACACGATCGAAAAATGCTCGTGCTCAAAAGAGGAGGCAGAAGTATCATGGCGAGAGAAAAGGGGAAGGAAACATGAATGCCCAAAAGAAAAGAAAAACGATATTTTCCATTCCCAGTGCAGTAGTATCCACCAACCCTGTCAGCGACAGTGATCAGAGGCGATGGTTGGTCAACACTATGTGCTATGGTCCGCTGTACCTGAAAATGGATATGGAGTCTGGAGAGGGCGGACAAGCGAAGCAATGACGGGCATGCAAGGTTCGATCTTAAGGGCAGGTCTCTGATTAGTGGACAGGACTGATCGATCGACGCCCAGATGTGGAAAGAAATACCATAGCATACCGGCCGCGAATGGTACAGTACGCGATAACCAGCTTCGGAGCTGTGGAGCCAGACTAAGTGGAAGGTGGCGGCCTGTGGCGTGGTGGATTCGACACCAGCTACTGCAGTAGTGAAAGCCTGTATGGGTCGTGAAGATGCCTCCTCAAGGCCGATGAGGTGTTTGAAGCTCAATGCCTGCTGTGAGAGCCTAAGAGGAAGAGGAGAATTCTCGTGCTCACCCCATACTCATTGTAAGCAGAGCCAAGTTGCTCAATGACGATGATGAACGAAGGCCATGATGAGATTATAGAAAAACTACATTCGAATTCAAAGGCACTTTGTCTATTTACGCGGAAAGACTGGGACAGTGGTGCACAACCCATGTGGATGTCAACGTATGAATGTACACTTTCAGTAACTGGTCTAGCCTAGACATGTAGTATCACTACCTCATACCTATATTTTTCATTGCCACTGGACTTCCGTGCCAGACGCGGGGGAGTGGCTTAGCTTCTTATCCATGAGCGGAGTCAACATTATCAGACTCGTCTGACTAGGACATCTCGTCTGTCATAGCGGAGCGACACTGACACTGACTGTACTACTGTAGCTGCGTCGTTTGGCACGGTCGGCTCGCGAGCCATAGTTAGGAGGAATTTGGCCGATCGGTAGGAAACTGAGACACCGGGGTAGGTAATATTGAAAATAGACTCTTGTCCCCCTCTTCCTGGATCTCTTGGTAGACGACGGTGCCAGTTACCTCGTCTGCCCTTGGGCCGAAAAATCAGTCAGCGCATTGACATGAGAAGGCCAGCTATACATGGGTCCACAGATGGCGTGTTCTTCCACAATGAGCCGTAGTTCAACTTTTCCATTGACTGACAGGCTATTGGCTTAAGAACTTTGACATGTACTACTGAATTTTCATGTCGCAAGGTGTAGTCTGCCAGTCTCTCACTCGCTCTCAGTACCACCTGTACATCCTTCTGTTTTGTCTGTTTTGGTAGAGAGTTGACGCCTTGGGTGCGGGCCTGAAAAGACTGTCGCGATCCCAGAAACTCTCCATCCTTACGAAGAATTTTATACGCGACAGATTTCGTACGATGCTATTAGCCGGTCACCGACTCGTTGTACGGTTGAAGCAGATAGTCATACAGCATACGACTACAGACGAGGCACTAACCATCCACATCTCTCAGACCAGCGCCGCGTTCATGTAGAATTCAAGGCAGATGGGCTGTCCAGAGCTTAGCATGCAGTAGCGTTGCCTCGCTTCAACGAGGTCATGCACTGATGCAGTACTACAGAGTAAAGAGTTCATCGTGCGTGTAGTACGAAACAGCTGTCTAGGACTTTTACGGACTGTTCAAGTTAGTTAATAGCGCCACCGGGGCTTGACCATCAATCACCTTGCAGGCCACGAGACGGGTATTTTGTATCAGCGTATCAGGTAATCGCAATACAGTACATAGGACGACGCTGGAAACATCCTTGAACATGCATCCACTTTCCGAATGAGGTGAGGGACCGCGTAAAGCAAAAGTGGCTGTGCGTGATCCTTGGCCGACGATTAACCTTAAGGAGGGCATGGTCACTCGTGAACTTCGACTACAGTAGTACGTGACTAGTAGACTACCCTAGCGAGAACTGAGACAGTGTGATTCGAGCAAATCCACGTTGAGAGCCAACTTGGATGGCACTCCCTGAAGGAAACTGGCATTTACAGGCCGCGTACCACCTAAGCATGTTGCTTGGAGAATATGTAAGTTTTAGAGTCCAAGAGATCCCCTTGGGAAAGTGTTCACCGGCGACCAGGTCAATATTTAATTGACTGTTTATGATCCTACAGTTCCTGATTCCGATAGATGCACTGGTACTATGTATATTGTACCTAACTAAGCGCGACCACCTGGCAGTGTCTTACACTTGACATTGCTGATTTTGTTCAAGTCATCCAGCGCGAAAAGGGGTCTCATTGTTTCAGTTTCTTGAAGAGATTGGCCACTGCTTTGGTCTTTCCTACCCGAATTCACCATTGGCAATTCAAGATAGCCTCGGGATGGGTTGTATATCATCAACCCTTGGTGTGAAATTCCCTTGGTGTGAAATTCAACAATCGCCCCAGAGTAAGGCGTAGCCTCCTTCCAAAGCCACGAATGACTGCTCTATCTGATCAAGCTGTTGCCAGTCTGTCCAAATCGGCAGTGGTCTCGTCTTGTCTTAAATTTTGCTGAACGGAAGCGCTCTTTACACCACACCTAAAGTGTCTGCGCCATCAACCAAGGTTTGTCGCCTGAGTGAAGTGGGGATGATAACGAAGCCACAGTGTATCAAGCCACTTGATAGCCAAAGAAAGTCAATAACGGTGATCCTTTACGGTTGAACTAAGGCAGGTTGGCCAAAAACCTAAATTATTTCAAGGAAGAAGAAGAGCGCGGATTATGGAGGCCAATCCAGACCCTCGGACATTTAGTCTCAATAGGCTAGATGTGAGCCATGTCTGGGTGAGAACAATTCCATAGTGTCTACTTAGGGGCAATCTCAAAGACTATACCACAATAGACTAAGTAAAGGCGCTGTACTAAGTGTAGTGTGTAAGTGTGTCCCACTACTGCACTATGGCACTGACTTCATTGAGCTAAAGCGAAATCCAACAGACGACCACTGTAGCGGGGTCGCTTGATCGAAGCTGTCCGCCCCGCCCGGGCGCTCGGTACAATATACGCGACCCTAGTCCTGTTTACAAACTTTACACTTTGCAATTTATCGTACTTGGTGTGTGCATTGTGGAAATGTGGAATCTAGGGAGCCACAGATGTGATTAAGTGATGAGGTAAACACAATATGGCCAGGTCAAGTACACTCATGAGTACAGCACGCGAACTCCCGCTCTAGAAGCCTATCAACCTAAATTGGACAATCAATTATTAAGACTAAATGCGTACCAAGTCAACCATCAACCCGAACCGAGAATGTAGAAAAATACGAGAGCGAGAGGGAAGAGAAAATGTACGTAGCAATTCATGAAGATAGCGGCACCTTGCATAATTCTGTAAAATATGTCTAAGGTGCTACTTTTTGATATTATCTACTAGATAGCATACTACAGTATACCTGTTAACTTATACGTCTCGATGACTTTGGTAGTCACGCATAGGGCGTGGCGCACGTAGCTACTCATGCAGTAGTTATAGTATACAACAAGATGCGGGAATGCGTGGCCCTGCAACTTGCTATCCCGGTTGTCGGGTACGGACGATCGGGTATGATCTTTTCTTTCCAAGAATTTCACTTTAGATCGCCGGATGTGATTGGACATCGAGTGGTCGTCCCAACACTTGGAGAAAGGAACCTTAATCTCAGGCTTGGAGCCTGTCAAGTTGTCAAAAGGCGTCGCCCGCTTGTCAACTGGACGCATTCGAACATTCAAGACTATTAGTCGCTGTGGCCGCACTGACAGGAAATGGTCGTCTTCGTCATGGGATCCTGCTGTTTTACCATTCTTGTGATGGCCGCCCACTTCACTAGCGGCTATTGAATGAAGTAAGGACCTTCCTGATCCGTGTTGGGCTTCCGTAACACGGTGGAGCTGATCCCTTCCTAGTTCCTACCTCCTACTGCTTGAAATCATGCAAGTTTTTTTCAGTCGACCACTGTATCACTATCCGGGAACTCCCGTTTACATATGTATATATGTATAATACGTACCTACAAACTATCTGAATGTCAATGGGCTGCTCAGATCCGACTTCTAAGTGTGACAAGTTACAACTCTGTACATATTGGCACTTACAATTACAAGGCCGAGTAAAGGTTCACAAAAACTAGTCGTAGGTGAGTACATTGGTCAATGCTGAATGGCAGGTGCTAAGCTATAGCGATCCACTTGATGCCCTAGGACACCTTCTATTCGATATTTCCTCAAATGGCAGTTCGGCGGAGTTTTCATTGCTTTTGTGAAGCCCTTTCGTTTATCTCGCTAAGTTGACATGGTAGATCGGAATCATTTCGAGATTGATGCATATGACCTGTGGGGTCTTGGGGGGGTGTTGATGCGATCCGCGCCAACAATTGAAGGACAGAGATCAGCTACAATACTTACATGGAGGGTGGTTGCTGTGGCGGTGTGGTAGAGCCATACTCGACTTACTATTACACTGATGCAGTGCTGCCCATCTAACAAGGTAACGTTCTTATGCGCTGCATGAGGCAGAATAGTAGTCTTTCTTAAGTCGCCCCTACAGGAAGACACATCCGATGTGGACTATGCATGAAGTAGGTACATACTTAAGCAAGGGAGCTTGGAATTCCACGGTTCTAGGGCATTTTCAACCTGTCGCCTGTCACAGTTTGAGTTCAAGCTAAGACGTTGGAGCGTTCCAATTTCCCGGTCACTGGGAAGAATGACGATCGGAAGATCTGCCCGAGAAGAACTGTACAGAAAGTTCTTCTCCCTTGAATCCCCCGTACAGTGGCTATGGTACGCATCTCCTGAAGCAACACGCACACTGAACCAGCCTGCACAAAACTCACATCGGATCCAGCATGTATTCTACTAGTCGTCATCACAGGGACTGGTGACTTAGGCTCTTAGTAACTACTTATTATAACTTAGAGGTCTGAACATTATTGAACGCGAGGACACGGGAGTCTTTCCGGCGATGTGACATTCCTGAAGGGTCCTGACCGCGTGGCGACTGACTATGGCTCAACTCTACGGTATACCAGAGCCTGTCCACTAGTCGATGGCGAATTAGCAGCAACGTACTTGTAGCTATCATGCACCCATGGTCGAGTAAGGATAACTAATTCGCTGCAACAAAAGACGCCTCGGAAGCACGCAATATCTTGGTTTTTCAATGACAGGCTCATCAACTCGCTTCGATAGTCTGGCTATTGAGCAGCCTAGCCCAGATATTGGCTTGGTAGCTGGGCCTTCACCCTCAACCACGCCAGATACAGGTCAAGCTACTTGATACTTTGCTGTGAACCAATATCTTGTGACTCGGGAACCCACTAGAGCCTGGCTAGATCTATTCTTCGCGACCCATGGATACATCATGACTTCTAGTCCTGGGGTAAGAACGGGCGATGGCCTGTACCTAGGGTTCAACGCAGGCAAGTTCTTACTGTCACATACTTTGAATCTCTGCACGCAGTTCACGGGAATGGTGAACAGTGCGTCCATGTGTCGGAGCCGTCAGATATGCGCGATGGGTTGTGATCGCTGGCTGGAAGAATGTGAGGAAGAATATCGGGCTGAGAGGTAATCATCCCTTTCCGCTGGTAATGGCGAGATCGTCAGTCACCTTTCAGAGCTCAATGCCATAGGTCGGGATTAAACACACATGTCTCACCCAGGTATTGAGCATATGTATGTCTGTATTTGTCACTAGGAGAAGCAATTTTGAGCTTTGTGTCCGTCGCTGCCAAACACACAGCAATGCAGATCAGTGCTGCATTTTCCCCGTCGGCATCGGCGGCTGTTTCTTTGTACTATCACTCAAGCGGACATGCTTGAGCACCGTTTTCCATGTCAGATCTGTGTCAGGATCAAAAGGTTATATTTGGACAGTCGACTTACGACAGAGCGCAGTTCACACCGATGATACTGCTCAAGATTAGCCGATATTCGCCTGAACGATCAACTATGTTCCGAAACTCAGTCGGACGAAGTGTCCAATGATCTAGTATATGTTACCTACTCATTTTGCTTTTGACCGCTCGATGATAGAGTCAGCAGTTGTCTATTACCTGTTCATGTACATTATAGACTTGCCGAGAGGTACTGCTTGACTAGATGCAAGATGATTGCTCGAGAGTGAAGCGTGTCTTGAAACCGTGATGTGGGCAAACACACCAAGTTCCAGTAACAGGATGAACAGCCCGAAGCAAAGCCTGCCAGTTACCGCCTCGGATGCCAAGAGGTATCAATGGTGTTCATTGTTCCCATTCATTGAGCTAGAATACATGCACGTGGTGTGACTCTGGCCGGTGTGACTTGAGTCGGCGGGTGTGAAGATATTCTATTTCGCAAGCATGGTACCTAGCTCGGCTGCACGAGCAATAGCGGCTTTGACGGCCTTGTCCACAATGCCTTCGAAGCCCTCAGCTTCGAATGTCTGGAGAGCAGCATATGTGGTGCCATTGGGGCTGGTGACGTTTTTGCGCAATTGGCTTGGCTCCTCGGTGGATTCAACGAGCATTTTCCCGGCACCGAGACAAGTTTGAGAGGCCAGTCGAGTAGCCTGCTCCTTCGATAACCCTTCGGACATGCCGCTAGTGACGAGGTGCTCGACCATAGCGAAGAAGTAGGCAGGGCCAGAGCCTAAACAAACGCACTCATGTCAGCAGCTGATGCCTTTGCATTGGATCGGATCAATGGGGTCGTCCACGTACCTGAAAGACCAGTGACAACGTCCAGAAGCTCTTCCCTATCAACCCACTCGGTGGCCTTGCTCACGCTACTGAGAAGAGCATTGACCAGATCCTTTTCAGAGGCAGTCACATCCTCGCCAGCAAATGCGCCCGACGCGCCCTCGCTCACCAGTGCCGGAGTGTTGGGCATCACACGCACAACGTGCGCAAATCGCCCGTCATCAGTTCGCGACCACTCCTGCAGACTGCTGAGGGTGATGCCCGCCGCGATGCTGACGAGAACCGGAAGAGATTTGCGGTTGCTCCATGAATCACCGAGTTCCTCGCAGACAGCTCGGGTGACCTGAGGCTTGACCGCAATTATGACAATGTCCGCATCTCCACCTGCTTCTGTGTTGTCGGTTGTCGTTCGTACTCCGACCGCAGCGAGCTTCTCTCGGTTGACATCCCAGGGCTCCGAGACACAGATATTCTGCTTGCTGACACCCTTGTTGACAAGACCACCGATAATGGCAGAGGCCATGTTGCCCCCGCCGATGAAGGCAAGCTTGCTCTCTTGCAGGGTAGGCATGTTGTTAGTCGGACTCGGGGTTCAAGCTATCACGGGGAAGCGCAATTGGCAGAGGTGGATTTGTTGCTGTTGACAGAGACACCCCACTTTTTGAAGCCGATGAGCTGGGGTGATTATAAGGTGGGGCAGTGACAGTTGGGGGGCTCAAAATGCAGACCGCCTAGGAACTGCACAGCTAACAACTTATGACTGTATATCGACGATGATGGCGTAATGTCTCCCGCTTTCGCTAGATCCTTGGTGATAACGATCAGAATTGATGGCCTCTGCTATGCGCATTTCTGGTTGCTGTAAATAATGTTATATGGGTGGTTCCCGCAGAGAACTGAAGATCTGACTCACCACTCAGGCTTGTAGCCGGCCCGGTCAAACCGGGTCTGGCATGGCAAGTAAACACGCCTTCGAGACATAACCCTTCGTGACGCCTTAGAAAGAGTATGCGAGGCAGACCAGCCCGAAACTTCAATTTCCCGTATCGATATCGAAAGGAAGTCGGATAAACCCCCGGGTGGTCCAAAAGCGCCTCCTGTCGGACTGGATCAATTCAAGGACTAAACGTCAGCTACCAGACCGAATAGGATCATACTTACTGAATAAGCTCTTCCCTCGGCAGTGCAACTTCGTATACAATTTTTCCAGGCTTACTCGTCATCACACTATGTCCTCGCGCCTCATATCTTGTCTCCGACGTGAGTGATCAGGCAATGCTCATAGTGAGATCCTGACGAGGTCATTAAAGACCCGGGCAGCATTGAAAAGACACAGATCATGGTGGATGCAACTGCGTATGAATGATCAAACTACGCCAGATCTGGTGGAAACCAAAGGGCATGTTGTCTTGGATGGGTCAAGCGGAGAGACCCTGGTACTCTGGCTGACACATGATTCAAGCGAGAGGCGATGTTGTTATTATGTTGCAGGAGAGATACATGCGAATGGCCAGTATGTAGGTATCAGGCAATGACGATGCTATATAGAGTGAGTGTATAGTAAGCCTCACTTCTTGGATCCAGTGAATTCGGGTTGAAGAGAATTGAGGTAAGCTGACCATTGCGGAACATAGGGACATGACACAGTTGCGCGGCCGTAGAGGCAGAATATATGCTAAATGAGCCAACGATTCCAGCAGCAGGACTTGTCTGATTTGGGAATTAAAATGGCAACCCCTATAAAAGAAGACCACGCGTACAGCTGTAATAAGCATCGGGTCAAGTAGAATGGTCGATATGACCTTGTCACTAGAAGCTTCTCGAGTGCAGAGGCAGCAAACAAAAATAATGTATATGACAAGAGTGGGATTCGAACCCACGCCCCTTTCGAGACACGGAAGTTTGGGCCAGGTGAACCTGAACCGTGCGTCATAGACCAACTCGGCCATCTTGCCAATTAGTAATCAACTATGTTATCTTTGCTCTCATGATGACCCTATGCAACCGTATTCTCATATCTTCACATGACAGGCCACATCGGGTCGCAATCTTTGTCTATAATATCACTGTTCGTTGTAATATTGAGCAGTGTCTACCCACCATGACTGTGGATCTCGGTCATTTGCACTAGCTTATGGTGTCGTAAATAAATACGAAGGACGGGTACGTTGTGGGTGTGTATATGTACTTTGCAGACATACATATATATCTATACCACCGCCGCCAACTCGTAACGGATCGGTAAATAAATAAGTAGATTGCCGGAACATCAACACTCTAATGGAATGAGCAGATCGACAAACCCTTGAGTATAGAGAGCTGCGATATCTGTAGCCAACAGATGATGAACTTGTGGCGATGTTAGGAGCACAGCGGTCAAGGTATGACCGATCGCAATACGGACACCTGGGTGATCCGTTGAAAAGGACGAATTCCGATCCCGACCATATCCATGGAATTTCCAGTGGAGGTGCATGATGGGCTAGATGATTATGTGATCTAGGTGTATTTACTTCAATGAGTACGAGTCTGCAAATTGATAGTCATTTAAACAACATTTCCACGGTCACGTACAGGACAAAAGCGACTAGTTACCGAAGCCCAAGTCAAAGAACCCTCTCAACGCCGCATCCATAACTCCTTCCCCCGGACAAGAGATCAACGTAGGGCCAAATGATCAAAGAGGAATAAAGGAAGCAAAAATAGAACCACACGCTATAGTACAAGCAGGAGAAACCTCAAATTCAAGAGTGAAGGTCAAGTGGGCCTGCCGGCTGATTGGATGGGCCTGACGGTTTCGAGGCTCACCACCATGAATGAACTATGTCAGAGTCATGACCCATTAAATAGCAACTAGACCAAAATGATAAAGGGTTATTGGCATACTGGCATGAGATGACCGAAGATTTCCTGAATCCCAAGACTCTCAAGGTGACCGGATGAGGGCGCCACGAATGCGGAAACACAATTTGGCGGAGTTGCTTTTGGCTGGCAACTATGTTGGGCCCAAGAAATCGTTCTTCTCACTGCTCACCAGGTTTCCTGTGTCATGTTAGCGACGCGAACCATGAGATTTGGGGCGGGGCGGGGTATCATAGACGTAGATCGCATACCGCAATGTATTGTCCGGCCTCCTTCTTCCGCTGCCAGAACTGGTCTGCCTCCTTCACGTTCAAGTTGCCCTTGGCCATGGCGACATCAACAAGTGCAGCCTCTACACCTTCACCCATGCCCTTTCCACTCCCACACACGAACACACGTCCGTCAAGCGCGTTGATCACATACCAGACAAGATCCGCTTGATGGCGTACCTCTTCCTGAACATAACGACTTTCTCCACGGCGACTTTGGACGACTGTTCGAACTTTGTCCTCGTCGACACCCCATTCGCCACTGTATAACTCATCTAATAAAGAGTCACGCACACCTTGGAGCACCCAAACTTTGTTGGCGCAATTGGCTGATTGCAATCGACGCTGAACAAACCCTCGGAAGGGGGCCACCCCCACGCCCGCCCCAATGAGCAGCATAGGGCCGTCAGAGGCAAAGCGTTTGGCCAGAGGATTTGCCATCAAACCCCGAAACATGGGAACATGAAGGTTATGCTTCTCACCCTTGGCCTCGGCATGAATTACCTGTCGTGCGAGCCGCTCGAGATAGCCTGAGCTCACACCCGTTCGCAGCCCACCTCGCCAGTCTGGAGATTCGGCAACGGTGACTGCGACCTCGACCAAACGTCGACATTCATTACCTTTGAATTGACACGAGATCAAGGGGTCCTGGGACAGTGAATAGAATCGAGGCATAAGCGTGTTCAAGACCGAGAGCAGGTGGTCCAGCGGAGGCCGTGCGGAGGGAAAAGCGTGAAGAAGCTGTGAAAGGCTGACATGAGAACTGACACGGAGATCACAAAACGCGCCTTGGCCCTCAGCTGACGAAAGGAACTCCAGAATCTTTCTCTCGTTAGGCTCTGCGGTGTACTCCGCCAGCAGACGGAAGAGGGCCTTAGTGGGCGCGTAGCTCTGAATGTCGGAGCACCAGCTCAGAACTTCACGCCGAGAGGTGATAAGCTCGCGCGCTTTCTCATCCCCCCAGATGGTAGGCCAACGACCGCCTGTAGTGGTCATACACACCTTTCGATCTCTCATCGAGCGAGGAACCCCTAAGAGATTGAAAATGTCCTCGACATCTTCGTCCTTATTCTTCGGGCAGACACCAATTGCGCCACCGACCACAAAATCGACCATGCCACTCTCGGCAGGATAGTCAGTGACGTCAATATCGAAATGATACGTGCGCTTCTCCGCGCCGTCCTTGGTCAACTCGCGAGCGTGACGAAGCGGAGCCCGATACACTTCATATGGAGGATGCGGCTGCACGAATTGCGGGGGGTGATCCGCAGGGCCAAGCTGAATGGCGGCTGCGTATGAAGGGGCAGGCTTGAATGAGACAGTCTTTTCAGGCAAGGGAGCGATCTGACTCAATTGGCTGTCCATAGTCAACAGGTCCAGTTTGAGCTGCAAACTAGCGAATGCGGCGTTGTCAGGCGCAGATATCGAGTTGAAGCCCGACACAGGACCGTCTAATGTTTGCAATGACCGGCCCCGACAACAGCCCCCACCGCAACAAGGAGACTGAATCTTCTGCGTGCCACCGGTTCCAACGCTTTCCAAGACACGACGCATATCATCTGTATTCTGAGAAATCAAGACGGTCGAAGCTCGACGAGGAAGGCGGTCCGACTTGGATTGGTACTCCGCCCCATCATGAATTTCACTGGGTGGGGTGATCGGAGAGTCAGAGGCATCGGAGTCAGCCGAGTCACTGTCTCTGGAGGTAGGTGATCCGTCGAAACTTGTGTCTGTCACGGACAAAGTGCGCACACCTCGAGGCTCTTCAGGAATTGGATTGTCTGGATGTGACGTGGAAGATGCGGGAATCTCGTGGACGGAGCTCTTGCGACGAGAGGGAAGGTCGAAGGTAGCGGTAGTCGAAGGCATGATGATTGTGGCGGGATGCGCACGTACTAAGGTGGATGATAGGTAAGTCGCGGGCGCCAATTGGAACAAATGAGACAATTGACGCAGATATCCACACATTGAAGAAAGACGAACGTTATGGTAGACAGCTGGTTGAAATTGGGATACAACGAGATGGATTCTAAAAGCTGTCCGGCTCTGACATGGAACCCAGTGGCGTCGAGGGGCGAGACTTTTCAAAAAGGTATCTTCCGTTGACTTCGCTGTCTGTCGGTCGACGATGATGAAGGTCGTAATGAGTGATTGTTGGAAGATATAGACGACAATTGAAGTGCGTAAGAACAGGTTACGATCGGTGTCAGTCTGAACGATTACAACGACACAGGGAATGGAAACGTGACGGTGTCGAACGAACCAACACGATGAGCCGATCGGAATCGGTGGGCACGTCGGCAGATGGAGAAGCCGCAGGTTGGCAAGCAAGTCATCCGAACCAGGAATGGTGGCGGTTGTTCTTATCTGATTTTGCCACAACATTCCAGGGCTTGCCGATTACCGGACGTGTACAGTGTAACTTACATCAAACGCCCATGCATGTGGTCACTGGTCAGTGGTGTATAGTGTATAGTGTATAGTGGATACTCAGTCACTCAGCAGTTAGTGGTCCGTATAAGTGTACAGTACTACGATCGGATAGTAGGCTCAAGTGAGACTGTGAGATATTTATAGCTATTATGTATATTTATTTATTTTTACACTTAAATAGTCTAGTAGAGTATTACGTGTAGTACTTACTTACTACATGCCTAGTACTGTACATACTGAACTACATACGGTCTCCGCGGACTCGTGGACTGCTCGTGTAAGAAGAGGAATCATTGCAGTCTCATTAAGTATGGAGGTTCGGCAAGCTCGGTTGGTTCGGGTAAGCTCGGTCGGCAACTTAGTAGACCGAACGTGAGGACACCCAAGACGGGTCACGTGGACCGAAGCAGCCGTAGGTCAAGGACGTCACGACTGAACGCAGGACTCGCAGATTCCCTACGATAAATTCTCAGAGGAAGATAGTCTGTAGGGATTCTAGGGAATCAAGAGTCAGAGTTATTATTTATATATATCTAAGTCTACTTCCGCTATACCTTATAAGATAACTTTTCTATCACGTATCTATATCTCTTTCCTACTATCTTGTCACGGCGCGACCTGTCAAGGCGCGGCCACGGATGAATCACGTGCGGAACGCCGACGAATCCTCCGGGTTATAGCCCTAAGGATACGGACCCTATACGTGAGGGATATATATATAATAATCGTAGAAGGGAGGAAGGATTCCGATCTTTAAGATTTAGTCTTTAAATTTAAGCCCCTAGACTTTAATCCTTTACCTAGTTAATAGTCCTAGTTATCCTACGATTTGTTATACGCTAGTTTAAGAAAATTTTTAGAAGGACTCAGGAACTATTCATTTAACTTAACTATATAGTACTAAGAATCTTAAGAGCTAGAGAGGAAAAAGAAGAAGAAGAAGAAGAAGAAGAAGCTATAGAGGTATTATAAGGGTGTGATCCCAGAGGCATAGGCGCATCGAAATGCGGGTACGGGATCACTATCTGACTATATATACCGTTACATGACGAACCATTCTATCGAATGGTTTAGCATAGACCTTTTGGTCTAATGATATACCATATAAGCAACGGCACGGGTGATTCCAAGGGGACTGACTCCCTTTATTAAAGTACCCCGTTAGGTAATCCGTAGTCCGGTGATTATTAGGTGTTGAGATAGCTTAGTGGTTTAGCGCGTCTTACTAGCGTGGTGCGCGCCCACGCACACCACCTTCGTAGCTTAGATAGGCACCTCTTACCAGATTTAATCTTACCATTCCTTTCTCCCCTCTTTTAGGCCTACTACGTTCTTATAGTAGTATCTAGTATTAGGTAACCCGTAACCTACGATCTAGGTCTAGCCACATAATAGTTAGAAGTAAGACTCTCCCGTAGCTTCCCGGAAGCCTAGCTCCCGGGCCCCTCCTACCTAGTCTCGGACCTCCCTATTATCCTATATATATAATTATAGGCCTATAGCTACCTTAGTTATCCTAACCCTTCCTTTTTGTGATAACCAGAGCTAGATAAGCTATAACCTTACTATATAGCTCCGTTCGGTTACGTAAGGATCCTTAGTCCTCTATATATATATAGTTACGTCTATAGCTATACTTAGAAGAACTATATCCTATCTACCCTCTAGATCTTATCTAGTAGTAAACCCTTATATTAGCTAAGCCTCCGTACTTAACTACTCGAGAGCGAGAGCTTACTTAGAATTATACTTACTAAGCTCTCGAGACTAAACGATCCCTAAAGATCTAGCTTAAATTACCGACTACTTATAGTATTAAGTAACCCTCTTCTTACTATACTAAAAAAAATCTCGAAAATTATATAATAGTATAAGAAAGGGCTTAAACCCTAGAAAACTCTACTCTACTATAGTTAGTATATAGAATATCTTTCTAGAAGAGACCTAATCTACTAGTAGTTAAGTAACCGGAAGTAAAACTAGAAAGAAGACGCCCGATTAGAAATAAAAGCTTCCTTATTTAAATAAACTATAATCCTTATTAATATATAGAATACCGAAGTATACGATCCTCTCCCGATAGAATTTAATATATAGGAAAACCTATATAGGGCTTATATCCTACGCTCCGAACCTCTTATACCGCTCTTAGAACCCTCTTACTAGCTAATACCTAGTATACTATAACTAGTATCGCTATTAACCGATAATATTCTAATAATCTTACTAGCTAATATAGCTAAATCCCTTTAAGGCTCTTACTAAAGTATCCTTAATCCTACTTCTTAGAAGAAGATTATCTATCGAGCTATCTTTAACTAAATCGCGACTACTTAATATCTCCTAGGATAGATACTATAGATATATCTACCTCCGGCTAATCGAGATAGTACCGGTATATCCTAAGAATCTAGTATAGATACTACTATCCGAAAATAACTAGTTAAAATAGTCCCGAAAATTAAGGATTATACTAGTATAATTAGGAATAACGGAGCTAGAGAGTACCTATATAACTATAAATACTTCTTTACGGAAATAAGCTAACTCTCTAACTCGATCCTCTAGGACTTAACTAAGATTATATATATATCTAGAGCTCTAGTAGGTAATATATAAAAAGCCTACTATATCTAGTCTAAATATATTAACCCGACGTACGGTATATAATATACTACTACTTAGGCTAAGTTCCGAGAATAGATTAAATACGAATTCTCGGAGTATATTAGTACTAAATATAGGCTCGACTAACTTATTACCTATAAGTAAGATAGCCGGTAGGGATTTACTAAGTATACCTACGACTTATAGTAGCTTATAGCTAATTATAAATATAAATTTCCCGAAGATCTTATTATTTAATTCCTTCGCCGAAGTACCTATACCGAACTCTAGAAGAAATAGGCTAAGGACCCTAATAAGCCTATAATCTTATATAGCGTTATCGATCGGTTTATCTAATATAAGCGAGATACTATAATCGTAAATTATATTAGCCGAAGGAACTAGAACGCTAATAGTAATATCTATATAGGTAGTCTTAATACTATAAATAGTAATATATATATCTACTATAACTATAGCTAAGTAGGCTACCTTAGACTTACCTATAAGTAAAAGTATAATCCTAGAAGCTTCTATAGCTATAGAGGCGGATATAGATATAGAGAATAAGGAGATCGCGGTAATAATAATAGCCGTAATCAGAGCTAAGAAGATTAATCAAAACCTAAGTCTAAAGAAAAGGATATAGGTAACGATAATTTAAAAAACTAAGTCGCTCGGATAAGATAGATATACTTATCTAATATATAATAATAGTATTAGAGAGCTAGGACTAGCCCGACGATAATCTCTTAGATCCCTTATAGGCTAAATAGGCTACTAATTATAATAGTACTCTTACTACTCTAGAGGATAGTCTATTAATATACTAGGTTTATATTAGTCTCTTAGTATAGAATATTAATATATAGGCCCTACTAGATAGTAGTATCTTATATATATTTATATTAAAATCGGTTTTAAAGAAGTATAAGAGCTAGCTTCTTATAATATATAATAAATACGTCTTATAAGTTAAGCTTCCCGATAGATAGAGTATATAGTCCGATACTTCTTACTAACTACCGATATATATTAGTAGTTAGTAGAGATATATATAAGTATAGGCCTTAGATCTACCCGGATTTAATCTAATCCTTAGTAGAAATTTCCTTATAGCTAAGAACTCCTATATTAATTAGGTTATCTTAGTAATAACTATCTATAATTATACTAGCTTATACCGGATCGAAGCTATCGATCCTTCTTATAATAAAGAGCTCGAAGAAGCTAAGCTTAACCTAATTAGCTACTACTAAGCTTAATAATATATAAGGAAGAAAGATTCCGAGAGCTTTCTATTAGCTCTCCGGTCTATCCGAGAGGAGCTAAATATAGCCTCTAAGTTTATATACCTAGATCCTAAAATATATAAAATTATCTAATAATTCCTAGATATTATATAAGATAAGCTCCCTAATACCCTTTCTCCTATATAAGCTATAAACTATATAATTAATACTAGAAATATAAAGCCGGTTAATATTAATACCTATACTCTTTCTTACGAGAAGCTATAGGAGTAGATAGCCTAAGTTAATCTATTTCTAAAGAAGGGACTTATATATCTATCCTCGAGCCTATAGAGATTCTCTATCCTATTCGTTAAGAAAATAAATAGGAAGTAGTAGATATATATTAACTATTATATCTTAAATAATATTATAATAGAGAATAGATATCTCCTACCTCGGATTTAAGAGCTATTTAACTAGGTCGGAGCTATACTATTCCTCTCGAAGATAGACCTAGTATCCGGATTCTAGTAAGTATATATATATAAAGATTCGGTAGCTAAGATAGCTTTTAATACTATCTAGGGTAAGTACGAATAGCTTACGATACTATTTAGCCTCTATAACGCTCTAGCTATATTCTAAATAGTTATAAATAAAGTCTTATATCCCTTCTTAGATAAGTTTATTATTATATATCTCGATAATATACTTATCTTCTTAAAAATATAAGAGGAGTACTATAAATATCTATATTTAGTACTAGAGATACTATAGAAATATAAATTAGTAGCTTAACTAGATAAATACGAGCTTTCGGTTAAAAAGCTAGAATTCTACGGATATATTATCGGTTACGGATATATATAACCCCTACTAGCTAAGATAGAGGTTATTCGGAACTAGCCGAAACTACGTAATATTTATAAGGTCTAATAGTTTATAGATTTAGCTACTTACTACTAATACTTCCTCTAAGACTTCTCGGAAGTCTATATATCCTTATATAAGTTAATAAAGGAAAAGGATAAAGTCTTATAGAAGTAGAAATTCTAGCCGATTCGGTAGACTATTATATATAAGTCTATATTTATAAGAATTAAGGAGATATTAATAGAAGTTCCTATACTAATATAACCTAATCCTTCTAAGCCTTTTACTATCGAAACCGATATCTTAGAGTAGACTATTAGTATAGTCTTATACTAGAAAGACTTAGATAGGAAGCTTTACCTAATTATATTCGACGGTCGGAAGCTAAGTATTACCGAACTAAATTACCTAGTCTATAAGAAGGAGCTCTTAGCTATTAAAAAGGCCTTACGCTAGTAGTTATAGTA